ACATTAACTTAACTGAAAATCTTGATTTTGAGGAGCAATGTTTTGAAAATAGATTGCTCACATAATTTCGCTCTTCATTAACTTGTTTTTTATAATATCTCGTGATAGTAGCTCCATCTATGTTTTACAGAAAGCAAGTCCTAATAGTAATGACTGAAAAAAATATGTATGTCTATTATGTCAATGTTGAATGCTGAAATATAATTGTGTCTGTTTGTAGAGACTAGTTTATTACCCCGACTGCAATACGCACAGTAAAAAGAAATGTGAATTTCATTATACTGCAAGTATGAATAAATAATAATTTTCAGCTGAAAAATGGTGAAGTTCCTTAGGGATAGAAGCTCCAGTGTTTCAGTAACGAGTTTAAAATTGCAGTGGCTGCTTTTGGTTTTCTTGACTTTAAAATGTAGCATCTTGTGTTTTAAAAGTGTTGAATTTATGACGAGAGTTTAAAATTCTGTTTTATTTATAACATCATTATCTTAGTCTTGTGAGACTGAACTTAACTAGAAGATTGTTAAATACTGTCTGCAGTTTACGCAAGTAGTACACATTTAAATAAACACTAACGGTTTAAAACTCGATATATCTTAAACCACTTCTGCTGCAAAGTATCGGATATCTCAGGCCATTTTTGAAGTCCAAAAGTTTTTATTTAAATAGAAGATTATTGTCTACTATAAAAATAGTATTACAAGTTACAAAGACATCATTTAGACATACAACATTAGTTTAGAAATCGAAACAAAATTGAAAAAAAATTCGACTCGGGCAGGACTTGAACCTGCTATTGTGCTTGTTCTGTCTTCGTGCTTGTTGAGCAACAGCACGGAACGCTGACGATGCCGGTTCAAGTCCTGCCCGAGTCGAATTTTTTTTCAATTTATTTACGATTTTTAAATGATATAGTGCCTTCGTGTGCAATAACATGTAAAAAATATTAAAGTTTTCAAACGATATAACATTAAAACAAAATGCGCTATCCACCAATTTTAGTTTTGGATATTCGGAAGTTCACAGACTGAAACGCGACTAAACTAGACGGGTATTCATTTAAGGACGATGGTTCGTGACCCGGGTGATTCGATAACACGATTACTGTGTAATTAAGAATCTCATGTAAACATCTCGTGTAGACGTTATATTCAATATGAAAATATGCCTGTACATTAAGTATTAGATAGTAAAAAAACTTTAAATATTTTATATTAAGCAGATATCTTATTAAAAAACATAACGCATAATGCGCAAGATTCCACAGATAACTAACAAAACAGTAATTTATATATATATTAAACTGAAACATAAAATAACGATATAATAATAGCACATCCTTACCAACCCGTTTCAAGAGCTTATTTACAAATAGTTCTCATGTTTGCGCGCCAAAATCAAATATTTGGTAAATTTTATCCATTACCATAGTCGATTTATGAAATACCGTACGAAACGAATTAGAGTTTGCATCAGAAAAATAGAAGAAAGATGTAAAAACCAATTAAGTTGTCGAGTTTGCATTCACTTTTACATCTTTTTCAAAGCAACTGTATCAGAGATATTAAAACTAACAGGAAGCTTAATAAAACATGTTAAAACGCGAAATACATTAGGTAATCTTATGTTTTATGTATTTAAACTGCGAGGTACTATTATAGTACATTTAGTGTTTTAAACCGTTAAAAAGTCTTATATTTAAATGTGTACTACTCGTGGATTCAATTTAATGCCGTTAATTTTAAAAGGGACAGGGCGAACACATTTTTGTGTACGTATCACGTTATTTAAAAGACTGCCCGATCCAAACAGTTTGTTGTTTCCACAGGTTCGAACGTAGACCTCTCGTGTCAAAGGCAAAGGTATTTAACTATCGAGCTATTGAGGTGATCAATTTCATTTCAGGAAAACTTATTTTAAATTCTTGATCATGATTAAACTAGAAAAGAACTAGGTAACCACCGAAGTAACCTACGAAACGTTTCTCTCGATAAATTGTTTTGTTTTATATCTATGTTATAATTAAATCTAGTCTGCACTTACTGTCTGCCCATAGAGAATGCAATAACCCAATCTGCGCAATTATTTTGATAATTGAAAGCAATGATAGTGAATGTTCTAGACTTTCACCTCAGACATGAACTAGAAGGTACGTGAAAGTATTTTGTCTATTTAGGGCATTGTAATCTCAATTCGATAATGTTTGTAAGTTATACTAAGTATTGAATAGAACAATCTATCTATCTATACTAATAAATAAGCTGAAAAGTTTGTGTGTTTTAATGCGCTAATCTCAAGAACTGCGGGTTCGAATTGAAAAATCTTTTTGTGTTGGCAAGAACATTTATCGGTGAAGGTGACTAATAAAATGCGAAGAAACAGCGGGAAATGTGAACAAAACGGGGGAAATTTTTCATCTCTGTCGTACGCTGCGAAAACGGTTTAAGACACCGAAAAATATATATGATAGAATGATTCCTCTTTAAATGATAAAAATATCCGCGACACATATATATGTGTATCATTTAAGATTAGCTTGCAAGAACGAAGGGCAGCTTAAATTTATAAAGATTTAGAGGTTTGCAAAAACAAATTTGGATGTCCATAAATACTATTCTACGCGGACGAAGTCGCTGACACAGCTAGTATAATATTAAATGGTTGGTAAGAATATTGAAATTGCATCCGAATTACGAATCACCCGCAGATAAACCGTGAAGTTGTATCGCGTTTAGGTTTCAGTCTTCTAATCTCGAAATGCAAAATAAGTTGACAGCGTATAGTGTATGTTGACATATATACATATAGCTGTGGTATTTTACCTTCCATCGAGTAAACCCCATGCTTTTTGCCCTCCTCTGTCATAAAAAACCATATAATTCGATATGTTATTGCGTATAAATTATATGTACATACATTTTTCGTAATATATAGGTGAATAGCGAGCGGTAAAAGTTGGCCAATATCAAAAATAAGATAACGTCTCGCTTGACCGACTTCCTAACAATATCAGGTGTACAATGCCATCTTTTACATAATACTGGTAACGGATTCGCATCAGTGATCTTTGTAACCAGAAGGCTGTGTTTGAGTTGCTTTTTATTGGCATTAAACTCTGCATAAGACCACGTCCAGCTCCGTTACGTAATAAAATTTCAAACAGATCGTGGAAATTAATTCATGAAATAATTACCTCTTAACATAAACTAGAAGTGCAGTAAGCTAGAAGCTAGTAGTAGAACACTACTTTCAAATGCTTTAAGCGGAATAAAACGCGAAATATATTTACTTATTACAATATGACTGCTGCAAAGCCGAAACATCGCATCGTAGTTAAGAATAAGTTAGCTAAGATAATTCGGAATTTAAACCGTTAAGTGTTTTATTTAGTACTTGTATATCTGAGTAAACTTTTTGACAAATTGTTTAAATATTAACAAAAATATATTATTCTAAACCCATATAAGTGGATGCATCGCTTGGCTGTTATAGTTTTTGATTCATTATTATTTTTAAAAGAGCACGATATACTATTTTATTGAGATTGGAATTCATGCTACGGATTAGACTCGAACTCAAGACCACAGTGTTCAGAGGTATTATTTTACTCTAATAACTTATAAAAAAAAAAACTATTTTATTTGCTATTAATTTTTTTCCATAAGTGCGGCATTCTGAAACACAAACACGACAAAACTACTTTCACGATAAGGAAAGGATATAAAACTAAATAGTTATATATGTTCATCTACATTACATAAGAGTTAAAGATGCGAGTGAATGTATGTGAAAGTAAGTACACTTTTTTGCAAATAAAACTGGATTGAGCACCGCTCACATAATCTGTGGTCAATCGTAATAACATAATTATACTCTGTGGTAACAGAAACTAAATGGAAGATGCGCAGGAGTTCTTTGATTGCTAGAATATTTATCTAGAATTTGTGTACTAAAGCTTTAGGGGGAAATGTAGATTTCTAGTTTTTGTTGTTTCTCATATGTTTACTTGGTAATATAGAGCACAAATTAGTCTTTTTCTGTTTAACAAATGATTATAAAATAAATTAGCATATCATAGTATATTTTGAGTTAAAGGTTATTTTGACATTGTAGCTCAATGTGATCATTGCATTAAGCTAAGGTGTTTCGGTCAGACAGGGCACAGAAGACTAATCTTGCTGGAAGGGGAAACAGAATAGCATACTTTTATTGTAGGGTTAAATTTACTCCAAACTTCACGTTTTTACATTTGTAAGTGATTGTTACTAGATTAACTTATTATTAGAACTAAATAAGTGCACATAATCGTCGTATTTAAATTTTTCAGTAATATTTTCCAAAACCGCTTGCGGACGTGGGCTGTTATTTTCACACAATTTTTCAGCGTCCTCATATGCCGTATATTAAAAAGTTTCACACACTTGTTATTCCTACGAAACTGGCATTTTTAATGTGATCCATTTTAACTAGTTATGCGGTTTATCACGGAAAAAAATCGCTTAATGTATTTTAATTAAATTCACTTTTCGCAGAATAATTTTACGATAAAACATTATATATACAATAGTTATTATCTTCATTTAGCACAATTAAGGTCCAAATTTTGACAAGCTCATATAAATTATGACAAAGTTGATACAACTACTGAGCAAGCGATGAAGAATTATTTACTTCTATATTATATGCTTCTGCTATATGTATTTACCCATTAGGAGATATATATTTTTTAAATAAAATGTGAAATATATTAGTTAAACTCATTTTATAGTTTTAGTTATTTATAAGTTTAACTTATATATTTTGACTTTTAAACCATTAAAGTATTTTATTTAAATGTGTAATCCTCGCGTAAACTTTAGACAAATATATATTAATCAGTAATCTGTAATTTGATAACTTTGAAATTCTCTTCAATAGCTAGAAATTTGAAAACGTCTTTATAAGTTTTTGTAAGACATAAAAGTGACTCGATAATTAGAACTAATAATATTGTCTTCTTACAGATATGTTTATTGGCTTTGGCAGCCACTTGCCAAGCTGGCTTCGAAAGCCTCGACGGAGGCCACGGCCAAGACAGCAGCGGGTTTCAGTATTCGGCGCCATTAACCAGCGGAGGGGGTCACGACTTTTCCAGCCAGGGTAATGACTATTCTGGGCAATCCCAGGACTTCGGTGGACAAAGCCATGGCGTTTCCGGTGAAGGCCACGATTTTTCTGCCGGCCAAGGGAACGACTATACCCTAGCTTTAACCCAGGGGCACGGGCAAAACTTCGATCAAGGCTATGGACAAAACTTTGATCAGGGCCACGGACAAAACTTTGACCAGGGACACGGGCAATTTAACGTGGGACACGGTCCGCTCCTTGGTAACTTTGGCGGTGATTCGTATCTGCAAGCAGCCCACGATTTGGGGCAGCACCAGGGAGATTTTAGCGGTTCTGACGGAGGCCAGCAGGGGTATGGACACCAGGGCTTTCTCCTAGAAGACGGTGGTCACGACTTCGGGCACGGCGGTCACGATTTGGGTAACGTAGAAGCGGTCCCTGTAGGAGAACACATCGACGAAGAACATCCAGTTGAAGTACCGCTTTACAAACACGTGACTGTGCCTATTCATAAACCTCTTCACGTCAACGTGCCTAAGCCAATTTTAGTGGGGGTACCACAACCTTATCCAGTAAAGGTTCCAGTCCACAAGCCAGTTGCCGTTCCAGTTGAGACGGAAATCTCCATCCCCATTGAGAAGCCAGTGCCGTATCCAGTCGTTAAACACATCCCGTACCCAGTAGAGAAGCATGTTCCGATCAAAATAGAGAAGACAGTCACTGTCCACGTGCCACAACCTTACCCAGTCAAAATCCCCGTTTACAAAACGATCCACCATCACAAAGACCACCATTGATTCCGATGATAAAACTGTGCCTTGTAAATATTTAATTTAAGTCATTTTCAACTGTCTTCATGTTGTAGTTGATTTATTTATTTTGTTGTTGTCTGTTTGTTGTAATTTCGTTGTTGTTATTTTGTGTATAAACATTGTTACGAAATTTGTGACTTTTATTCAATACTAAAATCACCTTTCATTTTATGAGTACTCTCAACACTTATTAAAAATTATACCTTTACTGATTATTTAATCACGGCTCTCTAAAAGCAATTAGATCAATTTACTTTGTTATACATTGTGTCACGATACTACGGAATTGATTACTGTAGTAATTTATACAGTAACGAATAGAAACATCAAATAAAAAATAACATTACATTAACTTTGTATAAAATTTTATGATATGGTTACATAAAACATATTTTGATTCTAAATAATGGCTGTTTTAACATATTAACCTGAAGTTAAATTGTTAAATTAACGATCATTATAATTATTAAGTTTATGATAAAATACTACATTTATTTAAATAACACTTTAACGGTTTAAAACGCGATATATTAGTTAAAAATCATTTTCAAATAAGTTTAACTAATATATCGCGTTTTAAACCGTTAAAGTGTTTTATTTAAATGTGTACTACTCGCGTAAACTATAGACACTACATTTATTTACAATGATAAATAACAGTAACCATTTGAATAAATTTACAAACGCCTGCGAGAATAAAGAGAGCAAAATGTACGTAACAATAATTTAAATGCGTTTGTAAAACGCGTTATTTATGAAAGAAGAGGACAGGCAAGCATGGAGTTGAGTTGTTTTTAAGAATGAAACACCCCAGCCAAACAATATTAAAACTAATTATGCTGTCGACTTTGTTACTTTAAGACATTCAGAAAATGCCTACCATCCATTTAATATACCGCTATTACGAAAAAAGTATAAATTCAGTACAAAAATTAGTTGGATGGTGGGAGTTACCATTGACCTGTTAAAGATTAGATCATCTGGCACCATTCGACCAACGATCTTGTCAGAAATTTAAATTTGACAATCGATCAAAAGAATTGGAGTCATGCTATAGGTGCATGTAAGATACATGCTGAGCAGTGTGGTATTCTTCCATGAAATAATTTTTTGGTTAATTGAATAGTTTTCGTAGCGCACGCAACGGAAACGCAACTAAAATTATGTTGCAAAAATTCTTACTGGCAAAAGCTAGTACTTACTTACAGTGTGTCGCTAAAAAATAAACACATGCGACGACGTAACAGCAAATCACGTATTCCATTTGCAATGAATTTTCGAATATCGCGTTATACCAGAAATATAAACAGTAACGCGGCCATTATCTGAAGCAACACGAGGAAGATTGTTATTTATTTTGAGTCGTGAATAGGGTGACCATCTTCTGTTTTTGACAGACTGATGCAGAGTTTATGTCACATACAGCTAAATTCGATTATTAGAGTAAGCATTATAGTTATTTAAATATATTAGACATTTTCTTATGATAGGGGATAGACAAGCGTAGTGGTAATTTGAGATCTCCATAGACACCCGGACGGAATTATAATATTACTACCACCCAATCGAGAGGCCCAGACAAAGGCTAATATGTTTCACAAAAAATATACTGACTGCATCTTATAATAATCAATAGTGTTTTTTAGCTTTAAAAGTTTTTACGGTACTTGGATAAAAATAATAATATTATTCATCTTTGAGGGCTTACATTATGTGCGTTCGACAACGGTAGAAAAAATGTATGACAGAATCGTTCCTCTTTATCTAAAGCTCATCAGCTTGTTTTAAATAGGAAATATGACGCCTAAAATAAGTATGCCTTGAGTAAGCTAGTATATACTTGAGTCTTAACTAATAAAGATCAATGTCCATAAGTAACGTTTCTCCATGTTAATTTGAAAGTAGTTAGTATTTTCCTAGAGCCTTGCTTAGAGCTCTTAGTAAAGCCATGTACATGCTATATCTATGTACTTAAAGTTTTATTATATATTATATTTAGTTTAGTTTTAGTATATATTACTAGTCATGTTATTCCCGATACTAAATTTATTATGAAGATACAGTTGCATATGTAGTGAAGAGATAATTCCTGAAATAGTTTAGGTTGATTCCTGGTTTCCTAAGAAGATATCTGATGAGAAAACCAGGTATGTCTTTTTTTATAGTCTTGCATGTGGATTTTATAGGTTGAGGGTATATGTAAATTAGGCATGAGGTGAAATTATTAATGTTTCCATTTTACTGATAGTAACAATAGATGTTAAATACGAAAATCGTTGTCGCCCTACTAGAATAATTCTTATTTGTACAAGATTCGCATGGTTAAGCTGCATAGATCCGTAGAAGAACCGTATTTATTCAGCGTAGTTTATTGGGAAATTTATAGATTGTCGCAGTAACATGATCTTATTGACTGTGAAAATGTTATGGGTTTTCCTATTGCAAATTTAGTACATAATGTTACTCGTTCCTACGGTTTTCAATATTATGTTTATAAGATAACGACTAGGTAATATTAAGAGTTTGAAAAAAGAATCCTATATTTTTTAATTTTTACCGAATTTTAAATAGTTCTATCACCTATTAAGTACAATTTTATTTAGTGGACTGTACTTAAACAACTTCAAAAAAAGTTCAAAAGAGGTTCTATGTTTTTTTTTAATTTAAATATATTTGCAATAAATTTAAGTAACTTAGAATATTTTCTCTCAACATACCTACTTTACTCAATTTCTATATAATACCTTACACATCCGGGATTGTAAGCCTTACTAATTACACAAAGCTTACACGCGACATCTCTAAGTGTATTTAATTACATAAAAAAATATCCATGTTGTTTTGACTTTTTCAACCTATATAGAGCAGAAATGTTATGGCTTGTTTTTTTACAAATACAGAAAATGTCTTTAAATTAGTATTAATTATTTATTTTTCATAAGTAATAAATAGATTTAAACTTTTATAATTGGTAAAAGTAAATACTAAAATTAAATAATTAGCTTTACATTGTATTTAAATGAACACTTTACTTAACGGTTTTAACAACGCCCCGACGCGAGCTTCCAAAGGATGCTTTGCATCAGCCGTGGTCACGAGGAGGTCACTGAAGATGGAGGGTGTCTATGACGTCAAAGTAAGTAAGACGGGAAAGATTTCGTTAACTGCTACGTTAACGAAATCTTTCGCCTACGTTGAAGTTAGTATTTAATGAAAGTGGCCGGATTCTTAGAGAATTAACTAACGATGTCTTCGCGTTTGCTAGTTTGCTGTTTTTTGTAGTTAGAATTAGTTTAAATTTCAAATAAATTTAACTATTATATATTGATATAGCGTTTTTAACCGTTAAAGTGTTTTATTTAACTACTCGCGTAAACTACGGACTTGTTTTGTATTTATTTTTTTTTCCTAAATATGTCCGGATTGTCTTTAGTTTTAAAAAACATTCTAACATCCCTAAGAATCTAATTATTGATGAGCTTTAACGGTTAACCTTCTCTTCGCTTCGATCTCGCGGCCTGAAAAAATAATATAAAGATTTTAACAAAGAAAATTTCCTCACATATTCGTAAACGCGGTTTCATTGCATGCTCGAGCTATAAAACCGCCAAAATTGCTCGTACGAGCTTTAAGTTACAATATGAAGCCATGCAGCAAACGTGATCGTGTGAAATTATTAAGGTATATTCAGACGAGCTGCGTGCATTTTGAAAATAAACCCTGTATATCGCGACGCGTCCGTATCGTGTGCTTTGTTTTTTACTCACTCACACTACAATGTCGACTAAGAATGTTTATAGCAAATTTTACGTTTGCTCTTTTTATTTAATAATTATATATAAAAACGGTAATTTGGAAATATACAGATTGAAACTAACAGCGATTAAACCGTGGTTTGTGATCTAGACGGAATTAAGATTATCCTATTATTTATTTAATATCCACATGAAGTCCAACATGTTTCATAAAAATTATAAATTGAATCCGCGACCCATTCATTGCATCCGTCAAAACTGTCACTACAAAATCTGGAGGGATTGAATAGCTATATAAAGTTCTAAGAAAGTAAATACTGATCATTCAATTAATAAACAAAATAAAGCGTTGTAACCAATCTATTAAATTGTGATTTAATAAAAAACGCCACTGCTATAAAACCTCCTTACAGATATTACGATGAAAGCACGATAACTAACGTTAATAACGACCATAAATATACCGGTTTCGATTACACAGCACATAATAATATCACAGATAATATATCCCTTTGTGTATTCAATAACTTATGGGTGCTAAGATGGAAGACCACAGATTATAGAATCCAATTTCCATAATGTTATGAACTTTTAAACTGTTCGGAAAGTTTATATTTATCGTTATTGTATGCCCTTTTCCAAGATTAGAATAATTAAGGTGAGATTTTCCATTTATATATTTTTCTATATTGTGTATAGTGTTATAATATATACTGCATTAACAAATTATATTAAATATCATATAAAACTGATCTCATTTAAATATTTTTTTTTAATTATAGACGAGGACAAACAAGCACGGAGTTTACTTGATGGTAGGTAAAATACCCAAACTTATAGCATCTAAACAATGCGCTATCAACCTATTTTGGCTTTGGATATTCGTATAATAATACCTCCTAAATCCTGGACGACCTCCAACCAGGTGGACCTACGACCTGGTCAAGGTAGCAGGGAAACCCTGGATGCAACTAGCGAACGACCGGTCGTACTGGAAGTCTATGGGGGAGGCCTATGTCCAGCAGTGGACACTGAACGGCTGAATCGTATAATAATTCCACAGACTGAAACTGAAACGCGATTAAATTTTACGGCTTTTTCATCTGTGGACGGTGGTTCGTGATCCGGGCGGAACTTCGATATTCCTACCACCCATTTAACATTCTGATTTTCAGACCAAGTCCATCAACGTGTACCAACAAATTACAAATTATTGAAAAACGTTGAGATCCGAACTCACGGCCCATTGATTATTATTAGCCATATATTGCAACCGTTACACCAACGCGCCCGTTAAAATAAATTAATTCGTAACAAAATAACAACGCTAATTTACTGTAAAGTCTAAAAAGTTTTAAAATACAACTCAAACAAAAGTGTCAGCTCTACTAACTTTGTTTTAATTATACGCTGTATTGCTATAGCAATAAGGTTTAAATTGAAGTTTGAGCAAAGCGATTTTAAGTGAGGTTTCTAAAGCCGTGGGGTATTTTAAAATTGGATGTGTGGAACCCTCTAGATTGTTTAGTTTATGTAAATATCAGTTTACAAATTTAAACGGTGGAATAATTATAACTTTCATCGAATAATTAAAACTACATTTTATATTAACTGACTGTGTTTGCATTTTATCCAGGTTTAACTAATGAAAAAGCCTATGAAGTAAGATGGAATCCTAGCATTGCCTAATCACGAGAATCCTTGGGCTTGAATCCCGGGTAAAGAATAAATTGTTTCCGTTGGGCAGGGCACAGACGTCTGATAAACTATAAAATTGTGTTCGTCCCATGGACTACAAGGGGGTAAAAGAAGTTTCTTACATTTAATCCAAAACCGACCGGTATTTCTCCTACCATCAATTGAATGTTCGTCTGTCCTCTATCATAAGATAAATATTTGCGAAGCTATTTTGATGACTATAATATAATAAATATATTTTGAAAATCAATCTGTTATGAAACTTTTAATCAAAAAGGATTTAATAAAATTTAAAAGTCAAAAAGACGGCAAGAACAAAGCCATAGGCAATCCATTGGGTCTTTAAAATTAATGTTCGCTGTATCGTGGTTTTCGCGTACTAAAATCCCGGTTATACTGGAAGTCATACTTCGCATTCGATTTTTAAACTGAAGAATTTTATTGGCTGGCAAGCACCGGAACGGTTCTAGATAACGGAATTGAAATGGAAATACTGCGACAGCTGTTCGTATGCAAATGCAGTGGACTATTTAAATTTCGAACGCTCGCATCGATTATGATTCCGATGCTTTAGACGGTTACGTGATACAAGCTGTATCTCTTCACGAGCTCTTTGGTTTAATGGTAGCAATTTATAACTAATAAAGAACGGGTTGTTTGATCCCCACCAGGTCCGACAGTTTCTCATCAAATACTGTCTATAGTTTACGCGAGTAGTACACATTTAAATAAAACACTTTAACGGTTTAAAACGCGATTTATTAGTTAAATATATTTGAAAATAATTTTTAACTTCACGGGGAGACTGAAACGTCGGGCCGATGTTAAAAATCATTTTCAAATAAGTTTAATTTAATAAATCGCGTTTTAAACCGTTAAAGTGTTTTATTTAAAAGTTTCTCATCAATTTATAATTGTCGAAATTCCGACCGGAACACGGTTGTCTGTCCCCCACTATGATAAAAGAAAAACATAATAAAAAAAAACTTACCAAAGCTAATTGCTAAAGACAGCTTGACTTATCGGTTGTCAAAATTTTACATCTTTAAACAGCGAATAAAAGTTTTGCTTATCTATAGTAATATTATGTAAAGCTGAAGAGTTAGTTTTTTTGTTTATTTAAACGCGTTAATCTCAGGAACTACCAGTTCGAGTTGAAAATATATTGTTATGTTGGTTAGAGCATTTATCGAGGACGGCTACAAGCGAAGCGGCAAAGATACAGATAATTATTATTATTTATTGATAAGATCCAAGTTACCCCAAACATATGTATGAAAGAATGTTTCCTCATTAAATTATCTAAAAAAAAGTCCGCGACGCTATATTATGTCTATCATTTAAGATATATTGCAAAAACGACGAGTAGGGACATTATAAAGATGAAGAGGTTTGAAAAACGAAATCGGATGCTCAAAATAAAGATTCTCGCGGACGAAGTCGCTGGCACAGCTAGTATTTAATAGGCTTTCATAGCGATTGTGACGCTTTTATAGTCAATAGTGTAAAACCCCACTACAATATTTTTTGAGTAATAAATTATTAATAAATATGTCGCAGTCTAAAGCAGCACTAACAAACTTTGTTAACGAGGTTTTTCAGACTAAGTGTTGCGTAAGTTTGAGACTGAGTTTACAGCAAAACAGCTCCAAGTATTTTCCAACACTTGAAGTAATTTCGTCAATCTAAGAATTGTGAGGTGAAACAATAAAATTGTAGGTATATTTTCTGAAAAGATTTCCTTTTGTAAGCTGACATTATTTATTGTTATATTGAAATCTATTGTTGCATAATTTAACTATAAAACAATTAATATATATAATTTTTTAAAGGTCACACGGATGCACGGTTTGTCCATAACTGGTAGTGGGCATTTTTCCCACTGTGTCCAACAACGTAGCTAAGTGGCTGCCTTTTTAGCTTATTAAGTATTTTATTTTATACTTTATGTTCTGTATTCTATATTTACTTCTTCTCATTTATACTAAACTTAGTTAGAATAAGATAACTGTTACTCTCATGTTGCTTCTCAATAAACGTATTTCTATTCAACGTTTCTAAATCATTTTCAAGGTATTTCATCTTTAATCAAGTGGCCAAATGCCAAACTGTACCCATCTGTCTTAAAAAAGAAAAATACTTATCAATTTAATCACATTAGTATCTGACGTTTCTAGACAAACATTGTAATTATTGGAGTAGTACTTCCATTTTCCCGGGAAAACAATATTTTAAAAATAGAACACAAACTGGGTGTCGTAAATCTTTTAAATACACCGACACTGCACGCGTGTTGGTCAGTAGAATAAAGAATTATTATCTCAGTATGCAATTATTTTCTTTGATTTATTATTCCGTGATTCCTATTGAAACACGGATATGACATTTATTCGTGAATTATTATTTTCCACTTATGCGGTTATATAAGGCTGATCTGATCTTTATTGCTGCACCTTGTTACTTTATTTATTATAGAGGACGACAGACAGGCATGGGGTTCCCTTGGGTAGGTAGTCCCATATAACATAGCGCTGGCGACCTATTTTGGCTTTGGATATTTGGAAAACTACCACCATTTTACCAACCTTTAAATCTTAAGATTTCCAGATGGCTCCCCTGACACAGGTACCTACTATAACTCATAAAACTGCAATATTTAGAAAATTAAAATACGGAAGTTTTAATTTTTGTTAAGTTTAAATCGATGATTTCTGGAAAAGAAAGTAAAATTGAAACTAAGCGTAAATCAATATTATAATTTATATTAAACATGACATAATTAATTTATTTTACCCTTGAAATAATATTATATTTGTAACCCTAAATAAAAAAATATATATTATATTACATATTATCCAGATTCCGTTTATTAATGCAATACAATTAATATTTGACTCTTTGAAGATATACACATACGAAATACAATAGTGATAAAAATCCTATAACAAGGCAAAACGATATTACTAATATGAATACAATATCTATTTCAAAATATTCTGCCCATGGCATGTTAGCTGCAGTTGCTCGAAGATGCTTTGCCCCTCTACATCGTATTACATACTCTGACCACCAGACAGCGCGTTCCAACGCGCTGTCAAACTGGTCTCTCATCAATAAGCGAAGTAGTTTAATGTTATCTTTATAACTGAAATATAACACGTAAATTTAGATCATTCGACAATTATTCTTTTAATAAGGTATGGGTACGATAAGTAAATAATTGCATTAATAGCATCGAATAATTTTTCTTCAGTTAATATTTCCAGATCCAGTTTTACTCCAATTTTATGATACTCGTATTGCTCTACATTATACGACTGATATCCGAGCATTGGTATACCAATAAGTGGAACACCTGCATCCATCGCTTCATCAGTTGATTGAAGGCCACCCTGGGTTATGAATAACATAATCTTTGGATGTCCTGCAATTATTCTAATTTCATTATTATACTTACGCAGGAGGTCCGACTGTGGAAACCATTTAGATATCTTGACATTTTTTTGGTTTTCTTGGCAGTTCATCAAGCTCCCATTTCCACAGAATGTCGAATGGTAACTTAGACAATACATTAATTAAGATCTTTATTGTGTCAAGTGGTAACCGTGACGACAAAGCGTTTGTTCCGAAACTCAAATATCCATTTAAACACCATTTATTGACGAATTTAAATATTTTTGAAGATCCTAAAATGATGTCATAAATTTGTTAAGAAGTAAAATTTCTGTAACTATTACATATAGTATAACACTATTGTACTTTCTTATTATATACTTACATCCGGTAAAGTTTTTACAGGTTTATTATGTATTCCCCAAACAGAGATGATATTTGGAGGTAAAGGTTGCTTATTACACCATAGTGGATGAACATTTAAAAATAACATATCTACATATTTATATAGTTCACAATAAGTAGGCATTCCCCTACCAAAATATTGTTCCAAATTTTGAAAATCTGTACGTTCATAAGATTACTACTCTTTGGTAATCCAAAAATACTTGTAAAGTTCGTAAAATCTTTCGGAGAAGGTCAAATTAAATGTTCTGTGTTGTGCTAATGAAACTACTAAGAACTTATTTGGATTACCGGTGCTACAAATATATGGGAAAACATTATAGCAGATCGTCCAAATGGCTCTACAAGTAATAAGTCATAATGTTTTTTATCTTTTTATTACAGATAATATCTAGTACTTCCTCAGTTCTTAGTTGAACTTCCATATATTTACCGATAGAAGATAAAAAATCAGTAGCCTTTGTAAATAACCGTTCTTTCTGGCCGAGTTTTAAATCTGTGTTTTTGATTCTGCTTCGCCAAAAATTGTAAGCCACATCATGTACATCTATTTCTGTTAAATTGTTTGGTCTATTTTCGATAGTGAAAGCTGGATCTGTAGTAATGACGGTAACTTCATGACCTCTCTTCGCTAATTCCTGGGACAGTGGTCGAAAAACGACTTGATGACTTATTGATGGCGTCGGTACCACTACCAAAACTCTGGCGCCTTTACTTATAGAAAGGAACAAAATATTACCTAGTATTAATTGGACGCATAACATTTTGTATAAAGATTTTTATTGTAATGAAATAAACACCGCAAAGTTTAAAAAATATATATCTAAAGAAGGTGAAAAACAGCTGTTTAATAAACTAAAGTTTTAAACAATATAAAAATTATCAAACGGCCATTATGTCAACATTGCTGGAGACACAAACAGCTTGTGTAAATATTTTACAAAAATCAATAACACTGTAACTTATTGTAAATTAAAAATATTAATTCAATATTGCAACGTCACATGTTCTGTGACGTTGCAATATATATACTTAACATAAAAACTACTGTAATTGTACTCTACTGCAAAATAAGTGCTAAGCGTGGAACATGATTTACAAATGACTTAAATTCTGAATAACAATGAAATCTTATGCTAAATAGGTATACAAAAGATAAATTGAATTGACCTTGTAAAATTCTCAATTGTTTTGTAAAAGTAAAGACTACACCAGTGAGAGACAATATAACATTTTGAATTCCACATTTGAAAATATCTACCAAACAATGTTGAGAATATCAAACAGTGATAATTTTTTCTTAATCGAATTTCTTTTTCTGAATGATCATTCAAAGTGAATACTTTTAATGTTTTACTCATTGAAAAAAAAATAGTATACGATAAATTAGATATTTAAAAGTTTTAAAGAATTTCCATTCCTTTTAAATCTCTTCGTTCTCGATAATAATTATTTGATTTAAAATGATTTTTGCCACTGAAAAATCTTTAAGCTGGCTAGACAATTTTATAAACAGAATATTATGGAAAAAATACTATTATTTCAGATTGACTATTCAAGTATTTTTTTCTAATTATCTTTGTGTTTACTTTTTGGTATTGATAACTGTTTCCATACGAAATAAACTACTAATAATGAGGTGACCAGAGCGACGAACACTATTGAAAACAGCTGAAGTACGAATTCTATCTCGTAGTATTTCGTCCAGTGCATGTTGGCTCCAGCCGCGCGAAGGTGCTTCGCCCCACCATGCCGCAGCACGTACTCGGTCCACCAAACAGCACGTTCTAATGCACCTTGCGGCTGGTCGTTCATTAGCTTACGAAGACGTACAATATTGTCACGGTAACTGAAAAAAAAATGCCACTAAATTTCATACAAACTGTGACATAAATGTGTTTCTTTACTTAGATTTCATAAAAAATTGCGGGAAATTATATTCGTATGTACAATACATTGCCAGTTGAGGTTTCAAATTTATAGATAAATAAACTTAAAAAAGTTATTAAACTTAGATTGTCTCAAAAGGCATATTATTGTCTGAACGATTTTTTTAATGACAAGACCGCCTGGCAGAAATATGAATTGTTCGTTAGGTTAATAAATTCAAAACAATATATTAGTTTATAAGACATGTTAAAAAAAGTTTCTTGGGTGTTCTCAGTTAAGTTGATTGTTTCTCTTTTGAACAAAACAGACAAACAAAAAGTTTTTGACGTATCTTAATATTTTATAAAATTTTAAAGAGAATAAAGTTATTTTAATTTGTTTAAAACGTGACACGTATATTTGATTTAGTAAAACTAAGACTTAACGTTTCGGATGCTTTAAAGCAGCCGTGGTCACGAGGAGACTAAAGATGGACTGCTACGCTCGCGCCATCTGTTGCCTTCTAAATGGTATTTGGAACTCTTAAAAATGTTTTCTTTTTGTCAAAACCTATTATTAAAAGCTTAATCTATGGCATATCTAGTGTTATCGAATTTATCATTTTTGCCCATAGCGGAGAGCATAATATATACAAAGAAATTTTGGCGCTAATATTATGACAATATAAGACCAGCTATCACTTTTTTATAGCAATTGCGAATTAGTTTTGGAAACACAATTTCTAATAAACCGATTAAGCAACAAATAGATCGGAGATATTTTCAATTAATCTTTTACCTGGTATCGTTTATTATAGTTTGAATTGCTTCTTCTAGTTCTTCTTCAGTAATCGTCTCCATTTCAATTTTAATGCCAATTTTGTACAATACATATTTCTCCACATTAAACCACTGGTCTCCAAGCATAGGTATTCCTATCATTGGTACGCCAGCACTTATGGCTTCATCTGTCGATTGCAAGCCGCCCTGTGTTATGAAAAGTTTAATTTTGGGATGTTCTGTAACAGAAAGTAAATCTAAAGTCCTATTCGACTACATAAATGAATGATATTTAACTTTGACTTTGTACGAATTGTATGAAAGAAAAGAAATGTGACTCGATCGCTAAATAAACGAAATATACTCACTCAATAGGTCTGATTGCGGCAACCATTTTGAAATTTTTATATTCGCCGCTCTATTAGGTAGCACATCTGTTTCCCATTTCCACAGAATGTCATAAGGTAATTTTGAAAACACACGGACGATTGTTTGAATTTTCTCAGGAGGCAAGAACGATGAAAACACATTAGTTCCGAAACTCAAGTAGATCACTCCGTTTTTGGAAGAATCAAGGTAACTGTAGTTCCTGTAAAAAGTACGCTTATATATTTTTAGCAAAATGTATCAATTTAAAGTAGACTAGATTGATGAATGCTGAGATGAATGTCATTCTTTATTGTAGTAACAAATTTTGTTTAAATAACATATTATTAACTTCATAATATATTAAAAAAACAGTAACGTTTACAAAATTAGATATTTTTATCTAAATAAGCAATTTAATGACAAAGGCTTTTTCAGTTCAATTATGTGATTACTTATTAGTATATGCATAAGCGCTATTACGCACTGTCGACGTGTCGCCGGTGACTGAATCTCAAGCGACTGTAAGTTACTATGGTTTAATTGGCGCCTACGCACTTGGTCATCGATCGCCCAGGCATCGCGGCGACTCGCCGCGTAGTAGCGACGCACACTTTGATCGCCGAGACTGAGTCGCCGGCGACGGTCTACTGTGCGTAATGGCCCTACGTATACGTCAATAATTGAAGTATCATTATCTTTATCATTCCAGTCATCGCGACTAATAAGGTAATATTAGTTTTTGTGTTGCCACAATAACCATTATGTTTATTTTTTTAGAAGCAACACTTATCCTATAATTAATGAAACTACAGAGCTGGCTGTTTTATTGCCTTTTTTGTGTTTATCCTATTCTATTGAAAATAAAAATCTATATTAGTTAAAAAAATTGAGAACGCGATGCACAACGATCTTTGCTACTACCCTGACTAATTGAACTACCTTACCTCGCTTGTCTCCTTCTTCAATAGTTACATTTGGTAATTGTATCAAATGTAACTGTAATGTTTTAACACATTTAGTCTTAATTGGTTTATACAATAAATGTGAATGATGGTTCAAGTCTCACATGTGTTATCGACATTTTTCAATCTAACAATTGTATAAAGCCATCATATACATACATGTAAAAATAAAAATAAAAACTTGTTCTTTTAACCCTAATAAAACTGAAATATGATTTGTATTCTATACTTACTTTCGGTAAAACTCTTTCAGGATTTTTATAAATTCCCCAAATTGTTTTTACGTTTGGTGGCAACGGTTGATTGTTAATCCACATGGGATGACTGTTTATAAACAACATATCGATATTGTCACTCAGAATGTCATAATTGGGTAAATCGTTACTTATCTTCTCTCTGAGGATTTCGAGTTCATTAGACTCTTCAGCATAAAAAAATCTATCAAACCATAAACGAAACCTTAACTCCTCTATTTTATCCCAGAATGTATGATTGTAGAGTTTCTGCGATATCGTCATGGGAAACAGGAAGGGGTGTTTTGGTGCACCAACATTGCCTTCGTCTCTCCCAAACATAGATCCCAACGAACTAATCTGAATTACGGGCGCTTGAAATAAGTGACTATATACCAAAGTTTGTCGTGACCACGCTTCTAACAAAAGGAGGTCATACTTCTCGCGATCCTTAATTATACGTTGAATTTTCGGGTGTTTTATTTGCAAACATATCACTTCTGTCATAGCCGACAATAGCGTTTCCATTTGCGGATAAATGCTCTTCTTCGTTCCAAATTCTATATTGTGGACGACCTTCTTCTTCCAATGTTCATAGGATACTTCGTAGACGTCAATTTCCGTGTAATTTTCTGGATTTTTGGACGCGTAGAGAGGGTATGCTGTGATAACTGTGAGTTCGTGGCCTCGTTTCGCTAACTCTAATGTCAAAGGTTGCAATACAACTTGGTGGCTCACGGACGGAGTAGGAAATACGGCGAGTATCCTGGCCGAGTGTGTTCCTGTTATCGCGCAGCATAATAAAATAAATACCATAGAATTCGCCATCGCGAAAATCTAGAATTTCTTTTATTTCCAATCTTACAATTTATATATCGTCTGGGTAAGATGTATGGCTAGGTTCAACGATTCATCTGTTGTTAAGAGCAATCTTGTAATAGGAGCAATGAACTGAAAAAGAGCATTACTTTAGTTCGTCGGATAAAAATCATGATCTGAATGATATTTATTGATTGATTATGAAATATATCAATATTAAGATTTATGTGCGAACAAAGAGTAAAGGACTGCCCACGTTTTTGTCTGTAAAATTCTATAATTCTCCTTGACAATTATCAAAAAGTATTAAAAAATAAAAATAATAAAATACCACGGATTAAATGCGAACACACAATGTGAAATTAAAAAAAACGGTGTTGCTAAGATTCTGACAAAGAAGATGAGATATGTTAAGATTCTACACATGTACTTCGTCGGCAAGCCTTCTTCAATTACATAGAATATAAGTAAATCGAGATTTGAACCGCTAAAAACTTTTTTTTTAATTTTCAATACTTTGACAAACAATTGACAAAATGCCAGTCCATATTGAAAAGTCGAACACTGTTTTGTCCAGAAACTACCTGCAGGTCCAACTTCGAAACTTTTGTTGAAGTCGCAAAGTAACCAGTTGTCACGGGGTAAGTTATTTGGTTTGAGTTTAAACTTTTACATGACACAGAATGATAAGAACAGTTGGCAAAATGTGAATTACTTGCTAATCTATACTAATATTATAAAAAGGAAAGATTTGTATTTTTGTATGTAACGGATAAACTCAAAAAGTACTGGCCCGATTTTAATAATTCTTTTTTCATTAGAAAGCTACATTATCACTGAGTAACATAGGCTATATTTAGTACTTGATTACTATAGGCATCTATAGAAATTCTTATTAAAACCAACGGAAGGCGTAAAAATTAGCCGTAAAATGTCGCTTTTTTGTATCATTAATACTATTCGCAGCATACGCTGCGAAAAGTATTAATGATAGGACAATGTCAACAATCTATGTCACTTTGCATAATGTTTGATTTTTCTGTTTTAAAACAAATATCCTTCATAGCAATATGCCTAGAAGAAGAAGGTCGCAGCTATCTAAGAATAGTTTCTAAGCGAGATTAGCAAAAGTTCGTCGTATTGGAGAGTCTTCTTCCTAAAATGATGGTCTGAAAAGTATTAGAGTGCAAAATTAGAGCGTCCCAATCGCGAGCCAGAGAATCTATCGTCGAACGTTCAGGTTCGTCTTGTAGAACAAAAGGCAAGATCGTCGCAGCGATTTGAAGGAAATAGAGCTAGGAATTCGCAAACGCGTGCACGGGAGCAGCTGTTGTCACGGGGAGACCGTAACGTCGGGCCGAATTTAAAAATCATTTTCAAATAAGTTTAACTAATATATCGCGTTTTAAACCGTTAAAGTGTTTTATTTAAATGTGTACTACTCGCATAAACTATAGACAGTATTTAGTAATCATACCGTTACTTTTAACTTTAAGGGTCGTAAGATAAAAAATTAACACTCTGCCTGAGTCGGTACCATTCGTCATCTGAAATCCGACAATTAATAGGGCAATTTAAAGTAGCTCCAGCCTCAACCACGAGCAGCCCTTCGTCTTGTTCTCAGTTGGTATTAGCTGTAACGAGCTAAGTTTTTAGTTGGCTAATTAATTCACGCGCGCTATCTCTGCCAGGAATTTGGATTGGTTATGCAAACGGCACCAATTTGTACTATTACTAGGAGATGGTGACGATGGCATACAAAATATGGCAATTTCAAAATGCCAAAAACAAATATATCTGAAGATATTTCTAGGAGGATGAACTACGTAAAAGAAACGTCAGTTATTTTTTTAATGTCTAATGTTGTAATTTAAAAGCAGTAATAAAGGTTTTCCCACTGAAAAATGTATCTTGTTCATAGTATTTTTTCTTTTGTTAAGAGTAGTTTAATTTAAAATTGATACCATTGAAAGTATATAATAGTACCCTACATTTTTATTAGTATTTTTCACGATTTTTTTTAAATCTCCAAAATTATACTATATATTAATAAATACTTCTCTTCTTAATTTATATCACCTTTTTGTCCAAAAACATATTTATTAAGCAAACTTGTTCTGTTTGGTATAACGCCGTTATAAAATGAAATATTGACTAAAGCCTTCTTGAGCGTGGTGTATCGCGTATAAGATGCAAACAATTAGTATACTCAAGACAACTGAGACTTTGAAACATTACTCCTCCAAGTAAGCATACATTAATTGTTTTTGGGTTCATTTACTCTATTTTCACAATTAATTTAGCATTTTATGGTAAAAGAAGTTTATAAGGCTTTCGTTGCTGACTTAGTAGCTTAATTATATATGCTACTTGTCTCACGAAGGACAGTGGATTCGAATACCGGTGAAACAGGATACAACAAGCACATATTAAGAAATGTAAGAATTACAACACTCACTGAAGTATCGCGGTTTTAAGCTCTTGAACACTTTATTTTATCAATATTTACCTTCACACTTCAATATTGGTAGACTCAACAAAGTATACGTTTCGGATGCTTTGCAGCAGCTGTGGTCACGGTAGGACTGAATATAGAGGTCTGTAATTTCAAGATCAAATCTGCTTCGGTGTAGATGTCTTTGTCGTATTTGAACTTGCGTGTTCGTTAAAGAACTGCCTCACGGTGTCCTTTCGTTAGTTAAAATTATTTAAAATCGAATGTTACAAGTGTTTTATTTAAAGGTGTACTACTTGCGTAAACACTACACACAATGCTCGACTGAAAGTTATTTAGTGTAGTGTCATGAGAGCTCATTAAATAATTGTAATTAATGCCCACACAGATGCCATGAATAAATTTAGCGTTTGAAACACAACTTATTTGCATAACGTAATAACTTCACTTTTGATGCAACCGTATAACAGGTATGTCACCCGCTGCCCGGAAAAAACTCATAATGAGATTTGCATCTAAAACCTGGAAATGCTATCCGTATAACGGTTATAGTTATGTTCTCGTTACATGAAGTACAGTACAGTAAAGGTACTGTACCGCTTGCTTTTAAATATTCATTAAAGGTTATGAAAAGATGATATGACAGAGAATCATGATCTTGATAGAAGATCCAAGCCATAAAACATTTTCACACGATGCGCTGTCGACTCATTTCACATCAAAGAAATTATTCCACGTACAAAAAACAAAATGCAATACTTAATAAAAAAAATTAATAAGCATTTATTAATAAAACTTTTCCAGCAATATTTTTTTCTGAAAAATATTTTTTTTTTAAACTTTGTTGGGTCTGGTGGGAATCGAACGAACGAATGATTGACCAATCCGTTTATGTGTATTTTCGAATCATTGATCAATGTTTTCATGCGCATTTTTCCATTAGAGCCATTACGCACTGTCGACCAATGTCGTCGACTCAGTCTCTCAGCGACCAATACACAGTCACCCGAACCAGGAGACCAAGCTGAGCGACAATATTCTAATTACATTCGTCCAAGTGGATGTCGATTATTAACTCTACTAAGAAATAAAGAAAAAGAAAACCAGCGTGATGGGTACATCCTATGTTACAAGAGGGGAAATCAAAATGAATGTTTATTTTATGAAGACGTGATAAAATACCTTCGTATTTTTTTTAAATCTTCGTGAATCTATTTTAATCTTGATAAGATTTGACTCAGTAAGTCTCAAATTGATTTTCGGGACTTTTATTTTCAATATAAATTTCTTAGTATCGAATATCTAAGCAACCGGACATCGCGTGCAAAATGTACGCGATGTCCGGTCGCCACAACAGTTGCTCGCCGTGTGAACGCTCGCGTTTGAAGCCGTGCTTCTATTGGTATTAAACCGTGTGTCGCCGCTACGCGGGGAGTCGCCGAGTTGCCTGAACAGCTGACGACAGTGCGTAAGCAGCCCTAGTAAGTTGTAGTCGCCGGCGACCAGCCGGCAGTACGTAATAGTGCTTATACTAACAAATACAAAGCAGTTAGATTCACAATATTAGAAGGAAATTCAGTAGAAATTTTCCAAAATTCAAGTTCCGCCCTTGTCATCAAAATGTTTCAATCTTTTTTTTAAACTCACTCGTCTACGCTTTAATTGTATCCAGCTCAGCCGTTTATACATATGCAAATGAAATCGAGTACTTTACCAACTTAAATATTATCATAATCGCTGGAATTGTATTATCTCAGTCTACTTGAATATCCTTATCATTTAAAGGAAAACTTCCGAAGCCTAGAAGTAGAATATTTCGTTTAACTTTGTAAGTGGTTTGTAAGGTTGTAACATAAACATAACGTTTAATACTACGAAACCGCATTTTGAATCCGATGTTCACATGCTTATTAGATCAACACGATATTATGATCATAAAAAATATTTATATTTATATAAAGGAGAACCACTGCCCTTTAGTAATAGTGGAGTAGTTTCCCTTCTGTTTAAGCGATAGATTTTTTTATACGATAATAAATAATAAATATCTGACAACGCAATGTCAATAGATGACATCTGACATCTAATGACATTTTCGGTGGTTAAATTGGCAAAACTTGTGTTAGTTTGTGAGAGATAAAAATACAATAAAATTTAATTTATACCTGAAGAAAGGGCATTAAGTGTTGTTTCTCGTTTTTCAGGTGAGTATTGTTCTATATTAAATAATTTAATGAATAAACTTTCGAGATTAATTGTAAATAAAATGTCTTGTTTTTTCAGAGAAACGCAATTACGTCTTTACTTTAATAAAACCCGTAAAAGCCATTCTATTTATATTTATTTCTGCATGCATAATTGACCGCCTCAGAAGTGATAAGTGTGTCCATTTTGACGGTTTAAACACTTTGACGGTTTAAACCGCGATAGGTATTTGTTAAACCTATTTAAAAAAATATTTTAACTACGGCCCAACGTTTCGGATAATTTTCAGCCGTGTTCACGGGGTGACAAAATTATTAAAATTCCGACGAAACAAATTGGGTAAATAAAAAAAAATGAAGAAATTTCACTTAATACTTATACCTATAGCTATATTTTAATATATTTCAAATAACATAAGTTCTTAAAAAAATCATTGTGTTTTAGTTTTGCGTGTGATTTTTTTACACAGATATATAATTAAACTTAAAGCCAATCCTATGAAAAATACTGATATAGTAAGAACGGACAATATCAATTCTATCTCATAGTAAATATTCCAGGGCGTATTGACAGCGGGTGCTCGAAGGTTCTTTGCTCCCCTATGTAGCATAACGTACTCCGTCCACCAGACAGCCCGCTCTAACGCACTTTGCGGCTGGTCGCGAGTCAAATGTCTTAATTTTTTCACGTTTTCTCTGTAACTGAAAAGAACAAGAAGAATTTAAACACCGTCTGTAGTTTACGCGAGTAGTACACATTTAAATAAATGCTTTATCGGTTCCCCGTCGTTCGATACTTTGGGCCGCAGTAAAAGTAATTTTCAAATAAGTTTAACAAATATATATTATCGTGTATTTAACCGTTAAAGTGTTTTGTTTAAAAGAAGTGTTTATCATTGAAGGGTTTAAATATAACGTATGACGAAACAGTTTATTATAAAATGTTCATTTCCGTTCACAAGCCGTCAAAATAACAACCGGAAAAAATAACCGAAATAATGTTGATTAACTTTTTTATCAATTATTAGTTTTATAATTTAAAACTCAATAGTATTAAAATTATATTATATGAATAGAGTTTTTTCTATTGAACCCATAAGCTTATAAATAACTAGCTGAGTCAGCGACTTCGTCCGCGTAGAATAATTATTTTGGGCATCCAAAACTATTTTTGCAAACCTCCTCTTCATCTTTATAAGAGATATCATTCTTTCATATATATATATTTTGAATGTCTCAAACCGTTTTCGCAGCGTGCGCATCGGAAACCCACAAAAATGAATAATTTGCCCCGTTTCTTTCACATTTCACGCTGTTTCTTCTCTCTTATTAGTCAGAGCGCGTTTTATAGCCTAATCTTCCTAAATAAATTTTCTAACCAATACAAAACGATCTTTCAATTCGAACCAGTATTGCATTATATTAGTGCGTTCAAACAAACAACCTCTTCAGCCTTATATATTAGTATAGATTAGACTAATATTAGTCATAATGAAATTCAGTCACTCTCTGTAATAACGATGTGAAATGTGAGTATTTTCTTTGTAAGGGTGTTTACATTATAACGAGTAAACATGAGACAATAATAAATAGTAATTTGATGGAGTTTCAAATTTAGAAGCATTTTGTATTTGACGGTCTCGTTGGTCATGGCAGCAATGTAGGGCTAATAATTCAATCAATTTATAATTATTTTGAAATATTTTAGTGTTCGCCCGGGAATTTGGATTTTAAGTGGGTGGTAGGAACATCGAAAATTTCGCCCGGGTCACGAGCCACTGTTCACAGATGCTTAGGTGGATCGAGTAAACCCAATGCTATGTCTGTCGTCCTCTATCATTAGAGAAAAATGAAATTCAGTCACTCTCAGTAATAAAGATGTGAAATGTGAGTATTTTCTTTGTAAGGGTGTTTACATTATAACGAGTAAACATGAGACTATAATAAAATAGTAATTTGTTGGAGTTTTTCTATCCAGAAGCATTTCTTAGTATCTATATAGCATTCTTTAAATCGTCGAATCAACATTTTGCTGTCCCACTACCAAGCTCAGGTCTCCTGTTACATAAATGGGGGTTCTAAGACCTTCGATCTACCATAATGCTTTGGTGCGGATTGCTTGGCTTTAAAGCTAAGTAATCGTTAACGATTACGCACTCGGACTAAAGTACTGACTGACCGATGACATTTCCTAGTCCTAAACTCTAGGCCAAAATCTAGATTTCACGGTTACATATCGTCTGGTCCAGAACTCTAGGGTGTAGGGCGCTTACTACTAGAGCAACGTGACAGCAATCTGATCCGTTTAAATAATTAATCTATACGCACACGCTTAGGGAATCTTTGTCTAAACTAGAGTTAAAAAGTAAAAGAAAAAAAAAGATAACCTTCAATTTTTTTTACGACTTACTACGACGATTATTGCTACAAAGCTTTCTCGTTTTTGACCGTTGTAAGGGGTTTATTTAATTTATCACATAAAAACCAGAAAACCACTTCAAATAGAACCTAAAGCACCAGCTTTAGGTTCTATTGCTATTTGCAAGCGCACTACCTTCTACCAAGAAGGTAGTGCGCTTGCAAATAGCACGATCTCTAGTATTAAAATGAAAGAGTATATCCCAGATTACCTTCCATCTTCGATTAGCATAGTGATTGTATTCTTCAATTCGTCTTTTGTTAGCGTGTCTAAGTGCAGTCTCTTCCCAATTTTGAAATATTCATATTTCTCTGATGTGTACCATTGGTCGGCGATCATAGGTATTCCTATTAATGGTACACCAGCACTAATTGACTCTTCAGCTGAATTAATCCCTCCCTGTTGTATAAAAAGTTTTACGTTTGGATGTCCTTAAAAAGAACAGATTATTTTTTTTAAATAAACAATATTTAAACACTGTCTGTAGTTTACGCGAGTAAATGTAGATAAAACAATAAAACATTTTAACGGTTTAAAACGCGATATATATTACTTAAACCTTGCAGCCGAAACATTGCCGAAAAAGTAATGTCCAAATATGTTTAACTAATATATATTGCATTTTAAGCCGTTAAAGTATTTTATTTTAATAAACAATATTTTATCATTATGATGTAAACATGATTTTTTTATGACAGAGGAGGAAAGACAAGCTTGGGGTTCGTTCGATGATGGTGAAATACCACAGCCATATAATATTTAAATGTGTTGTACACCTATTTTGCCTGTGAACTTATAAGAATAATTTCAAATGAAAAATTTACTAGAATTAAGTTAAAATATATTTGATATATGAAAATATTGAAGTTGATTACATATAATATATATATATACAATCAATTAACTATAAATTAAATAATAAATATACTATAAATTTAAAGAAACAACATGAACAAAACATCGTGATGGTTACTCACTCAGTAAATCACTCTGCGGCACCCACCGTGTTAATTTCACATTAGACGAAATACCGGGAATTTCAGCGTCCCACCGCCACAGAACATTGTAGGGTAGTTCGGAAAATGTTTTAGTCAGCATTTCAACTTTATCGACAGGCATAAGCGACGGCTTTACGTTGTTACCGAAGCTTACGTAAATGATTCCAGTTTTGCACGAGTCTAAATAGGATTTTAGGTCCTGGAAAGATAAATGTTATAGTTAAAATTATGTAGAAGATAAACTTTAACGTTATAATGGCACTTCAACTATCTAAAAACATTAATAACGTCTGGTTTAAAATACATTCACATGTGTTACTCACATCTGTCGAAAAATAATATTAAAATTAGGCTTAATTAGCCTAATTTAGTAGACTTAGCAATTATAGACCTTAGTTTAATATAAGCATGTAACTTTTAATTACCTCAGGCAAGTCTTTTTCAGGCTGAATATGAATTCCTCCCACATAAACTAAATTCTTAGGAACTGGCAATTTGTCGCACCAAAACGAGTAACTATTAATGAATATCATATCCACGTTGTCGCTCAGGTCTCGCAACGAAGGCACATCTCTTCCAAATATACTCTGCAGCATTATATCTTCTTTTAATTCCAAATTTATATACAAGTTGTAGATGTCCTTATGTTTAAATATCTCTTGAAACTCCTCCCATAATGTTAGGTTGTATAATCTCTGATGTAATACCCAGGGATATAGGAAAATATGAGAAGGGGCACCGACCACATCATTACTATTCAACATAGGTCCTGACGTTGACATCTGTATTATGGGAGCTTTGAATACGTGAGAGAAGATTAGCGCAGGCCTAACAGACGCCTCTACAATTATCACATCAAACCTTCCTTCCCCTTCGCGTATTATTTCCTGTACTTCTTTAGTTTTCAACTGTATTTCCAAAGAGTGACTGAACTCTATTAGAAATAGTTCTGCTGTTTTGTATAGGTCCTTTTTGCTTCCGAATTCCGTGTTGTTCATGAAATTTGTTTTCCACGCTGCGTACGTTACGTCTCGTACGTCGATTTCTCTTAGATTTGGGGGTCCATCTTTATTTTTGAATACAGGATCGGTGGTTACTACTACGACTTCGTGTCCTCTTCTTGCTAAATCTTGGGTGAGAGGACGAAAAACGACTTGATGACTGAATGAGGGTGTCGGTACTACAACTAATATACGCCCACAGTAGACATACCCTGAGAGAAAAGTTAATATAAGTAGTATGTCTTTCATGACTAAAATTATTCTGATATTCTGGAAACTTTTTCAAGTCAAAAGACATATGACTTGGAACACTGTTCCAAGTGCACAATATTCAATAGTCAAAACTAGCACTTTAAGTAGTAAAATATCTTAACTGTTAAGCATTTGCACACTATTATTTTAATCATGACTTGTTTGTGCCATTAAATTTTATCTGCGTAAATATTTTTTTTTTTATAAAATTCATAGACATTTATACTACATTTTTTCTTTGTAATGTTTTAGTTCACTTAACATTCACCGGATGTAACATGCTTAGATTTCTCATTCCATCCAATATACTTTTGTCTAAATCTATATAAATTTTTCGGACAAACATACCTCTTCACTTAATAACAGTAATATTCTTCATTCTTTTAGGTCATGGCAAAATATTATACTAATGCATACACCTGAAATAATATTGAATATTACGTGAATATTGTATATTTTTTTAATTCGGCTCCATGTTCGTGTTTTTAAGTGCGTGGAATATTTAAGAAATTGGGAGTTAATTTTCGACTTATTTTTCATCATTGTATTATACTATTCGAGAAGTAGAGTAGCAGAGAAAAACTTTGTTAAATATATCTCTTGAAGTTTATTGGCTTAATACAACCAAGATCGATGCCACACATAACATTATCTCGTCAAAGCAGTAAGATATTTAAAGCGCAGATGATACGTCATCCCATACATTTTAAACTATCCGAATCCCGGGGAAACGGTAAATTGTTTCGGACGGGCAGGGCACAGAAGTCTGATCAACTATTTGCCTGTAAATAAAACCGATCACAGAAACGGACACAGAAATGTGTTCGCCCTGTGCCCCAAGAGGAGAAACGGGATTTCACACATAGATAGATAGTATTTATTACCCTTTCTCAGGTGAAACTGAAATGCATTATAAACGATTAAATCGAGTGTAACTTAGCAATAAAATGGGAGCTAACATTCGGAGTGACGGGAAGTGGCGCGGAAAGCGATAAGAGCTATTTATGTGTTCACCATTGGGATTAGTTTGTTTTGGCACGGGTTTGGGCCTCACACGGATTCTATTGAAGGATAGCTTCATTATATTAAAATTATTAACCAACACCTGCCAATATTGGTTCACTGTATTGACTCAGCAGGCCACTGAAATTGTGTTATTATTTATCTAGAATTATTGCTAATATAAGTATTGTGTAGGTAAGAGGATAACGTACCTAATCAACGGGGATTTAAATAAAACTTATATATTTCTTTCATTTTAAGTTACTATTATTTACTTTTGTAAGAACACTAGAAGTACTTATCATCTATACTAGTAAATAAAGCTGAAGAGTTTGTTTGTTTATTAGTTTGAACGCGCTAATCGCACGAACTACTGGTTCGAATTTAAAAAAATATTTTTTTGTTGGTTAGAACATTTATCAAGGAAGGCTATATTGCGCTGTGACTAATGTGAGCGAAGAAACAGCTGAAAATGCGGTGAAAACAGGGAAAGTTATTCATCTCTGTAGGTTTCTGATGCCTACGCTGCGAGAACAAATTTTGGATGCCCTAAATAATAATTCTACGCGAACGAAGTCGCTGAATCAGCCAGTATAATATCAATTACATAGTATTAAGAATAATGTAATTAGTATCTTCTTATTGGAAACTAAAAAGGAATTTGACAAAGGCTTGTCAAAAATCGTCACCCTGTCTTTTATTTTTCTTTCAAACGTTAGGTAAGTTAATTAAAATGCAATTAAATGCGTGTAATTAAAATGTGTTGTAGTCTTATTATGTGTTGAAGGATTGAAAAATTACCAAACATACCGAAACCTGAAGCCTGGCTTTCAATAAATAATTTGTTAATGTCGAAAAATTTTATTTTTTAAACAAATATCTCAGCAAATTAAGTTGGCGAGATGAACACACTGAAGATAGTATCAGGTATTTGCGCTTTATTCTGAATACTTACCAAATCCATATCGCGTTTTAAATCGTTAAATATGATTTATTTAAAAGCCTTAAAAGTTACGTTATCTGTACCACCGGCCAGTACTTTTCATGTCCAAACATAACCGTCAAAGCCAGAAATGGGTGCGAAATTGTCAAGTTACCAATAAAATGACTCTTAAACCCGCATAAATTGCAGATATTAACAATTGAGACTATCCTAACCGATGACCATTCGAGGACTCTTTTCGCCAGATGTTGGTGCATAGATAAATTTGTTTTGATAAGGGAATTTAAACTCTAACACTTTGAGTTAAACGCTACGAGATTGCTTAGATAATGTGATGGGAAATGTAAATGATGGACAGTATGGAAAAATGAATAGTCCTTAAACCGAATTTCTCGGCTTCATACAGGCTTAAGTAAGTCTTTCGAACCGCGGCATCAGTTAGTTGTAGTGTGTATTACCTAATAATAGTTCCTTAAATTAGATTGCATTGAATTATTAATATAACATTAAATATCTTAGTTATTAAAAACTTTGACATAATCTTTAAAGACGGTGTGAAATACCCCTTGCCCCCATGGGGTATGGGGCGAACACGCATCCATTTCAAATATCAGTTCTACAGGCAAGTAGTTGATCATACTTTTATGCCATGCCCGACCGAAACAATCTATTATTTCCCTGGGATTCGAACCAAGGACGATTCGCGCTTAACGCTATGTTAGGCAACATGTTTAACAATTTGGCTATAGAGGAAGTCTAACCAACCATATTGCTGGAAGTTACTTCACATATGACATCGAAGTTCTACATTGGCATCTTTTCTTAACCAATGTCATTAATATCTGGTGGAATTAAGCTCTAATCACTTATTTAGAAAAATAGATTTAGAATCGTAGATCTCTAATATCCTTCGAAGTCAACAAAAATGAACCAGCCAGTGCAATTAAAATCGTGTAGTACTACGCGTTTCTAACTAGAAGCGACAGCCCTGTGTTTGGGTGGGATGCAATTTGCGATGCGGTCGGCCCCCGCAGAGCCTAATTTCAACACGTTACTGCACACTTCGGTCTTCCATTCCGTTTCTGCCCTAATTACGTATTCCACTCTCACGGATTTGTAACAGAATTGTTTTCGAAGAATATTCCGGTCGTATTTATCACTTCTGTTCTTGTTTGTCTGTAGTTTACGCGAGTTGTACACTTTAACGGTTTAAAACGCGATATATATTATTAGATAAGCTTATGTATTTGAAAATAATTTTAACTACGGCCCGACGTGTCTCCCCGTGACCACGGCTGGTGCAAAGCACGTGCTTCCGTACCGTCGGGCCGTAGTTTAAATAATTTTCAAATAACTTTAATTAATTTATTAATTAAACTTTTTTGAAAATTATTTGTCACGTTTTAAACAGTTAAAGTGTTTCATTTCAATATACACTATAGTACATATTTTGTTAACATACCCAATTCTATCGTCAAAGTAATTGAATCTAGAACGAGCTATTATAATGGAGTGACGTCATGTCCAGTTAGTTCAAGTTGGCAGTAAGTATAACGAGCATTATTGGCATTGAACGTTAGCTATCCCGAGTCTATCTGTCTGCCAAATTACAGAATAATCCCGTGAGGCGGCGCTCCTAACTCGGAAGCTTGATTTACCTCGTGAAGGCCAGTTTAGGACATCTATACGGCCAGAGTTGACTTAAGGCTTATGGAATATCAATGAGATTATCTCGTTCAGTTCTCTTAATTATTTCGTTTAATAACTTATGAACAGTGGTATCTCTAAGCATATGCTATCTATCCTAATGTATAAGGCTGAAGAGTTTGTTAGTTTGTTTGTTGGAACGCGCTAATCTCAGGAACTGCTAGTATGAATAGATTTTGTGTTGGTTAGAGAATTTATCCAGCAAGGCTATAAAAGATCGCGCCGTGACTAATAGGAGCGAATAAAAAGCGGGAAATGAAAATTTAGTTTTGTGAGATTCCGGTGCGTAAGCTGCGAAAACGGAATGATTCCTTTTAAAAAAAATGTCGCCGACATTATGGCGGCTATTATTTACGGCTATATGTCGATCATTCAAAATTAACACATTTTTGAGCCCGCTTACGGATCCGTTCTTTAAGAGGAACTATTTTTTTGTTTCCCTGGAATTCGAATCCAGGACCCCTCAACCTCGACCGCGCTAGGCAATTCGTTTAACCATTTGGCTACAAAGGCGGTCATGGGTAAAAGCTTAAATTTGTTAAAATGAAGGAAGGAGGTTTGCAAAAACGATAGATAGTTTGGATGCCCAAAATCGGACGAAGTCGTTGAGCACAGTTAGTAGCGCATATGTTTAATCGAAAAGCCAATATAATTGGCATTTTGAAATTAAAATTCTACGAATGACTTTTATAACGAAAGAACAAATAAATACTGTCTGTAGTTTACGCAAGTAGTTCACATTAAAATAAAACACTTTAACGGTTTGAAACGCGTTATATAATGCTAAAGCTTATATGGAAATTATTTTAACTATGTCCCGACGTTACGGATGCTTTGCAATTTAACACAGTTTAACTAGAATGTATCGCGTTTTAAACCGTAAAAGTGTTTTATTAAAATTCGAAAGAACAATTATTGCGTATCGTTAGCTATTAATCTAATGATAATAATTGTATTACATGTGTTAAAATTAAGACCTGTTTTTTTCAAATATTATGAGAATATTCATGTTATTGTACCGTAACCTTGAGATTTTTACGTAACGTACGTCGTTAGATAATGTACATATAATTGCTAGTTTCTTGTCGACATACATTAAAATACAAATAATTTTTGTTTGTGTACTTATAATTTTATATAGCTTATTCAATCTAAGTGTACGAAGGAGTACAGCTTATCGAAATACTGTTTTCAAGCCGGAAAAAAAAAACAAATTTATCGGCTTAAAACGTGATATATATCTCATAAGTATCGCGTTTTAAAGCGTTAAAGTTATTTATTTAAATATATGCCACTCACGTAAACTACAGACAGTATTTAATCAAAAAACAAGAAAAAAGATTAAATTAATATTTGAAATTCAAATTTCAATATTTTTTTTCAAACAGCGCTAAAACCACTCTGATATTAGCTTAATGACTTATTTCTTATACCTATTAGATTATGAAGCACTTCCCTAATTCAAACTTCCATGATGGACTTCGGAACATCGTAAAAAATTAAACAAGTGGAGTTTTTTGATAATGAATCGTTACGGTTCAGTTACTTTGTGGTTTACGAGTGTCTTGAAGTCCGTTTTTAATGATGGAGGGATACAGACGAGCATGAGGTTTCACTTGAAGGTAGGTGTAATACCCCAGCCTATAGCATATATGATGCGCTATCGACCTATTTTGGCTTTGGATATCTACAGACTGAAACCAAAACGTAATTAAACGAAACGATGGTTCGTGTGCCGGACAGAATTTCGACATTCCTACCATGTTGACAAACATACAATTTTAAACCTGCTTCCGTACAAAAATGTTAGTATACAAAACAATTAATGAGTTCTACAAAACCGTCTGTTCTTAGTAAGAAGTTGAAGTTTAGTAAAGTTTCCTTTGAAAGACATGACTCATGAGACGTCCGCTTATGTTAACTTTAGTCCTTTTTAAAGTAACTTGGATCCTCATATTTCGTAATAGATTTCTCGTTATAAACTATAACAATTGATTTACTAATTTTACCGTCAAATTCGGGTTTTATTTAAAATAATAACTCCTTAAGAAAATAACTAGGCATAAAAAGTAAATAAACATTTCCATACAGACTAAAATTTTTGCGGTGATGGGACCTAAAAAGCGCAGTTTGATCTATGTTCGTAATTAATTTCTCCTAATAAAGGAATAAGTACGTCCCACTACTCTAAACTTTTAAAATACTTTTCTGAATGTCTGTTCGTCTATATATTGTATTCAAGAACCCGCGTTAGCTAAACTCGTCTTTCTTTCTTTTCTTAATAGAAAAGATAGTTCGTATAGGTACCTGCCCTATTTTTTATGTCATTCTACTAACAACCAGGAATATCAATTGCCAGTATTAAAATGATTTACAAAAGGGGCTTACTTAAGATGTATTTTACTTTGTTTGATAAAGGACAATATGGACACAATCTTCGAAAATAAAACTTATTTTGAGAATTCCCTGGGGCATATCGTTATAGAACGTATGGTAAATAGCTTTTGTGTATCATTTTATTTAATATTGTCTGTAGTTCACGTGAGTAGTACACATTTAAATAAAATACTTTTAACGGTTTAGAAGGGAAATCAGTTAACTCATTTACAATCTATTGTAACTACCCGTGGCTTCGATTGGTTTGCAGCAGGCTAAATCGTTAAAAAAAATTAATTAAGTATAATTTTATTACATATTAAAATAATGGTCTTAACAAACTTAGTTTTTAAAATTATTATAATTAACTTTCCACAAGAAAAAACCTGTAATGCAAAATTATTTGCCATATGCTTTATAAGTAAGTAGTTGTATTTCATCTACAATTGGAGACTTATGACTGTAATTTAGGAACGTAGTTAATTTCGTTTCAGAAATACAGACCTGACTATTATTATAATAAGTCTGTAAGAATTCCCACCTGATAAGAATACTGCCTATAGATTCAATTCAATTTCTTTGCTTTATAATTTCAATAGGCGCGCAAAATTGAATTTTATAATGATTTGAATTGATTACTAATTTAAATAAAACACTTTAACGGTTTAAAACGCGATATATTAGTTAAACTTATTTGAAAATGATTTTTCAAATAAGTGAGCATTCGTGAGCCGTGGTCACGGGGAGACTCCCCGTGACCACGGCTGCTGCAAAGCATCCGAAACGTCGGGCCGAAGTTAAAAATCATTTTCAAATAAGTTTAACTAATATATCGCGTTTTAAACCGTTAAAGTGTTTTATTTAAATGTGTACTACTCGCGTAAACTATAGACAGTATTTGATTACTAATGATTGTCTATTAAAGTAAGGAATTCATCTTTTCTGTAACAAAAATGAAGAAAGCGTTTGTGTATAGCCTATACTCGGCTTTGGAAAGTGTTTTAATAGGCACTTTGGACCTGGCTAACATACATTTTATCTCTACTAATATTATAACTAAAGCTAAAGAGTTGGTTTTTGTGTGAATACATTATTTTTGTGTTGGTCCAACCATAAAGTAAGAAATGCTAAGACTACAAAATATCAGGCTGCGACCACTAAAAGCGAAACAACAGAGCGAAATGTGAAAAAAACGAAGATAATTGTTAAAGCGGAGGAGATAGTTCCCAAAAATAAAAAAATACTAACTATTCGAGGTGAACAAAGTCGCAGCCATAGCTAGTTTACAATAATTTTTCAATTCTATGATCTACCAGCGAAAGGGTATAATAAAATTGAATAGGAAATAATTAACATGTATTTACTCGATCTTATACCTCTTTTAAACAAAGTACTCGTGTATGTACTGTTATCTATCTTCATATACTTTCCATTATCTACCAATTTAGTTATGTAGTATGCATCAATAAATAAAACATCTTTCTTGCACAATTAAGATAAATTGCTATCATTTTATTTACTTATATATTTATACTTACACACACATTATACTTAGGTACAGTATAGTTATAATTTTATCATCATGATCTTCAGCTTATGATTGCCATATATGGCATGTACTATAATTTGTATAAATTTATAAAATCATCGGTAAAAAACAGTAGCGTCATCTCTTGGCTTTAATTTGGGAGTTTCTAAGATTACTTCACTCTTCTCCCATGGAAAAACATAGATCTTTAAACTTTAGAAATAATTTTAATGACACTACATCACAAAAAAAAACAATGTTAAACCTCATGTGTCTTTATTATATTTTAATATAAGAAACACTGAACAAACCAATATAGTTAACTAGCTTTAAGTTTTTTAAAGACCAAGTTTTTAAATACTCTTACATACAATTTGTGGCTTATAAGGAAAACTATTATGAATATAGATAAAACTATCAGTCCTGATTTCAATAAAAGATCCATCTCGTAATAATCCCACCAGGACATGTTGGCTGCAGCGGCTCGAAGGTGCTTCGCCCCACCATGTCGTATTACGTACTCTGTCCACCAAACAGCCCTATCCAATGCGGTTTGAGGAGAATCATTCATTAAGGTTCGGAGCGTTGCAATATTGTCCCTATAACTGAAAACAATAACGATGAATGAATAAACGAACGACGAAGCCACGAGACTTGCAGTAGTTAATCGTTAATATAATAAAGACATTATGTTACAAGTAATTCTGCAAGGACATCGACGCGAAATCTGAGTTGAGCCATTAAAATAAGATTTTATTATTGCTGTAAAATCAGTATTTTTATATGGTGCCTGATATATTAGTACAGATATTTGTAAAAATTAGATAAATCGCCTGTGTGTAAAAAATAATAAAACATCGTAGCTAATAGATTACAACATTTGTTTAACTTCAGTAGAATAAACTAATAAAAACCGTAAAAACAAACCTCGTATCGTTTATGACCGAATTAATAGCATCTTCGAATTTATCTTCAGTTATTGTTTCCATGTCGAGCCGGACACCGATTTTGTGCTTCTCGTATTTCTCCACATTGTACCACTGGTCACCCAGCATCGGAATTCCGATAAGTGGTACTCCGGCCGTTATGGCTTCATCCGTCGACTGTAAACCTCCTTGAGTTACGAAGACTTTGACCTTAGGATGTCCTGAAATTTTGATTAAATGACAAACAAATAAGATTTATATAAGGTGATAAGAGATCTGTTGATGTCGCATAATAGGTGTACGAGATTTTTAGTAATATTCTTTATTTAACTTTATAACTTCGATTAATTTTCAAAAGTTATGTAATACATGATATTGTATTCAAATGAAAAATGGACTACCTTTAAAGCAGAAAACGATGTTATATATGGAAGAACGTTTATAATTTGGATAAGCGGTAAAACAGCCTATTGCTACAAGAACAGGTATAACAGCCTAAACCATAGATTCTTCAATTCATTGAAATATTATCTTATTCAATAATATAAACTATACTACAGTCAGTACAAACAAGAAATGCTTCAGGAGAGAGACGGGTGACATGTAGAATTTCAACATTATTTACTCAGAAGATCCGATTGCGGGAACCACTTTCCTATTTTAACATTGTCGGGTTTTCCCGGCATAACATCCTTTTCCCATTTCCATAAAACGTCATACGGCAACTTTGAAAACACCCGGATCAATAGACGAATGAAGTCAGGTGGCAGAGTAGTTGACGGTGCGTTCGTTCCAAAGCTGATATATATGACACCATATTTAGAATCGTCTAAGTAGGACTTCAGACTCTAAAAAAATATATATAGTATATAACTGTTCAGGTTAAAAATCAACGACTAAATAATATTAATTCACAATCTATACGTTCGCGTTTCATTTAAATAAATTAACGAGAAAACTATTATCATTGTATCAAACTCAGATTGCTATTATAAGCTCTCTAGAAACTCGTACAAGCGGACAGAATTAAACGTATGTTTTTTATCTATAATTCTTTCATACATTAAAAATACTTTTTTTTTTCTTGCATTTTAATTTAACACTCACATGCGGCAATTCTTTTTCAGGTTTCTTATGGATACCCCAAATTGATATGACGTTTGAAGGCAAAGGCTGGTTATCTATCCAAATTGGGTGAGTGTTTAAGAAAAGCATATCAGCATTATTGTACAACTCGTTATATTCAGGCAAAGAAGGGCCCAAAACCCCTCGAAAAGCTTCAATTTCATCTGCCTCCTTAGTTGACCACTCCGACCGGTACCACCAGTTTTTGTACAGTTCTTCTAGTTTCTCCAAAAACGTTAAGTTATAAAGTCTTTGTTGTAACGGTAAAGGGTATTTTAGGGGGTTATTCGGAATCCCAAATGTCTCTTCGTTCCCCATCATTAAGCCAAATGAACTAACACAAATCACTGGCGCTTTAAACACATACGAATATACAAACGTTTGCCTAGTCCATGCTTCTAGAAGTATGACATCAAAATGTTTTGTATCATACTTCAACAATTCTTGTATTTCATTTTCCATTAATTGCTTTACAGTCAATTTCTTTAGAAGTTTAACGGCGGTACTGTATTGATGGTAGATAGTATGCCTTCTTCCAAACTCGAGGGCATACACGAATTCTTCTCTCCATATTTTGTATGATACATCGTGTATATCTATTTCCGTTAAGTTATCTGGTGGTTTTGTATTTTTGAAGACGGGGTCTGCAGTAATTACTGTCACATCGTGTCCGCGTTGAACCAGTCCTTGAGTTAATGGCCGAAAAATTACTTGGTGACTGATCGACGGAGTAGGAAATACAGCAAGAATTTTTGCAGCATCAGCAACGCTACTTAAACACAGTGCGATTAACGTCACACTAGCTGTAGATGCCATCATGAAAGATGGACCTTTACTGATGGAACGATTTACGTGTTCTGTCGTCACAGTAAGTTTATTTGTTTGCGTATTTATACAGTTCAGAACATATACTTAAAGTAATTGAAAATAATCAACCGGTCTATCATCAATCATTATAATTTCCGGACTAATGTTACCTTGTGCACCATCCAATCTCACAATGACGACTGTTCCTAGTTGTAATGAAATTAATAGACACGTTTCTTTGTTTTTGTTACATATATTTAACTATTTAAACCACTCTCATAGGGAAAATCTAACTAAGTAAATAATACAAGTATTGTACATAAAACACGTGCTCTTGCGAAATCACTTGTTACGTTTAGTAAATTTTCCCTTTAATAAAGAAACAATAATTTTTAAGGAAACTTCACATTACGTTTGCCTTGATTAGAGTTAGCAATGTACGGCTATATAATTAATGGGTCGTGGGATCGATGCCTACCGCGACAAAATTTCTTTCATTATTTTTTCAGTTTTTATTATTTTAGTAACTATCAGCATTTACCATTTCGTGACTTGTGAGGTGGAATTTAAATACTCTACCACAAATTTAATGTCCAGAAATATTATCTACCCTATTGTAATTCCAGTTATTAGCTGTAAACATATACAAAATGCGTATTAAAATGTTATTACTACCGATTATAAAAATTTTGACAAAAAATCTTCGTGATTTTTCAGGAATTGTAAAACGTACGTTGTAAGCCTTACACAATTTATTAAAGTATACAGTTGTTACTATTATTATATTTATTTATTTAAGTATTTCTTGGGACAAAAACTACTTTCCACCTAATAAGAATATGCCTATAATACAATATTACTAAATTAAAATTAATATATTTTGCTGTGTAATTTCGATAGGCGTTCTAAATTTAATTATATTATGATTTGATTTCATTCAACTAATGATTGTTTTCAAAAAAAGGAATTTTATCTTTTCTGTAACTATTATTTTGAGAGCGTTGGTACATGTAAAACGTATACTCGGTTTTGGCAAAAGAGTAACTGAACTGTACTAAACGGAGATTTGGACCTGGTTAATAGAAAATTTTGTTAGTTATGTAACTATTAAACTTTAAGCTTTCACTTAAAATAAGTGAAAGTGCAGTTTTATGTTCTGACCATAAATTCCGTTGACCCTTTTTGACAAGACACAATACACTGTCCGATTGAATGGTCCATTTTCTTTACTAGCGAATACTCGCCGTGCCCTCACAGACTGTATTTTTTTTCAGCACTTCCTAAGGTTTAAACAAAGGGACAGTCTTGGTTTTTTACTCACCTTGGCAAGATGTTATTCAGCCGACTCATCATGATCGCTCAATAAAGAGACAGCTATTATCATAGTTAAGTTAAATCCGCTTTTAGCTAAAAGTTTTAAAAATCTAAATGGGAAACAACAAACACGTTTCAACAAGCTTTTTTCTCTATTATAAAAATTACTTGTGTTTGTTATTATCTCGGTGAATAAAATGGAGGTGTATGAAGTATGCGTTATCAATTGATACTTGTATAACGTCCTTTTTGCACAATTACAATTTGATTAAATTTATAAATATAATTTCAATAACACATAATGAAATTTCTAAGAATGACATTAAAACTAAAAAAAACATGAAACGTCATACCTATTTTAATATAATATTGGAAAAAACCGATATAGCTAGCTTTCACTTTCTTAAAAACCAAGTTTTTTAAATACTATTACATACAATTGGTGGCTTATTACTAAAACTGTGATTAGTATAGATAAAACTAACATTGCTAGTGTTAACACTAAATCCATCTCGCAATAATCCCATAATGGCATATTAGCTGCAGCGGCTCGAAGGTTTTTCGCCCCACCATGTCGTATTACGTACTCTGTCCACCAAACAGCTCTATCCAATGCGGTATGGGGGGAATCATTCATTAAGGCTCGGAGCTTTACAATATTGTCCCTATAACTGAAAACCATATCGTGAAAATCATTATGCTAATCGACATAATATGTTACAACTCATTTTGGAAGTAAATGGACGTGAATCTCTCGAATAGAACATGATGTTATTATTGCTGTGGAACTATTATAGTATCTGTGAAACTTGAAGAAAAATAAGATGTTACATATATAACACCGCAGCTATTAGATTGCAACGTATTTACCATTAGTAGGACGTAACAAATAAAAAAATGTAAAAACAAACCTTGTATCTTTTAAGAACAAATTAATAGCATCTTCGAATTTATCTTCAGTTATCGTTTCCATGTCGAGCCGGACACCGATTTTGTGCTTTTCATATTTCTCCACGTTGTACCACTGATCACTCATCATCGGAATTCCGATAAGTGGTACTCCAGCCGTTATTGCTTCATCCGTCGACTGCAAACCTCCTTGAGTTACGAAAACTTTGACCTTAGGATGTTCTGAAATATTGATTAAATGACAAATAAATTAGATTTATATAACGTGATGAGAGACAATAACCTGTTCGGTGTCGCTTACAGAGTTTAAGAGATTTTGTATTTATTAAGTGTTGCTTGGCAGTGATTAATTAAAAAAAGCTCGTTACTCAATAAAAATAAGAGTAAATGCAAGACTGAATTTGTATTCTGTTTTTCAGATCAAACCAGAAATGCTCCGGGAGAGAAACGCGTGACATGTAAAGTTTCAAAAATATTTACTCAGAAGATCCGATTGCGGGAACCACTTTCCTATTTTAACGTTGTCGGGTTTTCCTGGCATAACATCCTTTTCCCATTTCCATAAAACCTCGTAAGGCAACTTTGAAACCACCCGGGTTAACAGACGAATGAAGTCAGGTGGCAGAGTAGTTGATGGTACGTTCGATCCGAAGCTGAGATATATGATGCCGTTTTCAGAATTGTCTAAGTAAGACTTCAGATTCTGAAATATAGTATAAAACGATCTTAATAACGCATAATAATGTTAAAGTAAAAAGAATGGATATCTTTATAGGATAGGTGACCCCTGGTTGAATAGTCAATGTGTCTTTCTTTCAAATAATTCAGTGTAGTATTATTTGTTAATTTGAAAATAGGGTAGATTTTTGTAATTTAAATTAATGTAGGAATGGAATCATTTTAATATTTTATTGTATTCAACTTGTGTTCTCTCAAATACGCATGCGATTTAATTACGATTTAATAAAAAAATATAATACATAAAATATTCATACTTACACGTGGCAATTCCTTTTCAGGCTTCTTATGGACACCCCAAATTGATATGACGTTTGAAGGCAACGGCTGGTTATCAATCCAAATTGGGTGAATGTTTAAGAAAAGCATATCAGAATTATTGTACAATTCAGTATACTCTGGCAAACCCGGACCCAAAACCCCTCGAAAAGCTTCAATTTCATCTGTCGCCTTAGATGACCACTCCGACCGGTACCACCAGTTTTTGTATAGTTCTTTTAGTTTCTCCAAAAACGTTAAGTTATAAAGTCTTTGTTGTAACGGTAGAGGGTATTTTAGGGGGTTATTCGGAATCCCAAAAGTCTCTTCGTTCCCTATCATTAAGCCAAATGAACTAACACAAATCACAGGAGCTTTAAACACATAAGAATATACAAACGTTTGCCTAGTCCATGCTTCTAGAAGTATGACATCAAAATGTTTTGTATCATACTTCAACAATTCTTGTATTTCATTTTCCATTAATTGCTTTAGAGTCAATTTCTTTAGAAGTTTAACGGCGGTACTGTATCGATGGTAGATAGTATGCCTTCTTCCAAACTCGACGGCATATACGAATTCTTCTCTCCATATGTTGTATGATACATCGTGTATATCTATTTCCGTCAAGTTACCAGGTGGTATTGTATTTGTGAAGACAGGGTCTGTAGTAATTACTGTAACATCCTACCCGCGTTGAGTCAGTCCTTGAGTTAATGGCCGAAAAATAATTTGGTGACTGATCGACGGAGTAGGAAATACAGCAAAAATTTTTGCAGCATCAGATACGCTACTTAAACACAGTGCGATTAACGTCACACTAGCTGTAGATGCCATCTTAAAAGATGGAACTTTACTGGTGTACAGACTTTCTTGTTCTGTCCTCGCAATAAGTATATTTGTTTTTGTATTTATACAGCTCTTCAGAACATATGATTAAACAAAAAATTTAAAGGTTTATGATATAATAAAGAAATCTATGTATTTGTTACGTGTATTTTATTTATTAAATCACTGTTATAGGGAAATATCTCTTGCGAAGTTAAAATATCTTTGAAAATTAAAATGAGAAGAACTCAAGCGAATAACTTTATTTACTCACTTTACATTTTTCTGTTTCCTAAATTATCCCCTCAAGAAACAAACGATAATTTTTAAGTTGTTAATAATCATAATACGTTATTTACTATCGGGTCTTCGCCTGTATGTTAGATTAGAAGATGCACGTATCTATTAATTTCGCCAACTTACAAAAATTCCTCTCAATCCATGTCATAATCGTACACATAACATAACGAATATTTTTTTCTATTTTTACTATATCGATAAAGGTATTGGAATTCATTATGAAATGCATCGTTCAATTGACAATCACAGAACTTCCTTTTTGTAGAAGAATTATAAAATGCTTGATTGATTCACTGATTCAGTTTCTTTACTAGCGAGTAGCCGGTGTTCCCTAACCGATTTTTTTTTTTGCATTTCCTAAGGTTTAAACAAAGGGCTAGTCTTGGTTTTAGCTCACTTTGGCAAGATGTTATTCAGCTGACTCATCATGATCGCTCAAAAAAGAGACAGCTCAAACGTTGTCATAGTTTAGTTAAAACCGCTTTTAGCGAAAAGTTTTAAAAATCTAAATGGAAAACATTAAACACGTTTTAACGAGTTTTTTCCTCTATTATACAAATTACTTGTGTTTATTATTATCTCGCTGAATATAATCTATACTATCTATACTTCTTGTTAATTTTTCCTTCTTTTTCTCTATAACCTCTCGTAATTGCACCGTGCCGCGAGTGGTATGCTTAACAAACTCCGGGAGTGGACTGCGGTCTTTTGGCTGTCTGTCCGTGGCGGCATCGTTTTCCGCTTCCCTTATCCTTCCTACGCTTTCCTAAGCCCTTGACACGGGCGGGCGACGGCCTTTGATCCGTGTCCATCAGGGTGTGTTGGCGTAGCATTTAGGCCTAGGAGGCAAGGCTACCTCGCTTCTAGATTGAGGCTGCCGCTTGAGCAGTCGTTAGACGTGTCAGCTTAACACACAACCGAACCCAGGGAGGTATTTTCCGAAAGTAAAAAAAAAGGGGATGAAAGTTTGCATGGAAATTCGTGGTTTTTGAATCTAAAACAATGAAACCTTCTTCTTTGGCTTTTAGATAATAGGAGTGAGAGTGGGAGTGGGATTAAGAGTGAGTGTGGGAGTGAGTGTAGGAATGAGAGTGGGTGTTAGAGTAGGAGTGATGTAAGGTGAGAGTGTTGCGGCAAAGTAGCACTTACAACAAAGATTGGCTGCCTTAAATGCGCCCTTACATTAATTAATAAACAGCCAAAATAATTAAAAATTCTAAGCCCCCAAGTCACTATTCCACGCAGACGAAGTCGGGGGCACAGCTAGTAGAAAATATATGAAGTATGCGTTATCAATTGATACTCTTATAACGTCCTTCTTGCGCAATTAAGATAAATTGCTGTCATATTATTTATTTACTATTAATATAACCACATAATACTATAGATATTATTGTGTGGTTATTTTTTAAAGTTATATTTATAAAAATGGTGATAACACCATTGTTATCATCAGGCGTTTTCGATTTCAACCGTTGGGACTCGACACAGCTGATTGAACAATGATTACATGCCATTCTTTTGGTTTGTAATCATTGTTGGTAAATTTATAAATATAATTTTAATAAAATACAATACACCTTATATAATTTAATGACATTATAACTACATTAAATTTAATATTGTTTTTTTTAATGTAAATAAAAACTTTTTTATTTTAAAATAAGACGTTTCGCAAAAACCAATCTTAGCTAGATTTGAGTTTCTTAAATACCAACTTTTTAATTACTCTTACATACATTTGGTAGCTTATAAGTAAAACTGCTATCAATATAGATAAAACTATTATTTCTAGTTTAAATACGAGATCCATCTCATTATAGTCCCACCAAGACATGTTGGCTGTAGCGGATCGAAGGTGCTTCGCCCCACCATGTCGTATTACGTACTCTGTCCACCAAACAAATCTATCCAATGCGGTTTGAGGAGAATCATTCATTAAAGTGCGGAGCTTCACAATATTGTCTCTATAACTGAAAACAAATAATGGCTTGTATTCCTAGTACTTAATCATTATTATATTCGACATATGTTAAGACTCATTTCAGAAGTAAATCTACGCGTAATTCTCATTAATAGAACCAGTGTCTGTGGAGCTTTATAAAAAATAAATACAACGCTCGTGTGTGAAAAAATAACAAACACCAAAGCTAATAGATTACAACGTTCTTAACGTTAGTAGGACGAAACTAATGAAAAAACGTAAGAACAAACCTTGTGTCTTTCAAGACTAACTTAATAGCATCTTCGAATTTATCTTCAGTTATCGTTTCCATGTCGAGACGGACACCGATTTTGTGCTTTTCGTATTTCTCCACATTGTACCACTGGTCACCCAGCATCGGAATTCCTATAAGTGGTACTCCAGCCGTTATGGCTTCATCCGTCGACTGCATACCTCCTTGAGTTACGAAGACTTTGACCTTAGGATGTTCTGAAATATTGATTAAATGACAAATAATTTAGATTTATATAACGCGATTAGAGACAATGACCTGTTCGGTGTCGCTTACAGAGTTTAAGATATTTTGTATTTATTTAGTGTTGCTTGGCAGTGATTAATTTAAAAAAGCTCACTACTCAATATAAATAAGAGTAAATGCAAGACTGAATTTGTATTCTGTCTTTCAGATCAAACAAGAAATGGTCCGGGAGAGAAACGCGTGACATGTAAAGTTTCAAAATTATTTACTCAGAAGATCCGATTGCGGGAACCACTTTTCTATTTTAACGTTGTCGGGTTTTCCTGGCATAACGTCCTTTTCCCATTTCCATAAAACGTCGTAAGGCAACTTTGAAAACACTCGGAGCAATAGACGAATGAAGTCAGGTGGCAGAGTAGTTGATGGTACGTTCGATCCGAAGCTGAGATATATGATGCCGTTTTTAGAATTGTCTAAGTACGACTTCAAATTCTGAAAATATAGTATAAAACTATTTTACTGTCGTTTATTTAATTATATAATATATAAATAAATAAACGACGATAAAATAATTAATAAATGTCAATAATATATAAATAATATGAAAGACGTTTTTAATAAAAAATGTAGCATTTTACCACGCAATAATCAGAAATTGATTGATTATAAAACTTCTATATACCATCACTTTGCGATCAATAGACGCGAAAATGTGGGAAACAATAGTCATCGCTGCGTGTGCTATGAAAACGGTTCAAGGATAGAGAAATTTGTTTCGAAGAGTGATTACTCTTTATGACCTAAAAAATTTATGAAGATTAACTCGCAAGACCTATTTTTAGGGTAATAAAAATTGATCAAAATTATACAAGGTTATTCGTTGTTGATACTAAAGCTGAAACACGCCAAACTTTTTATTCGCAGAATCAGGATAAAAAATCCAAATTAAAAAATAATGAAAACTCACGAAGTTATAATTTTTTTTCATGCTATTGTTATTTGTTTTTCCCGCATTATCACGGTCACTGAAAAGGCGCCGACGCGCTATCTCGCAAGGGGGTGCGAGGCCTCTTTGCGAGATAGCATGTAAGGTGCAGGCCCTCACCTCCGCTCCGCGTCCTGCACCTTACACGATTTACTACTTTTATGTTCCTATTGTCTGCTCACAGAATGTATTGGCGACGGCTTTTGGCAATAACATTTGCCATCACACTTACAGGCTTTGGAATGTCAGAATGGTTAAACGGCATGTAAGTCTAGCGTTAATTATTGAGACAAAGAGAAAATTTTAATCACCATTATTTACACTAATTTATCGAATCTTTGGGCTTTATCATTTTCGAGCAGTTCTTGTGCTCGTCTAAAATGTGGTGTTGGTGCTCATTCCTTAAAGTCCACCATACGTAAGACTGACCTATGTTGAATAATCTCCTCGCCTCTTTCTACTGCGACTGGTCTGTACTGGCCATGATCTCGTAAACGCTGCGTAACGCCCAGCATTGTGTTCAATGATACCAAGATGCCAAATTATTCATGGTAACATATCACTGCTTTGGCAACATTATCACCAAACAAAGCAAATGTTCGCACCATTTCCACACATGTACATTGGTATAGTTGTGAAACATGTTTGTAATTAACACACTTAAAAAAACACCGCGAAACGACGAGACGCCCGTGGAATGCGCTATCGCTTGCTTGCAATTCGGAAAAAAGTTGTTAGGTAATCACCGCGAAAGGGTTGCGCACGCACTGACTCTAGTAGACAAGAGAGCGGGGCGGCGCGCGCGCGCGGCAACGGTTAGTACAAAGCGACAAGCCGCGGCCGCGGATTCCCTGAATTTTTAGACCTATTTACTTATACATACTTATGTAGGTACATATTTATATCGTACGGTGTCCAAGATTTTAAAAAATTCATGTAATTTTGACAAAAAATATAACGTAGTATAAAAACTATTGGAATGGATTCTGCTACCGATTCTAAACAAACTACATTCAGGTTTCGCATGAAGTATGAATAACCTTGTATATATAACACATTATTAACAATTATTATATCAACACAATATATTAATGTTGTAAATAACATACCAATGTTTGTTCGATCAGCTATTACATTTCAATATATATTTATTAAGTAAAAACTTCAAAGAAAATCTCGAGAAAATTATTATTATATCCAGATTGCTGTCGCCTTCAAGGAACTAAACTTCATCCGAACGGACAAAGTTATATTCTTAGAAAAAATATATACTTATACTGCTAATAAATAAATATAATACATACATACAAGCTCTATTAAAGTTGTTCATTAAATGATTTAACACTCACGTGTGGCAATTCCTTTTCAGGCTTCTTATGGACACCCCAAATTGATATGACGTTTGAAGGCAACGGCTGGTTATCAATCCAAATTGGGTGAATGTTTAAGAAAAGCATATCAGCATTATTGTACAATTCAGTATACTCTGGCAAACCCGGACCCAAAACCCCTCGAAAAGCTTCAATTTCATCTGCCGCCTTAGATGACCACTCCGACCGGTACCACCAGTTTTTGTATAGTTCTTCTAGTTTCTCCAAAAACGTTAAGTTATAAAGTCTTTGTTGTAATGGTAGAGGGTATTTTAGGGGGTTATTCGGAATCCCAAAAGTCTCTTCGTTCCCTATCATTAAGCCAAATGAACTAACACAAATCACAGGAGCTTTAAACACATAAGAATATACAAACGTTTGCCTAGTCCATGCTTCTAGAAGTATGACATCAAAATGTTTTGTATCATACTTCAACAATTCTTGTATTTCATTTTCCATTAATTGCTTTAGAGCCAATTTCTTCAGAAGTTTGACGATAGTGCTGTATTGATGGTAGATAGTATGTCTTGGTCCAAACTTGAGAGCATACACGAACCCTTCTCTCCATATTTTGTATGACACATCGTGTATATTTATTTCCGTTAAGTTATCTGGTGGTTTTGTATTTTTGAAGACGGGATCTGCAGTAATAACTGTTACATCGTGCCCGCGTTGAACCAGCCCTTGAGTTAATGATCCAAAAATTACTTGGTGACTGATCGATGGAGTAGGAAATACAGCAAGAATTTTTGCAGCATCAGACACGCTACTTAAACACAGCGCGATTAATGTCACACTGGCTGTAGATGCCATCATGAAAGATGGACCTTTACTGATGGAATGACTTACGTGTTCTGTCGTCACTGTAAGTGTATTTGTTTATGTATTTATACAGCTGCTCAGAAGATAGTCGTTAAAAAACTGAAAATAAGCAACCAATCATCAATCAATAAAATTTCCACATTTATGTTTTATTGTGCATCGACCAATGTTATAATGGCCACTGTTTCTATTTGTAATCAGATTATAAAAGAAACTATGTATTTGTTTAATGATATGCGTGCACTATTTGTAATTATATCTATTACTGCAAATCATGTTATTTCTTTAAAGTATCTAAACTATTCGAGATTATTTATTGATAAACCTCTACAGAACACCTACATTTCTATATATTTATGAATACGAATTCATTAATTTCCATGATTGTAGAATAATTTTATTGTAATCTTAGTGAAAGAGGAAAATCAGTAGAGGGTTTACCAGTGAGCATAAAACTAGGAAAGCATAGAAATTAATGTGTAGGTAATGTTTTAAAATATACGACGCCATCCTTTTGAATAAATTACCAAGCCATAGGCAGGCTATGTTCTTCACATAATATTTAGTAAATACTACGCCTCTTGTCCTGTACCTTTGTGCAAGTAAAATATTTCATAATGAATCAAATTACAACGCGAATTTTCGCAACTATAAAAATGTTACACTATACTATATATCTTGTTACTACTGTTATAGTGTATATATAAATACTAATAAAACAAATAAACTACTATTGAAAGGGATGCAAATTCAACTAGTACTCTGTTTCGAGTGCTTTTCGGTTCGTAACTTTAAAAAAATACATATGTTTCAAGCGATTTAGGCCTATTCAAATAATTTTATTTTTGGTACGTATACTACTTCAATAAACGACATAAAACAATGCTCTTATAATATGTAATAAATATAGTTTGTTTTTTACAAATAATAAACAAAATTCAATTAAGTGAAAACAAAAATATATTTTATCACGAATCGGATTGATTTTGGTTAATTTAAAACAGTTTTTTAATTTATTTACACCTAACAATTAAGTTTTATATTCAATGATTGGTGGAAAGCATATATTAGTGAACTTCATCGTGTAAATATTAAGACTGAAATTACTTTGGATCAAACAAAAGTACGTTACGTTGTAGTATATACAACTGGTAGCTTATAATTAAAACTGTGAAAAGTGTAGATAAAATAATCACTCCGAGTGTCAGTACGAAGTCCATCTCGTAATAATCCCACCAGGATATGTTGGCTGCAGCGGTACGAAGGTGCTTCGACCCACCATGCCGTATTACGTACTCTGTCCACCAAATAGCCCTATCTAAGGCGCTTTGAGGCTGATCATTCATGAAAGTGTGAAGCTTCTTAATATTGTCTCTGAAACTGAAAAAAATACATTTTTTTTTTCATAAATTTCCAATCCGAGTTTGAAAACTTAACGGTTATTAATCGCATTCACACGCAACAGTCAAGAGAGAGCAAGCTATAAATACGGTGCTGGCATACAATCGAGCTAGACTCGGGGCATGGACTCAGGGGAGGTAGACACTGGGTTTCTCCGAGTAGTATTTGAACTGAGCTGAGTTTGAAATGATCCCTGCTTGTTTTCACTACAGAGCTGCTGTGGGTCTAAAGATTGTATAGACTACACTGAAAATGTACCTCACAAATTCAATTAATCATAAATTATGATGAGTAACTACACTAGTTTGCCAGTCTAACTGGTAAGGGGTGTATTGAGTCTCATGATGATATTTAGTCTAATTATTAATATGAAAGGTAAAAGCTTAAATACAGGAATGGTGATGGTGATACATGATACGTGAGAAAATGTATATTATAGACTTGGACTTAGTATTGTATGAACTTCTTATAGCTGTAGTTTCTTATAGTAGTAGTAGTACGGTTTACCTAAAATTCATAAATTAAGCAATCCCTTACGTCAAATAGTCAGTCAAATAGATTCGCCCACTTATAAACTAGCAAAACACTTATCTAGAACATTTGCCCCCCTCAGGGGAAATATAAATGCTCAAGTCGAGGTTTTGTATCGACATCACATCACTCTTTACAAACTTACCTATAGCTGATTATATCAAAATTATAAAAAGCACACTTATTAAACACAACATGCCTATAGAATATGCGGATATCTTAGAACATTGCTTGACAACCGGGTACCTACTTTGAAATGGGGATTTCTATGTTCAGGTAGATGAGGTAGCCATGGGTTTTCCAATTTCACCCTAAGTTGCTGACATTTTAATGGAAGACTTTGAGGAGAGAGCCCTAGCTTCTTGCCCGATTAAACCTAAACTTTACAAGCAATACGTAGTGATACCTTTACCATCTTACCCAAAGCACAAGTATCTGCATTTCTTACATACCTTAACTCAATTCATAATAACATTAAGTTTACAATGGAAGAGGAGGACAATAACACACTACCTTTCTTAGACATTTTAGTAATTTGTGACGAACACGGTAATATCGGGCATACCGTCTTTAGAAAAACGACCCATTCGGATAGGTAATTGAACGGTGACTCACATCACCACCCCAGCCAACTTAGTTCTGTCGGAGTATCTTTGTTTCAGAGAGCCCGCCGTCTCTGTGATGCTGCCCACTTAAATGAGGAGTTACAGCATGTCAAGCAGGTCGTATGCAAGAACAAGCTGAGAGTCCCTCCGCAGCATTCCAGAAACAGGAACAAACAACCCACAGTCAAACGTCAGCCCGTTTACCTACCATATGTGAAGGGAGTTACAAATAAAATTAGCAGAGTCCTAAATCAAGCTTCTATTCACACAATTTTCAAGCCGCACGAGAAGATTCAGCAATTTCTAAAACCAAACGAGTGTACTACCCCTTTACAAGATTAGAAGCAGGCGTTTACAGACTGCATTTTGATTGTGGCCTATCCTACATCGGCCAAACAAAGCGTAGTATCTCAAACAAAATTAAAGAACACGTCGCGGATATAAAACATAAACGTCTCTCCAAATGTGCGGTATGCCAACACTCATCGGAGGGGCTCAATCATTACATTCGCTTTGACCAGTCAGAAATCCTCGCAAAGGAGAGTCGATTTTTTCCAAGATTGATACGCGAAGCGATTGAATTAAAAAAACACCGAAATTTCAATAGAGATGACGGCCTCAAATTATCAAACACCTGGGATGCCATGTTAAAAACTCTGGATCCCAATAAACAGCATACCGGCAAACGCGAAGACAGCGTTAGTCAAATCTGTAAGGACCTGGCCAGTTTGGCCAAATACCAACTTCGACGGAACAGATGGCGCTAGCGTAGCAATTTTTTACTTTGACGTCAGAGACATCCTTCATCTTTAGTCTCCCCGTGACCACGGCTGCTGCAAAGCATCCGAAACGTCGGGCCGAAGTTAAAATCATTTTCAAAGAGGTTTAACTAATATATCGCGTTTTAAACCGTTAAAGTGTTTTATTTAAAAATTTAGTTATTGTAAACTGGAAACCAAGTTTTTTTTAATCAATTAATTTGTCTTGACATTTAATCGAGTTTATCTATGTTTATTATTCAATACCTTTATAATTTTTTTGACGTAAAGCCTAAAGAATGAGAAATGCAAAGAAAAAAATACATATGTTAATAATTACTGCCCTTACAAAATAGATAACCACAAACAGAAACAAGAAAAAAGGCAATATACAAATTGTCTGGATTAGTAGAAAGGAGTTTATTAACAAAAAGTACAAACCTCGTATCGTTTATGACTGAATGAATAGCATTTTCGAATTTATCTTCTGTTATTGTTTCCATATCGAGCCGGACACCGATTTTGTGCTTCTCGTATTTCTCCACATTGTGCCACTGATCACCAAGCATCGGAATACCAATAAGTGGTACTCCAGCTGTTATGGCTTCATCCGTCGACTGCAAACCTCCTTGAGTTACAAAGACTTTGATTTTTGGATGTTCTGAAAACAAAATAACCTTCGAGATAAGTCTAAAGATTAAAAGAACAATGTATGACTAGCTGCGTCTATAATAAAAAACATATATTAAGATTTAATTTCTCAAAAAGATTTCAAAACTATTTACTCAAAAGAGCCGATTGCGGGAACCACTTTTCTATTTTGACGTTGTCTGGTTTCCCCGGCATGACATCTTTTTCCCATTTCCATAAAACGTCGTACGGCAACTTTGAAAATACCCGGATCAAAAGACGAATAAAGTTAGGTGGCAAAGTAGTTGATGGTGCGTTCGTTCCAAAGCTGAGGTATATGACACCATTCTTAGAGACATTCAAGTATGTCTTTAGATCCTAAAAAAAAATATTTTAATATCAATTCAGAAATGTCTCAAAAAAGTATTCAATATACAGATTACCTAGCTGTGGTAGATGCTTTTTATAATAGAGGAGAACAGACAAGCGTGGGGTTCAAGGGGGTAGTTGAAATACCCAGCCACATAAAATCTAAACAAGACGCTGTTAACCTTATTTCATTTGGATATTTGGAAATCCTCAAACTTAAAGCGACAGCGATTCAATTTGACGCCTTTTTTATCAATGGATGGTGGTTTGCGACCTGGACAGAATTTCGATATTCCTACCACCCATTTAATATCCAGATTTCCGAACGAAATCTATCATGTTTCAGAAATATGGTAGACCAGGTGGGGATCAAACCTATGACCCGTTGATTATTTTCCATATATTATTGCCGTTATATTGTGATATAAATGAAATAATTTAAGAGATAATGTTTAGGGCTCACATGCGGCAATTCCTTTTCAGGTTCCTTATGGATACCCCAATTTGATATCACGTTTGAAGGCAACGGCTGGTTATGCATCCAAATTGGATGTGTGTTTAAAAATAGCATATCAACATTTTGGTAAAGTTCATTATAATTCGGTAAACCCGGGCCCAAAACCGTACGAAAAGCTTGAATTTCCCCTGCTGCCTTAGACGACCACTCTGAATGGAACCACCAGTTTTTGTATAATTCGTCTAGTTTCTCTAAAAATGTTAAGTTATACAGTCTTTGTTGAAACGTTAGAGGATATTTTAAAGGATGAAACGGAATCCCAAAGGTCTCATCGTTGCCCATGAACAAGTTAAATGAGCTCACACAAATCACTGGTGCTTTAAATATGTGTGAGTATACAAACGTCTGTCTTGTCCATGCTTCAAAAATTAGGAGATCGAAATGGTGTTTATCATACTTCATCAATTTTTGAATTTCTTTGTTCGTCAATTGTTCTATGGTCAAATTTTTAAGGATTTTTATGGCGGTCCCTACTTGATCGTAGATAGTATACTTTCGTCCAAACTCGAGTGCTAACACAAATTGTTCTGTCCATACTTTGTATGATAGGTCATGGAGATCTATTTCCGTTAAATTTGCTGGCGGTTCTGTGTCTTTGAAGACAGGATCTGTGGTAATCACAGTGACTTCATGTCCTCGTTGAGCCAGTCCTTGAGTTAATGGCCGAAAAATTATTTGGTGACTGATCGACGGAGTAGGAAAAACAGCAAGAATTTTGGCAGCATCAGACACGCTACTTAAACACAGCGCGATAAACGTCACACTAACTGTAGATGCCATCATGAAAGATGGACCTTTACTGATGGAACGACGTATGTGTTCTGTCGTCAAAATAATGGTATTTGTTTATGTATTTATACAGCTGCGCAGAACATATAATTAAACAAAAAAAAATCTAGGTTAATATTTCTTTGTGCACGAATATTACAACCTCGGCTGTCTGTATTTGCAGACATTTGATTAATAAAAATCATAGATTTTGTCTCTCTCGTTATTTATTATTAATTAAATCACTCTTATTAAGAAATATATCGCAGTAAGCCCTGTTTTGAGTTTGTCTTAGAACTACAAATTCCATTATTGCTACAATCATATAAGAAGGTTTTTTTGTTTTATTAATATAATAATACGTCCACATAATGTATAAATTTATTATAACTAATTTTAATTTATTTAATATAACTTGTATTATTCAACTATCTTAAATAAAGATATTTTATACCTATTATAATGGTTGTTTTGTTATCTAAATTTGGTAGATCTGGAATAATTATTTGAATTAAATTGTTTTAAGAAAAATAAGAATAGTTTGTCCAACCATAACCTGAAAAATCGATACTGCTGTTTAATAATTATTAAACGCAACGTATTCTCTGTAATGTTATATGTATTTATATACATGTAAGAGGATTTAAATTTCTCGCAAATTCTAAAGATTTGACATTATGTGTGACATTCCACCACGTCACACATAATGGATATCCATCCAAATTGGGTGAATATTTAACATGTCAGCATTATTGTACAGCTCGGTGTACTCAGGCAAAACTAGTGCCAAACCTTTACGAAGAACGTTAAGTTATACAGTCTTTGTTGTAATGGTAAAGGATGTTTTAAAGGGTTAATATTTTTTCAATTCGAACCAGTACTTCCTGAGATTAGCGCGTTCAAACAAACAAACTCTTCAGCTTTTTGTATTAGTATTAGTATATAGATGAAAGTCAGATAGAGGGTTTACCAGTGAGCATAAAACTAGGAAAGCATAGTAATTAATGTGTAATGTCTTAAAATATACGACGCCACTCTTTTGAATAATCTATATTCTCTCTAAATTCACATAATCTTTACTAATATATAAAGGTGAAGAGTTTTTTTGTTTGTTTGTTTGAACGCGCTAATCTCAAGAACTACGGGGTCGAATGGAAAAAACATTTTTGTGTTGGTTAGAGTATTTATCTAGGAAGGCTGTAGGCTATAAAACATTGCCTTGTGACTAATACAGCGAGAAATGTGAATTAAATTAGAAAAATTATTCATCATTATGGGTTTTCGAGGCGCCGTGTACGCCGTATTCGCCCTTCTTTCTTTTATACACGGTTCAAGATACCCAAAAAATATGTTTAAAGAAGGATTCCTCTTTAAATGATCTAAAAAAAAGTCCGTGTCGCTATGTCTGTCTTTTAAGAATAACGTTCGCGAGCGACGGGACGATGACGGTTGATTTCAAAACGAAACCTAACCCAAAATAACTATTCTACGCGGACGAAGTCGCTGACGCAGCGAGTATTTAATAATAATAATAATTTAATTTCATAAAAAATTGTTTACATAGTGTTTACAATAGGCTAGAGAACATGATCCAAACAATTGAAAACAGCATCCGTTGCCGAACTAGGTGAGAACCTGTATTTCAGCTTTCGGCGCCACTCCCCGAAACATTTTAATTTTTATTACTAGCTAAACTAAAACTATTTACTATTAAACAATATCAGTTACCATAAAGTAATTAACATGTAACCTCATATGATAATATTTAACAGATCCTCTCTTTGTGTACAGTGAAAATGTACGTGTGTGTGTGTGAGAGGGTGTGTGTGAAAAATTGAAAAAAAAAAAATATCCTATGAAAATTATTACATAAATAGAAAATCAAATAAAAAATCATGTACCATTTAAATTCAAGATATATTGAACAAACTTACGCAATGATGCAGGTTATCATTATCTCCCAAATATGTAGGTACTACACTTTTGGTATTAGTCTGTGTAGTACGTTTCCAGTACATTTGTGTGAGTAAATTATATAAAATTACAAATCGAAATTTAATTGTTAAAACTTAATTGTATTTTTGATATTTGTGGCTTGTCACAACACATAAAAATATTCGAAAACTTTATTATATTCTACATGTTATTGCACATGAAGGCACTATATAAATTTAAAATCGAAAAAAAAGATTTCGACTCGGGCAGGACTTAAAGCAGCATCGTCAGCCAGAGCAACAGCACGGAACGCTGACGATGCCGGTTCAAGTCCTGCCCGAGTCGAAAATTTTTTCAATTTATTTTCGATTTTAAAATTACATAAAAATGTTTCATATATATACTGTAATAGAGTATACATATATAAGTTCTAATAAATCAAATAAAGTACTGTTTAAAGGGGTCAAAATTTAATAAGTACTCTGTTTCGAGTCCCTTTAGACGCGGGTTCGTAACTTAATAGATTTGTTTCATTCGATTCAGACCTATTGATATATTTTTATTTTACATATGCTTAAATGGATATAAAACAATGCTCGTGAGCCGGTCGTAATTACGATAATCTTAAAATCCAGTTTTTCCAGGCGAAGTTTAACATGTGTTTTTGATATAAATTGATTTTAACCATGCTATTTTTTAAATTGATTTTAGAACGAGGTCCGACGGGTTTCAGGAAAACTATAAATTGATTCTAAAAAAGGCTGGACTCAGTGGGAATCAATCCCAGGACCCGTTGATTAATAGCCATACAATGCTTCAATTAGACCAAAGAGGCAGTTCTGTTCTTGATCCATTCACACAAAAAAGTTTTTTCCTTATAATTTCGTTTAATTTGTAACACACCTTTACGCACCGTACGAGACGATGAAAAAAAAGGAAAAAAAATAAGAACGATAAACAAAAACAAAATTCAATGAAGTTATAATAAAACATGTAATTTTCAAATTACACGGATCGTATCGTTAATGTTAGTCAATCTAAAACAGTTTTTAATTTATTTACACTAGTGTTTTAAGTTTTATCTTCAATGATTTCTCCCTTTAGAAAGCATCCAATATTGAACTTAGTTACGAAATTATTAAGGTTGAAATTGTATAACTAGGAGCGGCGCAAGTGTCAATAGATCGAACACAGGATGTGTCGGATACGATAGTTTACTTTGTATGTATCGCCGTTTCGTCAATTTCAATCCAAAATTGATTTTAAGCAAATACAAAAAACATAATACGTTATAAAATATAACTGGGGATTATACTTAGCTAGTTTTCATTTTCCTAAAAGTAACATTTCTAGCTACTTTTACGTACAATTGGTAGCTTAAAATTAAAATTGTAAAAAGTGTACATGATAAAATCACTCCTAGTGTCAATACGAAGTCAATCTCATAATAATCCCACCAGGACAAGTTGGCCGCAGCGGCTCGGAGGTGCTTCGCCCCACCATGTCGTATTACGTATTCTGTCCACCAAATAGCCCTGTCTAAGGCGGTTTGGGGCTGATCATTCATCAAACTGTGAAGTTTTACAATATTGTGTCTGAAACTGAAAAAAGAAATACTTAAAATTAGTGGCTGATAGCTTAAATAACTTTCAAGTTTCACTAGATATGTCACATACACCCTGCCAACACTTTGTCCTGTATCGACGTTCGGATGGACAGAAAAACCTGAATAGGTTTATGTTCTATCTTATAATATTGTGAATTCAAATTTTGAGAAAGAAAAAAAAAATACGAATTTAAAATTATTATTAAACCTGACTTAAATTAAATTAATTAATTAAAAACTGTTAAGCTATTGTAAGCTGTAATACTAAAATAAAAATAAGATAAAATATACATTCTCTTTAAAATTTTAAAAATTGTTTAGATTCGTCAATTTTTTTTTGTCTGTCTGTTTGTCGTGATTCTACAACATTGTACGTGTTCAAATTTTATGGAGCCTTTATTTGGGGATAGCTACTAATCTTGCTAAACTTGCTTTTATTCAATACATTTTCATAAATATACTACGAGTACACAATAAGTATGCCGATATTTTTAAAGGTATCTCTTAATGACTCCCGAGATCCCATACCATAGATAGCCCGGACCGCCCTTTTTAGCAACACAAAGATTTTTTTTACGGCATAGGCTGCAGAACTGAACTTGCTCGAGGTTTTCCGATATGAGATCCCCATTGTAATTTGAAGTCTAACGCTATACCCAGAAAGAGAGTTTCATTGACCAATTCTATCTCGTGGTCCCTAACCTTAACACTGGTTTTAGCTAACCTAACTTAGGTAAAGTAAATCTGATACATTTTGATTCAGATTGGTTTTGTTGCCATTTAAGAGTAGGTTATTAACACTAAACCAGTGGACTACTCTCGATAGGGCATTGTTTACATCGTCAAGCTCGCGTTGTCCACGTTTAACTTTAAATATTAAAGACTTATAATCAGCAAACAAAACTATCTTGTGATCGTCTCTTATGAGGTGAGAAAGATCATTTATGTATACCAGAAACAGAAAAGGTCCCAAAATTAAGTTGCGACACCCCCTTCGTTATGGCAGAACCGGATAAACAACTTTTTGGACTCTATTACTAAGGTAAGGTGATATAAAATCTAAGGCCTAATTCTAATTAACGTCTGATGCTGGACACAATCAAATGCTTTAGATAAGTCACAGAACATACCATAGATATTATATGACTCATCACAGGCTTCGGAAATACTCTCTAATAAGTTAGTTCCAGCATCCGTCGAAGACCGACAGCGAGTAAAACCGAATTGTTTTGAATGCAAAAGTTTATTATGTTAAAGTGAGCTAGCATTTGATTGGGCATTATTATTTCAAAAATCTTACTAAATGTGGGCAGTACAGAAATTGGACGGAGGTTCGAAGGATCTGAGGTACTTCCCGATTTGAACAGAGGGGTTAATTTACAAAATTTCATTAAATTCGGGAACACATCACAATCGACACACTGTTTTCAATGATTTAAAAGATTTCAATATGGTATGTTTATTAACATTACTAAATTTAAATATAACATTACAATAAGGAACGATGCTTTTAACAAAGTTTTTGCAATGATTCTGTGGTTTTGGTTAAATCTACAACAATTCGCGAGAAAATAATTCATCTTCGTAAGCTACTTCGGCGTCTGCTGTGACTATTTTACCATTTATATGAAGTTTAAAATTATTCTCTTGTGATTTTACTTTGTTAGTTTCTGCATTAATAATTTTCCATGTTGATTTAACTTTCTACACTACACTATTACGAATTTTATCACTTATATATTTAAATTTGTCTGCTATGAAAGTTTACACGTGGTCACGTGTTATCGGTCTACACATTATTTTACATTTTTTAGCCTTCTTCTTAGCCATTTTGAAAACTGCTAATTGCCCGCAATGGTTTGAATCTAGCTTATATATAATGCTCTTACTTTCTGGCAACCTATCGCTATATATATTATCTAGGCACGTAGCTGTAATATCACAGTATCTCGTAGGCTCCAAAAATAAGTTTCTAAGGTTATATGATTTAAATACATTTTTTTCATTAAGTATTCAGGACTTTATATGTTTAAAATACAATTAAACTAAAAACCTAAACAAATTAAATCGAATAAAAAAATACATTAAAAAAATGGATTGCGGCCATAAAAAATCTATTCATTTATATGGGTCTCTTAATTTAGTTTCTCTCTAACTTGCTGTGTATACTTTTACGAAGTAATAAACTAAAAGCAAAATTATAATAATAAGTGGATCCTTAATAATCCCTATTTTAAATTTCTTTTCTCTTGTACTTCAGGTTGCCTGGAAGAGAACGCTGCTTAGCGATAAGGCCACCTTTTATTTATAAGTTAGTACGTGATTTTTTTTTGTTTTGTTGTTTATGTGCTATATATTATATAAAACAAATAATTCCCACCCTCAGAAATAATAGAACAGAAACCAGAAAAAAATATAAGTACAAACCTCGTATCGTTTATGAGTAAGTTAATGGCATCCTCAAATTTATCTTCAGTAATTGTTTCCATGTCGAGCCGGGCACCGATTTTGAGTTTCTCGTATTTCTCCACATTGTACCACTGATCACCAAGCATCGGTATGCCAATAAGTGGTACTCCAGCAGTTATGGCTTCATCCGTCGACTGCAAACCTCCTTGAGTAACAAAGATTTTTATTTTCGGATGTCCTGGAATTATACATTTTCGCTACATTATATTTGTTTATAAAGTAATTTAAACTCCAGGTTCAGCAATTTATATATATAACAACGCAGATCTCTGATATATAACTACTGACTAAAAATCTATAGTTATTATAAATTTAAATTAAAATTAAATTATAAATGTAATTTCTCGAAAGAAGATATTTCAAAATTATTTACTCAGAAGGTCCGATTGCGGGAACCACTTCATTATTTTAACGTTATCTGGTTTTCCCGGCATGACATCTTTTTCCCATTTCCATAAAACGTCGTACGGCAACTTTGAAAATACCCGGGTCAAAAGACGAATAAAGTCAGGTGGCAGAGTAGTTGACGGCGCATTCGTTCCAAAGCTAAGATATATGACGCCATTCTTAGAGTTATCTAAATATGACTTTAGATCCTAAAAAAATATAGGTACATGTTACTTACTACTTCAAAAAATATAAATTTCATAGAAAAATGGTAATCAAGTTTGGGAACGAACCCACTAATCGTCGTTTTATTATTTATTGCTTCCATTACACCAACGAGCCTTTTATTATATTTTTTAAATAAATAAGTTAAACTATAAAATTTATGACTCACACGCGGCAATTCCTTTTCTGGTTTCCTATGGATGCCCCAAATTGATATCACGTTTGATGGTAACGGCTGGTTATCCATCCAAATTGGATGAATATTTAAAAATAGCATGTCAGCATTTTGGTAAAACTCATTATAATCCGGTAAACCAGGGCCCAAAATCGCGCGAAAAGCTTGAATTTCGTCTGCCGCACTAGACGACCACTCTGAATGGAACCACCAGTTTTTGTATAATTCGTCTAGTTTCTCTAAAAGTGTTAAGTTATACAGTCTTTGTTGAAACGTGAGAGGATATTTTAGAGGGTGAATCGGAATCCCAAACGTCTTATCGTTGCCCATGAACAAGTTAAATGAACTCACACAAATCACTGGTGCTTTAAATATGTGTGAGTATACAAACGTCTGTCTCGTCCATGCTTCCAAAATTAGGAGGTCAAAATGATGTCTTTCATACTTCATCAATTGTCGTATTTCTTCGTTCATCAATTGTTCTATGGTCAAATTTTTAAGGATTTTTATGGCGGTCCCTATTTGATCGTAGATAGTATGCTTTCGTCCAAACTCGAGTGCTAACACAAATTGTTCTGTCCATACTTTATATGATAAGTCATGGAGATTTATTTCCGTTAAGTTTGCTGGATGTTCTCTATCCTTGAAGACAGGATCTGTGGTAATCACTGTGACTTGATGTCCTCGTTGAGCCAGGGTTTGAGTAAATGGTCGAAAAACTACTTGGTGGCTGACTGACGGAGTAGGGAACACGGCGAGGATTTTTGCAGCATCAGACAAGGTACTTAAACACACCGTGAATAACGTCACACTATCACGGGTTAGCATCACGAAGAATGTGTGTCGGTGGAACGACGTATGTGTTCTGCCGTCAAAATTATTTATTTATTTACTTATACAGCGCGGAACGGACTTCAAGTAATTGGCAATCAACCGGTCTATCATTATAATTTTCAGACTTAGGACGTCTACCAACACGATCTTACGATAGTAAAATTGTACTTCGTTTGGAAAATGAGATAATTAGTAATTTTCTTATCTAAATTCATGTTTCCTTGGTAAACCACTTTTATTGTTAAGAACAAACTTATTTTTTTTTATTGACGTGGCTAATTACTATCATTAAATTTAAGCACTTCATAATACGAGTATTTGACAAAAACACGTTTTGTTGCGGAATAAAAATATCTCTAGACGTACAATTTTTTATCACGTACTTATCATTTAATGTACAAACGGAGTGCACACTTTGAAATTATATTTTTTGCTGTAAAACATGTTATTTTAAAAATTTGACCTTTGGATACAACTAAATTATTAAAAAACTTTGTATTTCCATTTCCATTTGTGTAACCAGTATTTTCTGCGATGTTATTAAAAGGAAGAAAGGAAAATCATATATTTTTTCCTAAGACAATAGCCAAATTAAAAAAAAAAACCATTAGGCCAATACAACTTTTTACACGTTAAAAAAATATTTTTGATTAAGTTTTTAGAACTTGTACCGGCCATCCACATCGCTCTAACCAACTGATCCACGGTGTGCTACACGTCAGCGTCCATTTTTTCAACCTATTGATAGATGCACCTCTTGCGCAATGTAATTTCAATTGCCTGTGTGGTAATTTTTTTCTGATTTTGTGATGTGCAGTAACATGTAAAAAATATTAAATATTTCAAATATTTACAGGATTAACTATCACCCACGTACTCTTTGCTAAGCGACATTTTAAGTTAATTTTGTATTCTTATCGTAGTTCAATTTAAATTATCATTGTTATAACACTGTTTATAAAGCAATAACAAACAAAATTATTTAAACGTGTAAAAACCGAACTGTCTTCAGGTTTTCTTCAATGTATGTTTTAGTTAAAAATTAATAAACATGAGTATAGTCTTACTTTTGTAATAACGTATGTAAATAAGTATATACTATTCTAAGACAATAGCTTTATTATAAACCTTTTTTTTATTTGCGTTTAGAGTACAAGGCTTTATAAATTTTCCCACTATGTACCCACGAGAACACTCGCAGGTCTTAACCGTAATATCCAGATAGTTTCAAAAGCAGATAAGCTAAAATGTGAACCAAACTCTTCGTCCGTGTTTTGTAAATCACAATATTGATTAAATGGGATTCTATTTTTTGTTGTAGCTTTTCAAATCTTAATCTATATGCTATAGATTTCCGGTGTATAGATTTTGAATACTGTATATAGTTTACACGAGTAGTACACTATCAAATCATACGTTTAACGGTTTACAATTATGACGAAACAGATGGCACTAGTGTAAGAATTTTAACTTTAACCCAGATAAGCCTACTGTCCTATATTTAGGACAGTAGAAATAAAAAAAAATATCAGAATACCCTCTTTATCTAAGATTATTTAGTCTTATGATTTGCAGTAAGAAACGTATCAGCTTTATTAGAAAAAATAAAAAGACAGTTATTTTAACAGTTTTTACCTTATATTTTACCTTATAAGTGTGTAATAAAAGTGCGTTGCAGACATGGCAAATGACAGGTATGTGTAAAAAGTTATATTTTACTCGTGTGTTGTTTTTTTCTGTGTTAATATCTAGTTGATAACCTTAACTTTTGTACTAAATAAATATTCTAGCAAAATAATATAAATAAATTACGTATAACTTGTTACAAATACTAGCGTACTATATATAGGACAGTAGGATAATATACATGATTTTAGTACAATAATACAACTTTTTCTTTACAGACCGTTAGCTGCGCATGAAATTTTAGATGCTTTAGAAAATGTTTCTGATAATGAAGAAGATTATAGAGAACGACTGATATGTATTCTACCTCCTCCTGTTGATCCTGACCTTCTCACTGACGAAGATTCGGGTGAAGAAGATAATGTAACTTTGAATAATTTGCCACGAAACATTCTGCTTCAACCGGCTGAAGTAATGATTCAAGGGCAGATTATGGTGAGTGATACAGAAGAAGAACCTTCTGATTCTACAGGTCGAACTAAACGTAGGCGTACCTACGCATGGAGAAGAGAAACATTGTCATAGAAGAACCACATATGGTGTCCATCAATAACAAATATATGGGAGGAGTGGATTGGTCTGATGAAAATATTTAACATTACCGAATTGGTATACGAGGTAAGAAATGGTACATGCCGTTGCTCACATGATTGATCTTGCCGAACATAATGCATGGCAGTTATATAAAATAAATCATGGAAAACTGGATCATCTTGGCTTTCGCAGAAGGGTAGCAATTGCTTTGATTGAATCAAACAGAAAAAATGCCAAAAGAGGGCCTAGCCGACCCTCCCATCATGAACATGCTGATAGTCGTAAAGACCAAATGAATCATCTGGTTATTCCTCAATCGAAGCAAACACACTGTCGTCAATGTCACAAAAAATGTTTGACACGTTGCAAGAAATGTGATGTTGGAGTGTGTGTCAAGTGTTTTGAAACATATCATTCATAAATAGTGTTAATCTAGTAAGTTACATATAGCAATGGGTAATATAATCAATAGTTATCTAATAAACTACACTTTTTGATTACATTCTGTTTTGTCATAAATGGTCTTTTATTTCCTCTTATTATCCTACTGTCCTACATATAGGACGGCTGTTTCCCTGAAAGCCTTACACTTAATTTTTTTTTCATAATTTTTTTTATGTTGCATAAGATCTAATAAACTAAATAATATAACTTTTTTCAAAATTTTCAGAAAATTTTAGTTTCAGGCTTATCTGGGTTAATATGAGGGGCACCGTCCATCTTCTGATAATGTTCTGAAATTTCTGGCCGTAGTTAAAACAAATTTTAAATAAGTTAAGCATATTTCGCGTTTTAAACTTTAAAAAAAAATACATTTATTAAAGAAATAGAAACTCCACAGTGATGTAAAATAATATTAATATTTAATATGAATACGCCATTATCAGAAAAACTACGTAGTAGAAATAAAACTAAGAATTAAATAAATTAACTAGCTTTTATTTTTCTAAACGTAATATTTTGAAATACTCTCACATAAAATTTATAGCTTAGAAGCAGAAATGTGATAAGTATTAAAGTCAGGATCATTCCTACTTTCAATACGAGGTCTACCTCGTAATAATCCCACAAGGGCTTGTTGGCAGTAGCGGCTCGGAGATGCTTCGCCCCACCATGTCGCAATACGTATTCTGTCCACCAAACAGCCCTTTCCATAGCAGTTTGGGGTTGATCATTCATGAAAGTGCGAAGTTTCACAATATTATCTCTGAAACTGAAAGGTTTTGTCTTTTCACTTTCTAATCTATAAGAAATTATTATACAAGTCCAGTAATTATTTACAGGAATTTTACATCAAAGCGATGCATTTTTCGTATCTGAGATAGGTAAGTTAATCTTCTATCGTAGATGATACAAAATTCCGTCTTAAAAACAATTTTGACAAAGATTTATTTGTTTATTGGAATTAAATAAATCAAAAAAAGCCTCGATCCTCGTACCGACCTAGTATCATTCAAGACCAAATGAATAGCATCTTCGAATTTATCTTCAGTTAGTGTTTCCATGTCGAGGCGGACACCGATTTTGTGCTTCTCGTATTTTTCCACATTATACCACTGATCACCCAGCATCGGAATTCCAATAAGTGGTACTCCGGCCGTTATAGCTTCATCCGTCGACTGCAAACCTCCTTGAGTTATGAAGACTTTAACATTCGGGTGCCCTGAAATATGAATTATAAGACAAAGACGGTACATTTTATATTTGCAATAATTTACTTTAAATTCTGAAATTTCAATTCAAACAGCGTTGCTAGATAAACATTTGTTTTGAAACAGCTACTTCTGCTACTAACGACAAAAATTCTTGTTTAATTACAGTCAAAATCATCATAATTATTCATTTACCAGACTATCGATCAATTATATATGTAATAAGAGTACGAGTAGGGTCAGTAAAAATTTGTTTTCTGTCGTATACCTACTAGTACTAGTATATGTTAGTCACTAGAATTTATGGAATAAATATAATATAAGAACATAATTTAAAGTTTTCATAAATTTATAAAAACTTCAACTTATGTTCTTAAAAGATGGAGAAGTTCATTGACATTAAAAATACTAAATTGTTTACTCAATAGATCCGATTGTGGAAACCATTTTCCTATTTTAACATTGTCGGGTTTTCCTGGCATAACATCTTTTTCCCATTTCCATAAAACATCGTAAGGCAACTTTGAAAATACTCTGATGAGTATACGAATGAAGTCAGGTGACAGGATAGTTGACGGCGCGTTCGTTCCAAAGCTAAGGTATATGACGCCATTTTTAGAATTGTCTAAGTACGATTTGAGATTCTGAAAAAAGGGATAGAATAATGAGATGAGAATATTTTTTCTACACCATGCACAAGTTAAATTCCTTCTTTATCTTATTTAGATCTAAATATATTGTTACTTACATGCGGTAATTCATTTTCAGGGTTCTTATGAATACCCCAAATTGATATCACGTTTGAAGGCAACGGCTGGTTATCTATCCAAATTGGATGAGTGTTTAAAAAAAGCATATCAGCATTATTGTACAACTCGGTATATTCAGGTAAAGAAGGGCCCAAAACCCCTCGAAAAGCTTCAATCTCATCTGCCGCCTTAGATAACCACTCCGACTGGTACCACCAGTTTTTGTACAATTCGTCTAGTTTTTCCATAAAAGTTAAGTTATAGAGTCTTTGCTGAAATGTTAGCGGATATTTTAGTGGATTAATCGGAATCCCAAATGTCTCTTCGTTTCCCATTAGCAAACCAAATGAGCTCACACAAATCACTGGTGCTCTAAATACATGGGAGTAGACGAGAGCCTGTCTTACCCATGCTTCTACGATTATAAGATCAAAATGCTGTCTATCATACTTTATCAAATCTTGTATTTCCTTAGTCTTCAATTGTTCTAGGACCATATTCTTTAGCATTTTTATGAAGGTACCAACTTGACTGTAAATAGAATACCTTCGTCCAAACTCGAGGGCGTATGTAAATTCATTATTCCATATTTTGTATGATACATCGTGGACATCTATTTCTGTTAAATTCGTCGGTGGTTTTGTATCCGTGAAGACAGGATCAGTTGTAACCACTATGACCTCATGGCCTCGTTGAGCCAGTGCTTGTGTTAATGGTCGAAAAATTACTTGGTGACTAAGCGATGGGGTGGGAATCACTGCTAGAATTTTTGCAGCATCGGTAATGCTGTTTAAACATACGACGACTAACGTCACGCAAGCTGAAGATGCCATCGTGAAAAATGAACCTTACTGGTTTAACGACTTATGTCTTCTGTCGTCACATTTGTTGTTTATTTTTTTCTTTATTTAGTGCAGAACGGAAATTGACGATAATTACAAATAATCAACCGGTTGGCCATTATAACGTCCAGACTTTACATGGCTCTCAAAAACGATCTTACGATAGCAAACGTCCACTTTTATAGCTCACGAACTTTGAATTAATTTTTCTATCTAATTTCATGTTAATTGTTATTGTAATATTGTAATTACTAAACAGTGCTTACAATAATATCATTTATATAACATAAATTGCAAATTAATCTGCAACTATACTTACTACTGCGTAAAACGATGTTTAATTCAAACATTGGAGATAAATTGATTTAATTCAAGAAACATTTAAATCTTAGCCATCCTTGCATGAAGATTGCTCTTCTATCATAAATCCAGTGCCTTAATTCAAATATATAACACTAGCCGTGTCAGCAACTTCGTCTGTGTAGAATAGTTATATTAGGCACCGAAATTTATTATTGTGTACATTTTTTGGGTAATTTGATCTTTTTTCAGAGCGTACGCATCGGAAACCCTCAAAAAGGAATATTTTTTCCAGTTTTCTCTACATTTTCCGCTTTTTCGTCGCTATTGGTCTCAGCGTGATGTTATAACCAGTAGTTCCCGAGATTAACGCGTTCAAAAAAAACAAACTCTTCGGCTTTATATATTAGATGTTAGGTGGATTTACGGATGGTATATTATAAGAATTACGGAATCAGTAAATATTCTTGAAGATTCTACTAATTTGCATATCTACATGAAATGTATAATAATATACTACAATGGTTAGTCACAAAATTAGAAACCTTATTAAATAACGATTTATTGGATTCATACAAAATGTATTTCTTAAATTAGATCATATTCTTTTCTCTAGTTTATGTCTACAATAAATTAATTTATGAAATTTTCACTTTAGTGGTAAATGTTTTTACTATTCGCCTGTATATAATATACAAAGTGGCAAATGCGATTAAAATTAAAGAAGATATAAGAGATATAAGCTTCGTTATAAATTCTATCTCATAATATTCAGTCCAGCTTAGGTTGGCTCCTGCTGCTCGTAGATGTTTCGCCCCACCATTACGGATTACGTACTCAGTCCACCAAACAGCTCGTTCTAATGCAGTCTGTGGCTGATCACTCATCAGATTTTTAAGCTTTACTATGTTTTCTTTGTAACTGCAAAAAATATATAATTAACTGAACTAACTAAAAAACTACTAACTAGATAGAAATAATATTAGAAAAATAATCATAATATAATTGTGATTTAATTTGGTTAAATATTTATATTAAGTACTGTCTGTAGTTTACGCGAGTAGTACATTTAAATAAAACACTTTAACGGTTTAAAACGCGTCATATATAATTCATCCCAAACGTCGGGCGTTAAAACAATTTTCAAGTAAGTTTAACAAATATATATCACGTTTTAAACCGTTAAAGTGTTTTATTTGAAAGATATTTATGTTACTTTTCAAATAAATTTTTCACGCACCAGCTGTAATAATTAAGCAGAGTAAAAACCGATGCGTGGACGATTACAATACATTAATCAGATAAAAAATATTGGCAAATCTCGTTCACCAAGATTAACTTTTCTTTAGTATTTTGTATTATAATAAATTATATGCGGACTACATAATAACGAACATTTTCAGACTCATTTAAATGTAGTTAGCATTCAACTGTGTTTAAAAACTATGTAATTATTCTTACCTTTTATCAGTAATGACTGTTTCAATGGCCTTCGTCAATTGTTCTTCAGTTAGAGTTTCCAAATCCAGCTTGACTCCGATTTTGTGCTGTTCGTATAGTTCTACATTATACCATTGGTCTCCAAGCATGGGAATTCCTATTAAAGGTACACCTGCATTCATAGCTTCATCTGTGGACTGAAGACCACCTTGAGTTATAAAAGTCTTTATCTTTGGATGGCCTGGAATAGGAAATTTGGAAGACGTTTTTAGGTATGATCCCCGTAAAGTCCTAAGATTAATTGAACAGAAGAGGGTAATTTCCAAAAGGGATAGAGCGATAAAAAATAATTTTTATCGTTTTAACTTATGAATATCGTAGGATAGGTTTGTTTCATAAGCGATAAATTAGGAGTTAAACCCACCACGGATTATATTTTTTATTGCTAAATGTTTAAATCATATCTTGCACTATTGTGGGATCTTTACAAGCGCGCATACTATACATAATTTTATAATAATTACAGAAATCCATTAGATTAAGTTATCAAATAATACTCCAACATTTATATGTATCGTGATGTACATCAAAACTTCACGCGGATAGTACGCGCAAGATAACGTACGGATAACATATAGTTTTTATTAATTGACATTAATAAATAAACATCATATTTTTATTGTCTGTGGGTGAATGTGTTCCAAGTGCCATTAATTAATTCACTCACGTAAAAGGTCAGATTGGGGCAGCCATGTCGATACTTTGATATTTTCTGATTTCCCAGGAAGCTCCTCGCTTTCCCATTTCCATAGTATATCATACGGCAATTTTGAAAATACGTTAATCAGCAGCGTTATTACTTCTTTCGGCAACATGATTGACTTTGCATTGGATCCAAAACTTAGGTATATTACGCCATTCTTTGAGGAATCCAAGTATGTTTGAAGGTCCTATAATGAAACACGTGTTTTTATAACAAATGGAATGAGACCAACGTAGATAAGCCCTATTTTGATTTATATAACAATATGAAACTATTACTTCGCAGGCAAAAACATGTTATTATAAGATTAAATAGGATATATAAATAGCATACCTTTGGTAGTGGTTTTTCTGGATTCTTATGGATACCCCAAATCGAAATAACGTTTGGCGGCAGGGGCTGATTATTACTCCACATTGGATGAATGTTAAGAAACATCATATCCACATTTTTATGCAATTCTCTATAAGACGGCACATCGTCACCAAAGTATTTTTTTAAAATTTCGTACTCCTTCGTTTCACCATACAGCCACTGTGACATCACCCAAAAATGCGTATATAGTTCATAGAGCTTCTCCCAAAACGTCAAATTATAAATTCTCTGTCGCATAGCCATTGGATATAAAATAGGATGCGATGGTGCACCGACAATTTCCTCGCTGCCAATCATCATTCCAAATGAGCTTATCTGTATAACTGGTGCTTTAATCAAATGTGAAAACATTATGAATGGTTTTCCGCAAGCTTCTATAAGCAGGAGATCATATTTCTCATGCTTATTACTTAGAATCGCTTGTACTTCCTCCGCACGTAGCTGCATTTCTAGTATATATGTAAAGAATATTGTCATCTCTTCCATCATTTTGAAAAGCCCAGTTCGTTTACCTAATTCTATATCTTGTTTTTTCATCGCTTCCTGCCATATTCCGTATGAAACATCGTGTACATCTATCTCAGTCAAGTTTGCTGGTCTATTTTCCTTGGTGAAGGCTGGATCGGGCGTAATAACAGTCACTTGGTGGCCGCGCCTAGCCAATTCTTGTATGAGTGGTCTGAAAACTACTTGATGGCTGATGGATGGTGTTGGAACTATTGTCAAAATCTTTGCCCCAAACACGTCCGTTACAAAAAGAAATGAAATGATCAAAATTATTACTCTCTGCATTCTGTCTATTTACAGTTATTAACTTCATTGGTAGAGTGGAATCTGTGAGGCAAAGGCTCATTTATTATTCAATTCTATTATCAGATACTGATAATACTTTGATAGCCAATATATTAATGCAATGTTATCTTGTGACGAAACGCTAGACACCCAAAGATGTCTACGGGTTATGTACTCGCCCTACTAAGAATCTAAGTTATTTCAAATTTTTTTTCGACAATAGTGATGTTTTAACCAGCTAAATTGCCATAATTAATTTAATAAATTGTTTTCAATATAAGATTGTAACATTTTAATCAAAACTATTTATTGTAAATAAACATTTTTTAAATTTAAAACACCAACATATTAATTATATTTTATAATAGTTTTCTCAAAAGCCAATTTTCGAGATAACGATAATGGATCAGCTGGTTGATATGAGTCATGTAGATTATAATTTAAATTAGATAAATATAGTGTTTTGTAAATAGCGCATTTTGTTGAAATATAATAGTTCTGGGGTATTTTACTTTCCATCAAACGAACCCCATGCTTGTGTGTCCTCCTCGATTGTTGTATTGTTAGTAGGTAGTCAAGCCTACCCGCTTTTAGTATAGTAGATGTAAGGTAGCTACAAGAGATAATAAAGTAGTTGTAACTGCACCTTGTCTTTATCCAGTCACAACATGGTGTCAGGTGTAATTTTAATTCGTTTATAGTTAAAATGTGAGTTTATTCAGTTCAGTAAATTGTTAGAAACGTAAAGTGAGTAACCAGTAATCGTCTTAAATCGAAAAGTTAAGTTGATAACGACTAAACGGGTGGAAAAATGGAACACGCACGGCCACCAAGCGCGTTAAGTATGGCGGAAGGCGGTCCCGTGAGTCGGGCCCACGCCTGGAAGCGCTGGAAGCAGCAGTTTATGATATTTTTAAAGGCTTCGGGTGTACAAACGGAACCGGCGAGTGTTCAATCTAGTTTATTGATTAACTTAATTGGCCCAGATGGCTTCGACGTATATGAAACGTTCACATTCGAGAAGGAAGAAGACAAAGACGATATACGCGTACTATTAAAAAAATTTGATGCATATTTTGATACGAAAGGAAACATCACGCTTACGCGTTACAAATTCTTTACTCGCGTACAAGAGGACGGCGAGTCGATACAACAGTATGTTACTGCTTTACGTTTAATTAGTAAATATTGCAATTTTGCCAGACTTGAAGAAGAATTGATAAAGGACCGCATAGTGTGTGGTGTCCGTAATCATGCGATCAGGGATCGCTTATTGAGATGTGAGGATTAATCGCTCGACAAGGCAATTAAAATATGTCAAGCAGAGGAAGTGTCTCGAGAGAGTGATACCCAACTAAGTGCAAGTGTCAGCGGGCAAAGTGCAGTTCAATGTGATCGTGTGGCAGCGCGGCGCAGACTCGCGCGAGCGGCGCGGGCGCCTCTGTGCGTGCTGTGGTGAACCGCTGCGACGCGTGCGGTTCGATGCGTTGTGCGGAGGGGCGCTGTTCGGCGGCCCGTGCTGAGTGTTTTGTGTGCGGTAATAAAGGACATTTTGCTCGAATGTGTAAGTTGAAGCAATCTAATTATTATTCAAAGAACAGGCGCGTGTATGAGCTCGAGTGTCACAATAATCATAGCGACGATAGCGCAGACGGTACCTTGCTTTATGTTTCCGCTATTGAGAAAGATACTGATCACTGTGATGAATGGTTTGAGCTCTCCGGCATAATTGTTGATGGGTCGTAGGCTCCGGTGTAAGTTGCCCGTTCACCCGAATGTATTAAAGCCACAACCCGTAGACCCAAAAGAACATGTAAAAATGTTACAAAATCAATGTACATCGAAAATGTATTATGACCGAAATTGTAAGTCTTTGCCCGCACTCAATGTAGGAGACCCCGTCATAATATGTGATAATAATAACAGTAGATGTCGGGGTACGGTGATTGGGCGAGCAAACACTCCTAGGTCTTATATAATTGAGAACAAATTTGGATCACGTTATCGGCGCAACCGGCGCCATTTAAAACAAATTGTAAAACCTGATCCGCTGTTATCTAAAAATGAAGATCATCATGATCAAAATAATTTAATAAGTGAGCCTGACGGTGACGACAGTTCACCAGATGAAGTGGAACGCACTTCCAAGGAGCGTTCCATAATTTTAACCAGAAGTCGGGCGAAAAAACTGAAAAATGTTTGTAATTAGTGTGTTTTCTTTTTATTTTCATATTGTTCATATTTTTCTTTAAGGGGGAAAAGTGTGTGGTAGTGCATAGCGGGTCTTATCTTTTAAGGGGAAGATGTTGTATTGTTAGTAGGTAGTCAAGCCTACCCGCTTTTAGTATAGTAGATGTAAGGTAGCCACAAGAGATAATAAAGTAGTTGTAACTGCACCTTGTCTTTATCCAGTCACAACATCGATCATAAAAAAATCCATTAACATGATGATATGAAAAGTATTTACGAGAACAGGTAGCTGAGAGACATAGATAAATTTATTTTTTAAGATTCGCGCGAGATCTTTTAATCAAATTTAAACATTAAATCGTTTTATAACTTTTATCTTACATCAATTACAAGTTACTGATATCAGTAACTATACTGCTCTATATACGGCTCTACTTTATTTTATAACATATAATGCACAATATTCCGTTCTTGGGATTTATGTAATTTTTTAAAGCAGAATAGCTAAAATAAGTCACAATTTAAAACATTAATATTTTTCACATGTTATTGCACATGAAGGCACTATATAATTTAGGACTCGGTAGCTCAATTGGTAGAGCAACAGCACGGAAAGCTGACATGTTCATGTCCTGCCCGAGACGAAAAATTTTTTCAATTTATTTTCGATTTTTTAAGTCACAATTTAGTATTTTTTGCTAACGATTAATAACTTGATCACGTGGTTACTCGTTGTATTTTATTATTGCCATTTTTAAAATTGCTAATCTAGATAAAAAACGAATTCCTAATATAACTCCTCTTATATATTTCCTGAGCGGAAGCAGTTCTGATGTTCTTTTTTTCTATCATAATATATATTTTTAATTTATATCGGGTCTTACAGTTGTGTTTGTATAAAAGCATTAATTTGTGTTCATTTAAAGGATACAAGTGTTCTTTAATTTAATAGTTTAAAGCTGTTTTTTCTCATTAATTTGCCTTTTAGCAGATTTTACAATTTTTTTGTTGGTTTTAGACATTAACAAATAGCTTAAAGTCATAAGGGACACAGATGGAGCATGGTAATTGTCTCATCAAGCATAGCATGAAATAATGTATAGATAGATAGTATCTATAACTTATTCCAATCGAAATGCAAATTATCTTAAACGGCATATAAAGAAAATGAGTTTTCACTTTGTCATATCTGTTGTCTGTACATTCGCTGAGTATACTATATCCCAACTGACATTGTTGAAAATGTAAACAATGATTAAGTATCTAAATTACCATCGCACGATTGTCTTCCCATTACACACTATCCATCTTAAATATTGTCACGATTTTTCAGTAACTTTAGAGTTATACAATGATATTAAAATATTAATGTCTCAAAAATAGCTATCAATACCATACTGTGTTGTAATATATATTCAATTTAAACTTTTTAAAAATCAATAATCGATACATTAAATTCACAAAAAAAAAAAAATCAAACACGGCATCGTCTGTTCATAGTGACTATAAAGCAATAAATACAAGAGTCTTACAGTTAAATGAATTACCTGGAAAATTCGCAATACTATTTTCAGATAGAATTTGCAATTCTATTTGTAAGAACGCCAACTAAATTATGTTCAAAATAACATACCACAAATTTTGCTCAGAATACAATTGAAGACATTTTTCATTGATGTGGTATTTGTTCTGTAAATAACATAAAAGGGCGTACTACTTAGATAAATAAGGTATATAATCTAATATATATCAAACATATCATTGTAATAGTAAGTACTAGACATAATCATTTAATTAAAATGTCTAGCTTGTAGTATTTCGGTTATCCTGGTCAGACTGGCTCCGCAGAGGTGTTTGGTTACTCCGTTTCGAATTTTGTAGTCTCTTCAACAGACAGCGCGCTCTTATCCACATCCTCACCGACCCCGATGACGACTTAACCAAAGCCGTCGACTTACTTATTGCTATGCGATCGGCCGACACCGGTGCCGATCGCCCGCAAAACCGCCTACGCCGGCGTAGGCGAGGTCATTCGCTTCGCGTACCGCTCACCCGGGTGAGCTTCCGTCCAGCTCTTCTAGCTCCCACCCGCATTGCGGCGGTCCAAGCCGAGGCCGATGCCCCCCTCGGGGCACCCTTGGTCTAGCCGCAAACACGGCGAGCGTTATCGCGCTCGCCCAAAACGTCCGGTTAGTATTCGTGGCTCCTTAGGAACACAATACGTAAGAATCCAATCAAAAAAAAAAATCTTATCCACTTTCGGGTTTATGTGTCATTAGATTTCTTAGAAATTCATGTTACCCTAGTAACTTTATTTCTTATATCCACTTTACTATGAATAAATCATAAGTTACATCCTAAGTATATTAATATAAAGTAGCCTATGCATGCAATATATTAAACGGAAATCTTTAAAAATTGCTAATCTGTGTGTGTCTGTTGTATTTAACACAATTTCTACCAGTAAAGAAACCGTCTAGCGGTTTATGCGAACCGGTTTATATATATAATAAAAGCTCTTTAAAATCCCCCTGCATCTATCCGGCCTGTCTAACAGCATCTCGTGCGTATTACTGTCTAAGTCTGAACAACTTAGACAGTAATACGCACACGCACGCAATACAGAGGTAACATGTACTGCCAGGTACGTTTGCCATACGAATTTCTCATACCTGGGTATATAATCAAGTTTTCTTAATTTTTCCGGTCTAACTCTGTACTTGAAAAAAATTCTTCACAAAATATAAAATATTTGACTTTATTGAAAACGTTCAATACCTTGCAGTGCTTAAACAAACCCTCCTCGCTTTCTATGTACTTCGCCGTAAGCGATTTTGGTACAATTGGTTTGAGGATACGCACCTGTAGGGAACATATATCTTATAAAACTATGTAATAGTTTTATAAGATATATGTTCTTGTTTTTGTAGAATTTGGATAAATTCGTAATAAATTTAAGCAGTCCGCGACATCGATCGCGTCCCGTCGCTCGCGACTCTGACATTAGCGCGTTCAAGTAAACAAACAAACAATTCAGCTTTAAATATTAGTATAGATTTATATCAAAAAATGAATTTGTTTCTGCTGTATTCCAAAATATGTTTTCCATAGTTGACGCAAGAGTTAAATATTAAATAAAACACTTATAACGGTATAAAACTACGAACCGACGTCCGCTTGTTTTATTGTAGTTTATGAGGACAGTTTTTCACATTTTGATCAGTTAAAAGTTTTTTTTATGATGGAGGAGGACAAATATGGGATTCACTAGACGGTAGGTGATAATATATCCCAGCCTAAAGCATCTAAACAAGATGCGCTATCGACCTATTTTGGTTTTGGATATTCGGAAATCCGCAGACTGAAACCGAAACGCGATTAAGCTTCACGGTTTTTTCGTCTGGTGATTCGTCACCCGATCGGAATTTCTATATTCCTACCACCCATTTTATATGCAGGTTTTCAGACGAAGTCCAGTATGTTTCAGAAAAATAGAAATGTGTGGGACCTGGTGGGGATCGAACCCACGACCCATTGATCATTCATACCTTGCCACCATTAGACCCACGAGGCCGTCAAGTGTGCAAAAATGAGAAAAGAAACTATGATTCACCAAGACTAGTTAGTACTAGTTAATACTATTATGTTAACTGATAGTAAATTTAATACTTTTATCAAATGATGTGAAGCGTATCATGTTTGCGGTAAGCTCTAGTGTCTTTTGTAAGACTCTTATTGATAAAACTATTTTTGAACAATCATTATATACATATGATAATTTGCAGTTTTAGTCTTTTCATTGTTGATTGTTCAGAAAAGAAGATATGGTATTTTTGTCATATTTAACTTTAGATTTTGAAATAAATGTTGATTAGTTGCCATCACCAAAAGGTGATATGGTCAAATCAAATTTATTTCTAGATATATTACAAAATTTGTTAGAAAATGATATTAATTTTTGTTGGTACATTGTTAGTTTTGAAAAGCTGTGATGTGCACTAACACGAGAAAAATAATATTGTTTCACGTCAATGAAATTATATTATACTGGGCTCTACTTTATTTTACAAACTCCAAATGCTATACTATATATAGAAAGAGAAAAACGGATACGATTGTTAAAAATAAAAAAGGTAGGCAGTAGGTAGATTAAATTCATGAATGATGGTCTTTTTATCGTTTATTAGCACCCGGTGTTATGTTATATAAATAATTGTTTTTCTTTTACAACAATACATGTCAATCTCTTCGTACGTCTAGAACCTCAGTCTTCAAATTGTATCTTTTCAAATCTCAATTATTTTTTATTTCTCTCTCTTTTCTTTTTCACGTTCTTCTCTAGCACGATCTACCATAGTATTTTTTTTCTTGTTTTCCCTTCACATTTGGTTGCCTAGAAGAGATCGCTTTTTAGCGATAAGGCCCTAAGCTAGTTATAATAAAATAAATATACATTGAGGAATTATTTACAACAAATCATTTAACTGTAAAACCTTCCCTTCTAACACTGCTGACAACTTCAATGGTTTAGTTACACGCTCTTCAATTAGAGTTTCGTAATCAAATTTGTCTCCAGTTGCATGATGTAGATACATTTCTACCTTATACTGTTCATCTCAAAGCATCGTAATCCTATTGGACTTCGTATTAATGGTACACCTGCACTTACAGCTTCACCCGTTGGCCTACATAAGTGTAGGGCAAACAAATGTTCTTGGCCCATCTCTCTCCTAGTGGTATCGGGATATAGCACTAGTTTTAATACAGCTAATAGTGTGCATGACTTTGCTTTTTTACTATCCATAAAACATTTATGCTAACTTCCACTTGAATCGTCTCAAACTTTAAGATAAGATAGTAAAAGGATTTTATCAAATTCAAGGTTGAATATTTTCGTCTAGAAAACGGTAGATAACATACTTATTTTTAAAATTATTTTTATTTAATATTTAATTACTTAAAGGTCGGATTGAAACAATTCATGAAAATATTAAGCTTCAAAACCTGATACTTTCCGATTTCAGGAAACTCACCAATTTCCCATTTTCAAAGAATGTTGTATGATAATTAAGAGAATATTTCAAAGAATAATGCCAATTTTCTGGGCGTTATTCGAAAACATAAACATTCCATTCTTTCATGACTCCATATTTGTTTGTTGACCCTATAACGAAACACGTTAATTACACTTATTATTTACTTTTCGCAGAGAATTTTCCAATTCAAATAACGGCTTGCTTTGCGGCAAAGAAAAAGGAAAGGATCCTCTACTCTACTGGTTAACTCCTGTTTTTTACTACTAACACTAATCTGAGGTTTTGGCTAGCAGCAAGAGTGCCCCGAAGGGCCATCGACCTCATCTTTACTACGATACGATATAATAGCTACATATGTGTATATATACAATATTATATTATACTAGTGTAAGAAGAAAAGGAAAATGCCTTTTTTGGGGTGTGTTTAGTAACAAAAAACAAGTAACATTTTTATTAATTATCAATGCCTTAAAATACCTCTATGATTCAGTTCTAAGAAAATACAAAACCAACATTGTATTGCTTATCATCATGATATTTTAAGTTTAACATTAGATTTAATTTTTTGGATAAAATATTTTAAAACGAAATAAACTATTAATAATATGCAGATCATAAGAATTAGTAGTGTTAATACCAATTCCACTTCATAATATTCTGCCCACGATATATTTGCTCCAGCTGCTCGAAAATGCTTCGCTCCTCCGTGACGCAGCACATACTCAGTCCACCATACTGCACGATCCAACGCACCTTGTGGATGGTCACTCATCAACGTACTAAGGCGTTTTATGTTCTTCTTGAAACTGAAAGTAATTACAATTATAAAAGTCCAAAAAATCACACTCTATATCCAGATATGTATATCTGTACAGTGCCTAATTAAATTTGTCTGATATAGAAAGATAAGTTTGACAATTATTGCAAGAATTATATTATAACTATTAGTGTATGCTAACATTATATGTAATTAACCATAACCAAAGGAATGACGCAAGTGATTAAAGATGAAATAAAAAGTACGCATACTTCCCCTTCTTTTATAATATATAAAATAAGAGGAAAAACAATAATACTATTTTTATAAACTTACTTTTAATAATGATATTATTAATTAAATCTTAGTAAAATTTTTATATGTTAAACTAGCTGTGCTTCGTCCGCGCGGAATTCTAAAATCGTAAATAACTCCTCAGCCTTACAAATTAAAACTGTTTCAATTGGACGCAGTGGTTCTTATGATTAGCGCGTTCAAACAAACAAATTCTTCAGGTTTATAATATTACTTATAGCATTTTTTATATATTATCGAATATATTGAATCATTCGCAGGGACTACGTAATGCTTTTAGTTACAATAATAAAGGGCAATTTTATGTATAATATTAAGTGTACCTTGTGTGTGTATGTACTTTCTATTATATACTCTTCAATACTTCATAAGAGTGATTTGTACCACTTATTATCCTATATAAAACACGATAACCAATTTATAGAACTGCATTTTGTTTTACATAGAAAATATTAAACCTTTGATCATTAATGACAGTCATTATTGCGTTAGTTAGCTTATCTTCGCTCAAGTTTTCCAGTTCCAGGCCCATTCCAATTTTATAAAATTCATACTTTTGTAGATTATACCATTGATCTCCAAACATCGGTATAGCTATGAGCGGTACACCTGCATTGATGGCTTCCTCTGTGGACTGAAGACCACCTTGTGTTATGAATAGCTTTACTTTGGGATGACCTATAAATAAAACATAAAATAAATAAATTTGTTTCTCCTCATAGATACTCCTGGTCTTCTACTAGATTTGTGTGATTTACGCGTTACTAGATTACGTACGTTTCATTCATTAAGTTTAGGGACTGCCTGTGTATTAATAAGTATATTATATAATTTTAATGTTGATCTAGTCTTATTTTCTTCTTTGAATATTTTAATATTGTAGTACTCACGCAAAAGATCAGACTGCGGTAACCACTTAGATACTTTTATATTTTCCGATTTTCCTGGTAGTTCATCCTCTTCCCATTTCCATACAATGTCAAACGGTAATTTGGAAAAAGTATTAATCAATATCTGTATTTTTTCAGCTGGCAACATTGATGATAATACGTTTGAGCCGAAGCTCAAATAAATTACTCCATTCTTCGACGAGTTCAAATATTTTTGAAGATCCTGCAAATGTAATAGTTAGTAGCTATTTCAAATATTTTTAAACCATTACTTGCATCACATTCTATTGTATATTTTGTTCACAAAGATCATTATTAGGTAGACGGTACCGGCTTTGTTTGTGTACCCACGCGAATTTAAACAATTTTAGGCGTAAACTGTCCGTATAATATCCAATATAATATAATGTATACAAACTTACTTCTGGCAAAGGTTTTTCCTCTTTCTTGTGTATTCCCCATATCGATATAACATTTGATGGTACAGGTTGATTATTTGTCCAAAGTGGATGTATATTTAAAAACAGCATATCGACGTTATCATAAAGGGTCCTATAGCACGGTACATCGTTACCAAAATATTTTTTTAATCTGTTCACTTCCTTATCTTCACTTTTATACCACGTGTATTGGATCCAATAATGTTTGTATAATTCGTAAAATTTCTCCCAAAACGTTAAATTGTACAATCTCTGGTGCATGAATGTTGGATATAAAAAAGGGTGTGTTGGCACACCAACAATATCTTCATTTCCAAACGGCATACCCAAAGAGCTTATTTGAATAACCGGTGCTTTAAATATATGAGAAAACAATATAGTTGGTCTTATGAAAGCCTCTATCATTAGCAGGTCGTAATAAGTTTTATTTTTATTCTGAATAATGTCTTGGACCTCTTTCGTTTTCAACTGTGTCTCCAAAATATCACCCATACCAGAGGTAAGATCCCAAACGACTTCAAAGAGTCCGTCCTTATTTCCAAATTTTGCACTATTTTCTTTATTCCTACCTTTCCAATGACCATAAGTGACATCATGAACGTCGATTTCCGTCAAATTGGCTGGTCTGCTGTCTTTAGTAAACACTGGATTTGGTGTAATAACTGTTACTTCGTGACCTCTACTAGCTAACTCTTGCGTGAGTGGTCGAAACACAACCTGATGACTTATAGATGGTGTAGGCACGACGACTAAAATTTTAGCTCCACTACTGCAAGTTACTATAAAAAGTGAGGTTACAATCAAATAATGTAACGCCATCCTAGACGAAATATAATAGAGATACTAAAAGAACTTGTATTTGATTCTCTAAAGTTGTCTTTAGTGTTTATCGGACTTATCACGGCGAGATTATTATTAAGCTCATTTATTAGTTTATTTCCTGTTATACAGACATGACGAACGTATAAAAAATATATAAATTATGTAATAACTTTGGAATTGTAGTTTACTCGAGTAGTACACATGTAAAATGATTTTAAACGCGAAATATATTAGACCTTATTATAATTATATAGCGTAGATGAAGTAATTAAAAATAGAACCACTTATATTTTTTTCCGTTTTAAAAGTGTTTTATTTAAACATTGCTATTTTTATGACAAAGGAGGAAAAAGTAGTAATGTTAGTCACCTTTTGGTGACTAACAATTAATTAATATGCTTTGTAGCGCAATTTTACCTATTTTGAATATTGCAGATTTTAATTATTTATTTTCAATAAATTGTGTAAGGCTTTCACGGCCATCGTTCAGCATATCATTGTCTTTCGGGCTGTTCGGCCGATGTGAGCGAAGAATTCTTTGAGCAATCGAGGAGTCAACATCTCCTGATGATGCCGTCCACACGTGATGGCGAAACTTCGAGAACCTCTTCTCGCTCACATCGGCCGAACAGCCCGAAAGACAATGATATGCTATATTTATTTTCAGGTTTTCTCTAAGTTTGTCTTTGAGAATACTATTAGTATTGGTTTTCACTGTAGATTTAGCACAGTTAATAGCATTGTTTTAGTGAAACCAATAGCAAAAAAAAAACTTTTTACGAAGTCCCAATGGGTAGTAAACAGTACACTATGTAATTCACAATAGTTAAGCATATACGAGTTTAGGAGTATATTCCAAGTATGTCATACAAACATTTTAATTACTTTAGGAACCAAATATTTAACTCTTCACTATCGGACGTCAGCTCGCCCAGCAACAAGTTTTAATATCTTTAATCAAATAGTACAGGTCATATACAAAAATATTACTGTATGATATTTTAATATTACAACCGTTGATCTAAATATATAGTAATATGATAAGGCTGAAGAGTTTGTTTGTTTGTCTGTTTTAATACATTAATCTCAGGAAATCTGGTTTGTTTAAAAAAAAACATTTTTTTTCTTGGCTTGGACGAGGTAGGCTTAAGCATCATCTAATAAAGCATCAGGCTGTGATCCATAAGAGCGAAGCAACAGAGGGGAATGTGGGAAAAGCATTCAGTACCGTGAGTTTTCGTGGCGTGCGCTGAGAAAACGGTTCAAGATATTTAAAAAAAATATGTATGAAGGCATTATTCTTCTTTAGATGATCTAAAAAAATTTCCACCAAGGTATACGTTGTTGTGACAAAGAAATTTTGTCAAAATACTTCACATAACAAAAGAAAGTTTGCCAGGTCAGCTAAGGTCTAATATTTATGTCACGTAAATAGATCTAACAGTTTAAAACGGTCTTAATCCTCTCAAAAGCCTTTTTTTAATATAAACAAAAGATTTTAACACTTCATTTATTCGAAAACAAGCAAAGTGCCTTTCTTGTGAAATCACCCAAACAACATTTACACATTCTTAATAACAAGGTACTTCAAATAAAATATAGATAATTTTAAAAAGACGTTGTTTGATTTTTGGAATATAAGTACATACTATGAATGTTTAATTTTCCATAAAAATATGAATCTTTGCATAATATATCGGTACGTAATATAAAATATTGATAACAGTACTAATAAAGAACAAGTCGTTAGAATAATAAGTTTAAGAACGAATTCTGCTTCCAGATATTCTAGCCAGGTCATATTAGCACCAGCAGGTCGTAGGTGCTTTGCCCCTCCATGTCGCAACACATATTCAGTCCACCATACTGCGCGGTCCAAACCCCCTTCTATCTGGTCATGCATTATGGTTCGAAGAGAAATGATATTATCTTTAAAACTGAAATTATACATAAAACATACAAAAATGAGAAAAAGTGGAAATTAAAATAACACTATTTAATTTAAAGCCTAAATCACTACATAGTCACTTTTTCTGTTCCTATGTTCGTTTAAACTTTAAAGCTTTAAAACTAGGCATAGGACTTTGATGCGGTTTTTAAATAGCTAGCGTGCTTCAAGAGAAAGGTTTTCATATAGGTTCACAGTATTTCTGTAATGTATTTAGTATCAGCATTCTCCTGTTGTTCCAATAGAGGTTTTAAAAGTGTTATTTATTAAGCTTTATCTAATTAAGTGTATAAAAACATTTAAATTTTAGAACAGTAATAGTAATTAAGCTCACAGATAGGAAATATATTGTCACAAAAATCAAAAGTTTTCGGTGCACTATAAAAATTAGTATTGGTTTGAGAGGTGTCAGAAACATATAAACTGCTTTGATGCGGTCCTCTTTGAACAGTTATTTATTTTCTATATTTATTTAATGTTATCTCACCTGTAATCATTGGTCATTTTAAATATGGCATTAGTTAATGTATCTTCAGTTAACACATCTAAGTCAAGTTTCAATCCAATTTTGTGATATTCAAATAATTCTGCATTGTACCATTGATCCCCAAGCATTGGTATGCCAATAAGTGGTACACCGGCATTTATCGCTTCCTCCAGAGACTGAAGACCACATTGCGTTATAAACAGCTTAATATTTGGATGATCTGCAAATGAAAACGGAATGTTTCGTTATTTTTCCTATGTGACAGTTACATGAGGCACATAATATTTTGTTTACTTACGTAAGAGGTCTGACTGCGGAAACCATTTTACTATTTTGACATTTTCCGGTTTTCCCGGAAGTTCATCTTGCTCCCATTTCCATAAAATATTAAAGGGTAATTTTGAAAATGCATTAATTAATATCTGAACTTTTTCAGGTGGCAACATTGATGATAATGCGTTCGTTCCAAAACTTAGATATATTACGCCATTCTTTGAAGACGTTAAATATCTCTCGAGATCCTGAAATTAGTTCAACAAAAGACTCAATGAATTTTTTATTTACCCTATATTACCTTTATAATAAAATATACACTTACTTCTGGCAAGGACTTCACCGGTTTTGTATGAATTCCCCAAATGGAAATCACATTTGGTGGCAAGGGTTGGTTATTGCTCAACATTGGGTGTATATTTAAAAATAACATATCAACATTTTTATACAACTCCTCATAAGGCGGAACGTCACCGCCGAAATATTTTTTCAGTGAAATAAGTTCCGTTTGTTCAGTGTCATACCACATATTTAAAATGCAATAATGTTTGTACAGCTCGTACACTTTTTCCGAGAAGGTTAAATTATACAGTCTTTGATTAATCATGTTTGGATATAAAAACAGATGTCTTGGAGCTCCAATAATGTTTTCACTGTCCAACCACATTCCGAAAGAACTTAACTGAATGAGAGGTGCCTTAAAGATGTGCGAAAACATCAGAGCTGGTCTACTAAATGCCTCTGTCACTAATAGATCGTAATATTTTTCATCTTTATTGATAATATTCTGTACCCCCTCTGTTTTCATTTGTACTTCTAAAAACATACCATTCAATAATGAAAGTTCTTTCATAAATACAAATATTCCTTCTTTCTGGCCAAATTTTAAGTCCGTTTCTTTAAGCTTGTTTTTCCACAGTGAGTATGTGACATCATGTATATCAATTTCCGTGAGGTTCTCTGGTCTATTAACATCTGTGAAAGCTGGATCTGTTGTTATAACTGTAACCTCGTGACCTCTCTTTGCTAATTCCAGGGTAAGCGGTCTGAATATAATTTGATGACTTATCGATGGAGTTGGTACCACTACTAATATTCTTGCGCCTTTACTTTCACGAATAGTAAGCACGACGATTAAAAGAAATAGTAGTTTGTCAAACATTGTGCATTAAATCTCCTCTGTCACTATAATAATGAAATATAAGGAGTCACGACGACTTAAAGGGTTTTATCAGCACTTATCAAATAGGTAATATTCTGATTGTTAAAATGAAAGGTGGTTTATTTGCTTACTACTTGCATATTCTGAAATATCATTAGAGCAATTTAGTAAAAAACCAGAAAGTATATTTATTAAACTAACAAAATTTCGACCGTTATCTAAACAGATGTTTAGATAACGGTCGAAATTTTTTCTTGGTCTAGACAAATCATTTAAGCGTCAATAAGTTTGTTATTAGATAGGTCGATAATTAGTTAAATATGCACAGTATGTGTGGTTAAACAAACAAATAGCCAATGTAACTTTATGGTTTACGCTCCATGGACTTTTCCATTTAATGTGAGCAATAGATCAGTAGTTTACACTGGTTCCTTCACAAGGTGAGGCGTCAAAGGAGTAAAATTTTTACCCTATTTTCGTATACAGCGCACATAAGTAAGTACCACTTGTCTCAGCCTATCATTTAAAAGTGACGTTAAATAGCTTGTTAGTAGCGTGAATTTATTAAATGAGTTCAAATTAAACGATAATAATGTACAATATTGCTTATCAGACAATAATATGGTGTGTTTTTGGTTTTATTTATTTATTTGTTTATAACAACCTAATCTACCTTTACATGATTATCCTAATGATAGAAAATGATTACATTAAAAATTCACATACAATAAAATATCAAAAAGTGATGATTCATCACACCTTAAACTGGTAATTGAACATTTCGAGAAAAAATAGCAAGTGTGTATTTTGCTGGTGTCAAATCATCAACACTTAAAACTCTCCCCTTTGCTATCGTCATCACGACAACGTGACACGTTGCTGTGATTACATTGAGATAAACGATTAAAAAACACAAAATCCTGACAAACTAAAGATGTTATATGTGACCTAACTTCAACATAGTTGGGATGTTCTTACGAGTTTTTTCCTCATCATCCACCTAGAATTCCATAATGACAATCTTCGAAATTGTCACGTTCCTGACAACGGGGTCGTTGCCTACATTTCGAGTGATATCCAAACCCGGATCGTTCGGATGCGATGCGGCTTTTTCCTTCAGTACTTCAAAGTTAAAATCAGCAAGCACTGACAAAGCACTTTTGATGCGCAATTTTGAAATTTTAACTTTTAACGACCGTTGATTATAACTCGTTGTTAAAAGGAATAATAAAACTGAATATGCATCCAGCATATCGGTTATGGTTATGGGGTAATCGCTGGCCGTAACTTATTTTTGAAGAACGTCGCGTCACTTGCATGTTACGTAGAATAATACGTCTGGTTCGTTGCAATTTTTGTAAATAGTTCTACCTTGCGGTGGACTGTATATGAAATATAACGTTTCATTTCACATTTAGCGTTTAGTGGCGGAACACGGAATCCGATTCGATTTTTATCAATCAAGACGAAAAACGTTTCCGTTTGGTCGGTTCGTTAACGCCATTTTTGTAAGACATTTGCCCTAAAACGAATAAATTATAATTCTACTTACTTTTAGATCGAGTTAAATTCATTCTGGAGCACTTATGTTTAATAATTATTAATACTTAACAGGTCTAACTTTAAAGATTATTTACTGTTCGAACTGCACTGCTAATATAAATAAAAAAAACAAAGAAACATTTGAACGTGTATAGATAGATCATAATATTATCTCTCGTATTACTGTTTTGTTTAAAGAGATTTTCTTTTGATCCAAGGACTTTTTTCACATTGTAGCTCGTGTAGGGACACACATTACATTCATTATACAATACTACTTATTCACTTACACACTTGGTACTCACTGGCATTTTTAAGTAAAATATTTAATTGAAAATACGGTAAAACCAATTAATATATACTTGATAACAAGCACACCGATGAACTGTTTAAGACGCACCTGTGCAAACTGATTTTTCAGTTTCAGGGAGTCAACTTATTAAACGCGACAAATTTATCACTAGATTTTGGCCCACCTAAGCTCTTGGAGGTTCCCTTTAAACTAAACAAACGAAAGAGACAATTTGTGTCATGACCAAATAATTAAGTTTTATAATTACTGCTATCATAGACGAAACATGAATAAACACTATTACGTGTTCATTTGAAATTCAATTAATATTTCGAAGACATCTGCCTTGGGTCGAGGCAAATATATTAATAAAGGTGCTACATTAGTCTTACTTCGATTTTAATTCGATTTCAAGGATTTCAATATGTGATAAGTAACGAAAACATTACAAAACCCATGGCTGGTTCATTGTCAACTGGCAAACAATGCGATTTTTTACTATTATTACTGTTCTAATACGAATATCATAAGATCTCACCGCTCGCTCCGTATACAGGTTGCTTTTTCATTAATTTAGTCTAAAATGATTTTTGAGAAAGTATAGAATGTATTGTAAAAGCCTTTTCAAATTATTAAATGAATTAGTCGCCAGTACATAAAACTCACTAGTGTTTTTGTCTCACCAACTAAATTTGCAGCTATATGTTTTTAATCAATTTAATGTTTTTAAAGAAACATATGTATGCAGTTGAAAAAAATGGTTGCCCGCCCTCACTTAGCTGCAAATCCTTAGGTGAAAATCTGCATGTACCCGTTTTTTTTTTAATTGAAACAAAGTCAAACTTTACTCGTATAGTCTGACCTGTGTTCTCACATACAAATTATTATCACTACTTTCTAGCAGCGAACCAAATTTTTGGAGTAATAAAATAAGAACCGACAGTAACAAGTTAAGAATTTGCGAAGGTTTTAATATTATTTCTAGTAAAAAGCTAGCCAAGTAAAAAATATGTTAAAATATATGTTGCTAGACGCAAATATCGAGATTAATCGAAATTTCACATTATCCTTACATATTATATTCCTTGAAGTACAGGGGTGGATCTTACTCAAAGTAAAGTTTTAAAAAATACTAAACAACAACAGTACTACATTACGTAGAGACGTGAACTTATCCGATCTCTAAATTATTAATACATTACCGTTAAATAATTAATACAGGATCCCAATTATAAACATACACTCTGGAATTAATACCAAAGTCGATAATTCTCTTAGAATAAGTTAAGTAGAAAAATATGATACGATAAAAAAATCGAATTTGAATTTTCCTTTGTCACCTATCTAACTTTACATATTTCGTTTTACTTAATAGAAAGATATATAAGTATTACACTGTAATAGAGATCTTTAAAATTATTAAATCATTTTCTTGTATGTATAGGTAGATAAATACTCAAATTAACCAAATCAATTTGCAAATAAAATATTAAGAGAGTCACTTATTACCTTAAATTTTTGTTACTTACTAAATTCAATTCTTCTAATTATCTTTGAGTTTACTTTTTGGTATTGATAACTGTTTCCATACGAAATAAATTACTAATAATGAGGCGACCAGAGCGACGAACACTATTGAAAACAGCTGAAGTACGAATTCTATCTCGTAGTATTTCGTCCAGTGCATGTTGGCTCCAGCCGCGCGGAGGTGCTTGGCTCCACCATGTCGCAGCACGTACTCGGTCCACCAAACAGCGCGTTCTAAGGCACCTTGCGGCTGGTCGTTCATTAGTTTACGAAGACGTATAATATTGTCTCGGTAGCTGAAAAACAAATTCCCTTAAATTACATACAAATTTTTACATAAATATGTTTAAAAATAACTTAAAAGGAAGTTAAATGCTATATTAGGCTACGGCTAATGAAATAAAACTGTGCTTCAAAAGTAATTTAAAATTAACGGGTTAAAATACGAAATATTTCATATAGTTAATCAAAAAATTTTAAAAACTTTCCAATATAAAAAATTTATGAAATCGAGAGCTATCTCTCACTTATTCTCTTTTTATAGCGAATTCGTTTTAAAAATAACATAAATAATAAAATTCTAATAAACGGTTTGAGCAACAAGAAGATTAAGATGCATAAGTCTTTTACCTTGTATCGTTTATCACAGTCTGAATAGCTCCTTCTAATTCTTCTTCAGTAATCGTCTCCATTTCAACTTTCTTGCCGATTTTGTAAAACTCACATTTCTCCACATTAGACCATTGGTCTCCAAGCATCGGGACTCCTATCATTGGTACACCAGCAATTATAGCTTCATCTGTTGACTGCAAGCCGCCTTGTGTTATGAAAAGTTTGATCTTGGGATGTTCTGAAATAGAAAAAACAGTTCGAAAAGGCTTTATTCAGACTTCGCTTTAACTTAAGTCTACATTACGATCTGTCCCTATAATTCAATGGTAAGCATCGTTATCAATATAGTTGATAGCAGATCATTATCGCGCACCAAACACAATTGTACCCTAAACATTGTAAATACAACTTCCCTCCGTTGTAAAATATTATCAGTGCTAAGATAAGACCTTGTGCACTAGTGACGTCAAATTAAATTTAATAATATGAAATGCTATCTGCTACTATGCTACTACTATATAAAGCTGAAGATTTTGTTTGTATGTTTGAACGCGCAACTTTCAGGAAATACTGGTTCGAATTGAAAAATAATTTCTGTCTTAAAATGTGGAAATACTTGGAAAATTATTCGGGTTTCCGATACGTACACTGTAACACATAAACGTTTCAAGATACCAAGAAAGTATGTATGAAAGAATTGTTATATTTAAATTAATAAAAAATGTCCGCGACACTATAGCTTTTAATATTTAGCTGCAAGATCAAGGACGCGACCGACATCGTGGTTACACAACAGCTCAAACGTGAAGAAGGGGTTTTAAGCCCAATATACCTTTATTTCGCGGACGAAGTCCCTCACACAGCTAGTTATTAATATTAAGAAACACGTAAAATGGTCGTATTATTTCACTTAAATACCTTATATAAAATAACTATATACATTACTCGCTAAATAAACAATATATACTAACTTAATAGGTCAGACTGCGGCAACCATTTTACAATTTTTATATTCTCCGCCCTATTTGGCAGTTCATTAGTTTCCCATTTCCACAGAATGTCATAAGGTAATTTTGAAAACACACGGACGAATATCTGAATTTGCTCCTGTGGCAGTAGAGATGAAAACACATTAGTTCCAAAACTCAAGTAGATCACTCCGTTCTTGGAAGAGTCAAGGAAAGTCTGAAGATCCTGAAAAATAAATATACACAATATACAGTCTATAGTTTACGCGAGTTTTAAACCGTTAAAGTGTTATATTTAAATGTGTACTACATTTATTTATAACACCTTGACGGTTTAAAACACGATATATTAGTAAAACTTATTTGATAATAATTTTAACTAATATATCGCGTTTTATATCGTTAAAGTGTTTTGTGATACCTCTTTAAATGATCTAAAAAAATGTCTGAGATAGTATATGTCTATCTTGTCAGATGAACCTTCAAGAACGACAGGATGCGACCGACTTCATCGATAATAAATAAAATTTATAAAGATGAAGAGGAGGTTTGCAAAAACACATTTTGATGCCCAAAGTACCTATTTTACGCGGACGAAGTCACTGGCATATTTAGTATTTAGTAAAATTCCATTCAATTTCTATAAAAAATAATAGTCTTACGAATTAGGCGTTAAAAAACAGTAAGCTACTTTAACATTGAAACTTGATGTATTTTTTAATAATCGAATGTTGCCATATGGGTAATGTCTATAGATTTTTTGTCACGACGACGTCAATATTATGAGGGACTATAAAGTTTTTTACATTGTGTTTAATAAATCTATTTTTAGGTCATGATTCACAAGAATCACAAGGCATTTGCAAAATCTATTGTTTGTTTCTTGGAAACCATTTATCGAGAAAGTCTTTATGCTATATAACATCAAGCTTCGGCCAATAGGAGCGAGGAAACATTAAAAATGTGGATAAAAGGTGTAAAATTCAGTTCAATAAATAAAAAATATGTACGAAAGAATGATTGCTCTTTAAATGGTCTCAAAAGATGTCCGCAACTGTGTATGTCGACCGTTTCAGTTTAACATGCCAGAACACGGACGACGCCGTGGGTCACAGCTAGAGTTAAAATAAAACTTAATACATTTTTTTTTATCGGTTACCTAATGTTTAATGTCAATATGAATCATGTTAGACAATATACCACGATTAGGTATATACGTGTTTAGATTATAGGCTTAAAAAAAATTGTACATAATTAAAAATTAGACTAAAGGATTTTTTAAAAAATATTCCTTAATCAATAACTCGTGATATTCTTCTTTTGTTTTTTTTTTTTCATTTCGTTGTTGAAATAAGGAAATATTTATCGCATAACATTGTCATAAAAAAAGACGTCATGTTTACAAATGGAGATCTAAACAAGTAATTTACAAAGGTTTTTAAATTCAATTATGTGATTCCTAAATTACATATACTGTATATTAAATGTATATGTACATAATTGAAGGTATCATTATCGTTGACATTCTAGTCATCGTAACTAATAGACTAATATTAGTTTTTGTTTTGCAAAGATTACCGCTACATTTGTTTTTTGATAAGGGGAACTGCACAGTTTTCCTAATTAAACCGTAGAGTTGGCTGTTTTAATGTCTTTTTATATACAGGTACCTTTGGTGAAACTAAAAATCTATATTAGGTTTAAAAAATTAATGTTCCGGATGCTACATATACCGATATCCATAGTGATGCAGATGCCCTTCAATTGATCTACCGCGTTGCGGTCGTCTCTTAAAATTTCTTATATTTTTAAATTTGATGCAATGTTCACATCTCTTAATTGGTTAATATATTGAATAGTGGATGTCGGTTTAAGTCTTATTTTCAAGGCCTTTATGTGCCTTTATGTACATGTACAAAAAAACATATTTTTCTTTGATATTTTTACTCTTATACAAATAAAATTATAATTATTAGTATTCTATACTTACTTTCGGTAGAACTCTTTCAGGATTCTTATGAATTCCCCAAATTGTTATCACGTTTGGTGGCAACGGTTGATTGTTAATCCACATAGGATGAGTGTTTATAAACAGCATATCGATATTGTCACTCAGAATGTCATAATTGGGTAAATCTTTACTTATCTTCTCTCGGAGGATCTTTAGTTCTTTAGGCTCTTCATCGTCCCAAATTTTATTAAACCATAATCGTAATCTTATTTCCTCAATTTTATCCCAAAATGTAAGATCGTAGACTTTCTGCGATATCGTCATGGGATATAGGAAGGGGTGTTTTGGTACACCAAAATTGTTTTCGTCGTTCCCGAACAAAGCTCCCAGAGAGCTTATCTGAATCACAGGCGCTTTAAATAAGTAACTATACATCAAATTTTGTCGTGGCCACGCTTCTAACAAAAGGAGATCGTACTTCTCACGATTCTTTATTATACGTTGTATTTCCGGGTGTTCCACTTGTAAACACATGATGTCCGACATAATCGTCAATATCGTTTCCACTTGTTGGTATATACTCTTCTTCATTCCAAATTTTACATCGTAGACGAACTTTTTCTTCCAAAGTTCATACGACATATCGTGGACGTCGATTTCCGTGTAGTTTCCTGGGCTTTGAGATCTGAATAATGGGTCTGTTGTGATAACTGTGAGTTCATGGCCTCGCTTCGCTAACTCCAATGTCAAAGGTCGGAATACAACTTGGTGGCTCACGGACGGAGTAGGAAATACGGCGAGTATTCTGGCCGAATGTATTCCTGTTATCACGCATAAGATAAATACCAATGAACTCGTCATCGCGAAAATCGATCTCGAACTAGTTGTATCTCCATGCTTACAGTTTATATATCGTCTTGGTGAGATATACAGCTAAAAGTATATCAATTTAAATTATATATCTTTGACTGAGAACAATGTTATGATAAGAGTCATATGAGCAAAGAAGTCAAAAAGAGCTCAGTTTATCTGATGAGAAAATGTGGTCTGTGGTTTAAAGTTTATGAAACAAAAACTGTCCAATATTTTGTTTAATTCTATAACTTTCCTTGACAAGATAATAACAGCAGGTGTGTATATTATGTTTATAATAAAACTATTTTGTGTATATAGAAGAAATGGTCACGTACTTTGAAGTCGCGAGGTATAAAGCGATGCTACTTAAAATGGTTAACAGCCGTAAATAAGTAAATTATCTTGACCTTTTTCTTTCACTTAAAAGCAAAGCACTTAATTGGTATAATCAAATTTAATCGGTGTCTTTATCTCGTCGCAATGTACGGCTGTCGCCGTTTGCTCTTCCATTTTTCCGTTTTCAATCTCATTATAATATTACTGAAGTATTATGGTCTCCACCTTTAAATCTGGATGGTATTAAATGAATGGAAAGAACGTCAATATTTCGCCTGGTTTCAAAACTACACTTCGCTTTTCTGACTACTAAAAATGTGTACGAGATTATCGCTAAAACACAGTAACTGGGGTAAGAGCGTAAAATAATAATTCGATAACAGTATAGATTCTTATTCTTCGTTATTCTAGTCCTGGAACTTGTTAGACTTCATCTGGGTTTGAGTGGGTGGTAGGAATACTTAAATTCCATTCGGGTTACAAACCACCGTCCACAAAACGGGAACTGTAAATTGCAATGGCGTTTCCGTTCGAGTCTGGGGATTACTGAATAGCCAAAGTCATAATCAGTCGATAGCGCATTTTTGGAGTTCGCCTGGGGTGTTTAATTTCCAATTCACGCTCCCCTTTTTTGTATTACGGAAAAATATATTGTCTTAGTAAACTATAAATAATGCGGCATTGTCTAATATTAGTATGTTACTATGGACTATTTTTATAGTAGAAAAAAAACGTCATAACGTTTAAATGTCGCTAAATGTATTTTTATAAACTCGCTCAAAGCGAGGTCGTCTCCAAATCACGAGGTGAACATACAACTAGAACGTGCCTGTATCGGTTTGTACAATAATATTTACTTACTAGCTTTTGCCTGCGGCTTGACACACAAACATACAGGTGCGGAATAACCTTATTGGTGGCTTACATGATACAAAGTGAAATATCCCAGCCATATAAAGTCTCAACAAGATAGGCAAGCAACAGACTGAAACGTGTGAAAGAAATAACACGGCTTTACATAATTATGTAAAACCGTGATTTTTTCTAGTTTGATCTATAGTCTGTGGTTCGTAACCCGGACGGAATTTCGATGTTACTACCACCCATTAAACTATAGTTTTTTCCCGTTACTTAAACTTATTAAACTTATTTGAAATGATTTTTAACTTCGGCCTGACGTTTCGATCTTTGCAGGCGGGGCGGGGGCACGGGGAGACTATAGATGGAGGATGCCTCTGCGTCAACGTAAAAATTCGAATTGCATCTTGGAACAGACGGCGCTACCATTTGTTCCGTCGAAGTTGGTATTTGGCGAAACTGGCCGGGTCATTACAGAATTGACTAATGGTGTCTTCGCGTTTTCCGGTATGCTGTTTATTGGGATCCAGAGTTTTTTTATTATGTGATCCCCGGTGTCTGATAATTTAAGGCTGTCCTGCCTATTGAAATTTCGGTGTTTTTTGATTTCAGTTGCTTTGCGTACCATCTTGGAAAAATCGACTCTCTTTTGCGAGGATTTTTGGCTGGTTAAGGCGAATGTAATGATTGGGCCCTTCAGATGAGTATTGGCATACCGCTAAAACGTCGGGCCGAAGTCAAAAATCATTTTCAAATAAGTTTAACTAATATATCGCGTTTTTAACCGTTAAAGTGTTTTATTTAAATGTGTAATTTTGGGTTGTTAATCCCCCCCTTTATATAAAAATATTATTTACGGGTAGACAATCTTACCTACCTCAATTATGTATGTATCATTTTACTGTACAATGTAGTAGCATTAAGTTGTACGTTGATACTTATCATAACATTTCATGATCGTATTTTTTTCAGAAGTATTTTTTATTTTTTCGCGTTATTGAATTTACGTAATTCCTATTGTTGTTTTCATGAGTAAACAAAAACCGTGAGAATAGTTGATTTTATTTCCATTGATCTCACACAAGATGTATTTTAAATATAGTTTAAATAATATATTAGTCAACTTATTTGCTAGTTATGCAATTAAAATGAAGCCAAAAATAACTAGTCCTTTACATTATGGTCAAGATTAAATAAAGGACAAATAACGACTTATCTTTGCACAGATTACATGGTTAGGGTGATTCCAAATAACACAAAAATAATTTTCCAATTCGAACTAGTAGTTCATAAGATTAACGCGTTCAAATAAACAAACAAATAAACTCAATAAAGTAGTATAAACACACAATGAATTGCGTTTGCTTTTTTAAGTCTATATAATAAAATTATTTCAACAGGATCTGAATTATTTCCGTGTTAGTTAAGAGTGAAGAGTACCTTTTGAGATAAGAATATCGTAAGTAAAGATAATAACATTGATTCAAACGCACTGATTCAAAATTTTATCAATTTATATTTAGTACAAGTAAAAAATAGTAAATAAAACGGCAGCATTGTATCGATTACCAACGGATCGTTGGTAATCGATATTAACGGGTGTTTCACACCCGTTTGATAATAAATGGCTGGTAAGATCAAAAATCCCATTGGGTTACAAACTAATTACCACGGATGTAGTCGTGCAGTTTAATCAAGCCTACAATATACTATACAATATACTTTCCATCAAGTAAACCTTGCCGGTTTGTCTTCATCAATCATAAAAAAAAACTTGTAGCATTCAATTAAGTAGTGTTACCTTCCCATTTTGTTATTGGCCATTCGTAAATAACGGTTATAAATAGCCTGGGGATTACATTCCTTTATGTATAATGAGCTAATATTTACACTGGCATATTGAGCCTGAAACATCAATTTTCAGCGCTAATGTAGTAAGTATCGCTGTTACATGAGTGTAACATATCAGTTATTGAATCCGTGTAAATACGCTAATACAATACTACTACTATATAACACAATACTTGAGCTGTAATCCCACATTATTCATTTTGTGGGATTCCACTGCGTACGCTGCGACATTGATTTAAGATAAGCAATAATGTGAATCTAAAAAAATGTCTGCGATACTATATGTCTTTCTTTTGTTAACTTGCAACGATGGAACACGACCGATGTCGTGGGTAATAGCTTGTATTTATAAAGATGAAGAAAACGTTTGCAAAAACTAATTAAGATGCCCAAAATAACTATTCTACGCGGCGAAGTCGCTGACATAGCTAGAATAAAAAGATTGGTTCTAGAACCACAAATTTAATGATTTATACTTGATAAGATAAATTCACATTATGTTTGCGAAGCATTTACACATAGCTCTTATACTAAGGTTGCCACTTATGGAACTTCGGCTAAACACTGTACTGTAAGAGAAATTTTCCTAATCAATTTTTTTTATACAGAAAAGCGAAAGAGCGATATGTTATTTTCCGACAATAAATTCCTCTGTTTTAGCCTCTAAACCTGACTTCGCTGGCTTTACTAAGTTAACGTTATATTGTGAGTTTTCAAAGGCTGTATGGAGGCTGTACTGACAGTGCAGGGGATGACATTTTGAACAAGTTATTTTAAAATAAGTTCTTTATTATTAGATAACGTTTTCAGTTGACAACCATCTCATAAGAATTCCCCTAACTTTTTTTTCTTTTTTCATGAAGGAGGAGGGCATGCATGCATAAGTTCACTTGATGGAAGGTCATATAACATCTAACGCGATGCGCTATCTACCTATTTTAGCTGTGGATATTCTGAAACCCACAGACTGAAACTGAAACGCGATTAAACTTCAAGGTTTTTTCATGTGTGGACAGTGGTCCGTAAACCACTACGGTATTCCTACCAACCATTTAATAACCAAATTTCCAGACGGAGTCCAACATGTTTCAGGAAAAGTATAAATCTAATTCAAACATGTTAGCTCCGGTGGGGATCGAATCTTCGACAAACATTGCTACCATTAGACCAACGAGCACGAAATCATTTTAATTACCGATATAATTCTATTTTAATTTATAAGGAAGTACACGAATGTTGTATTTTCGACATCTGTTACCAAGGTTATGTATCTTTACTATAATAAACCCAAAAAAACGAGTTTAAGTGATAAAACAAGTATAATATAGTACGACCGGTTCGAGATTTTTGTTTGTTTGATGCAATTGTTCCCCTAAAGATCTATACGAAGGACTTTCTAGCAGTTAAACTTGACGGTACGCTCTTATATATACACAGCTTGGGTTAAGTACCTAAGTAGTGTCATAAGTGAGAAATTCTCGACGTTTCGAAGGTTAGCTACAACAGAGATACATATGTTAATATTTCAATAAAACACTTTAATGGGCTAAAACGTGATATATATTAGTTAAACTTATTTGAAAATTACTTTAACTACGGCCCGACGATTTGGATGCTTTGCAGCAGTTTAACTGATATATATCGCGTAAAAACTTTAAAGTGTTTTATTTAAATGTATACTACACGCGTAAACTACAGACACTATGTAAGTAAGTTAAATTAAATTTATCCAACTACTGCGATTCTTAAAATACGGGCTGTTGACAGACAAGGCTTTTACGATCGATTTTTAGTTATTGATGCAAAAAAATGGTATGTGTATATTTTATGTTCCGAATTTGTAAATATTGTTGTTATGTTAATGTTAACTGTATCTACTCCATCTTTAATATGATTATAATCCCCAATTAGATTGATTAGGAAAATTCAATCAGGAACAATTTATCCGTAACCAATAAGATCGCAATATACATTGCGGGGCCTTCCAACAACTGAAGATTTCGGGGCTCTAGAAGGAACTTATTTCTCCCTTAGAGACCATAACTGCTGCAAAGTATCCTAAACATCGGGTCGTAGTTAAATTGCAAAAAGATTTACTAATATAATTCACGTTTAAAATGGTTAAAAGTATTTTATTTAAACATCTTAGTATAAAAACATAAAAACAGCGCTATCATATCTTATATTACACCTTCCATCAAGTGAACAATGTCTGTTCTTCTTTACTCTGCCAAATTTACTTTGCTAATTTTTATGTCCCCAAATATTGTTACCGTAATCCATCCCTGGACTCATGTGACATCAGTGGTTTATGGGAAATGCGTAACGTGGTGTAACGTGATTAAGATAGCTAATGAACAAACCTTCATACGTGACACAGGATAAAAACAGTAGGAGATACGAAAAAACGCTCAATCATATCTTGTATAACGAACAGGCTAAACATATTGACACATTTAGAGTTATAAAGTCTTAAACTCAATGCAATGAGAAATATCTCAGCCGTACCTTCAAGTTAAAGAGATGTCTGTAATGTGACGAGATGGAGATTATCATCGTATGGATGTATTTTGTCCGAGCTTGCACTCAGGCCTTTCTTCTCCATCTTTCACGATATTTTGCATCACGACTACACAGTTCATGAGAAATATATTATACAGCAGCCGCAGTCTCCCCGGGACAAAATCTACTGCAAAGCATTCGAAACGTCGGGCCGAAGTTAAAAATATCTTTCAAATAAGTTTAACTAATATATCATTTTAAACCGTTAAAGTGTTTTATTTAAAAGTATGACAATTATTACCAATGCTTGTCTTTCCTCCTCGATCAATAAAAAGTAGTTAAATAAGGTTAGTATTGTTTTAATTATCGCGTGTAATAGCAAATAAAATAACTTTTTTTTATAAATAATAATCTGAACGCAACAATAAAAATACATAATGTATATTATGTACTATCTTCGTAATCTATAAGTAAACTTAATTCCATGATGTGTTGTGGTTTTTAAAATTAAATAAGAAACTTCATTCCTTTATTAGAATGTTGTTCTCGCTACTGTTTGTTTCATTCAAAGATGGAATGATTACGGTAAATGCTTCGTTGAGCGAGTTTCTGGACCATTTATTCTAGGGGGTTTATTTTTCTCTAATTCACTGCAGTGCCTATCTGGGTATAGTAATCAAACTCCTTCTTATCTTGAGGTACTTTTTGAATCATATTAATGGACTTTCAAGCCAATACTAAAATTATAATTTATATATGTATTCTTTATTACACACAAAAATATAGAACAAATTAAATGCTAGAATGGAGCGCAATGGGCGGCCTACTCGCTAACAAGCGATTACTTCCAGGCAACCTAAAATTAAGGAGAAAATAAAAAAATACGCCTGCAAAAATTAAAAGCAAATCGTCAATTGCTATGAATTGCTTAACACAGCACAGTCCTTTTACAAAAGACCTACAATTTTTGATATTGTTTAAACCCATGTCCCATTTCTGGGCTCAAAGTTTAGAAAGGCCCACCATGCTGGTCACACGCAGGTTGGCAGGTGGTCACTAAACTAGTAGTAACCACCGAGATCGTGGAATTAGAGGAACTGTAATGATACCACTTCCTACTGGTTTAGAAATATGTTAGATCGAGAATTCGAACCCGGGACCTCTAAATGTGCAGTCTAGTTCACTACCAATGAAGCAGTTGAAGATATACAATGTAAATACAAAATTAATATAAACAAGATTATTTATCTACATATGTATTTATAACATAATGGTGATGCATTAGTTATTTCTCATAATGTTGATTAGTTTGGGGACAAAGACTGCTTTTAATACTTGTTGTGGACATTCCAGCATTGGAATTAGATTCATACAATATTTTGCCTTTGTATGTTATCATACAATAACGCTAAGTAACCGGGTGTGAATGAAAGAAAATGGGAAATAGACAAGGCATTAATAAAATTAATTATTGTGCTCTCACGCAATTATGCATAGCACTATCATGATATTATATGAATATACTCGTTTATAAATTACAAGGTCAAGACACTATCTTCTTTTAAATACTGTCTGTAGTTTACGCCAGGAGTACACATTCAAATGAAACACTTTAATTCATGTCATGACTGCTGCAAAGCATTTAAAACGTCTTGCGGGAATTAGACTGAATTTTAAAATATGTTTTACTAATATTTATCGCGTTTTAAACCGTTAAAATGTTTTATTTGGATTTTCTTTTGATCAAAAATTTTAAATAGTTTCCTGTAGGTATATTCCTGTTTATTTGAATGTAGTTCCAACAAGCCTTTAGGGCGAATTGAACTGGGGCATGAATGTCATGATCAGTGTAAAGACAGAAAGATATCTTAAGTGTTCAAAATTAAATAATGTCTTACTTGTTGTCTACAAAATATTTTTTAGTCTTAGATTATATAGTAAATAATCTTTTGTGGAATTTCAAACGCAGCAAGTGTACATAAGTGTCTTTTTACACTATAAGTTGGATGTTAGGGCTTACACACTTTGGTAGGAGCGCTGCGACGGTGTGTGTACACTGAAGCCTTTTATATTTATATTTTCTATTATAATCACGAGGGGGAAATATATCTTTTAATTGTATACATACACACCAAAAATTACGTACTCCCTAATTATTTGACCAAAACAGTGTCGTTTGCGTTTGATGACCATCAACGTCTCGTTAAAGTAAAAATCATTTAAAAGCTATATGAATTGAAATATTTCTCAATTTATATAATTTTATATTTATTTAATAATTATCTTATTTAATTTATATAGTGCCATGTTGTGCAACAACATGTGAAAAAATATTAAAAGTTTTCAATTGAAAAGCTACTTAGAATTATATAATTTAATCGCCTAATTAATATACACGTTAGTGTTAATAGATCTATATATTTTCTAATCATTTTTTTGCTTTCGTCTAACACATAACCAGATCCATAACAAATAGAAAATAAATAATATAGACACTAAAACGCCAAATGCAATAGCAGCCAAGTTGAGTAAGAATTCTATCTCATAGAATTCTGTCCAGGGCATATTTGCTGTAGCCGCACGAAGGTGTTTCGCCCCTCCATGTCGCAGCACATATTCAGTCCACCATACAGCGCGTTCCAATGCACTTTGGGGCTGGTCGACCATTAGTTTACGAAGACGTATGGTGTTCTCCCGATATCTGTAACACATAAGCATTTAAAATATTTTCTTTCTTAACAATAGAATTGTTCTTTGCTACATCCTAAGATATAACAGTTTTCATCTAAGATAAGATGCGCCGTCGACTTATTTTGGCTTCTTATATTCGTATTTTGGATAACCTGAAATAATCTACACTTGCTTTATCATCTATATATGGTGAATTCGTGAACATTCCTAGCCATTTAACGTCCAGACTTTCCAGTCGATGTCTGACATGTTTCAGAAAAATTGGTTCCAGTGGGAATGTAACCCACGACGCGGTTATTATCAATACGTTGCTATCATTGTACAAACATCAATAAAAATCCAATCATTTATTTAATGTGAACTTAATAATATAAATCTCGTTTAAACCAGTTAAAGTGGTTTCATTATGATAAGACTACTCGCGGAAACTATAGATTCTTATTGCGTTTATCTTTAACTTATCAATTAAAGAGGTTAATAACGTATTTAGATAATTATGTTTTATTATTTCCTTCAAACAGTAGTTATAGTAAGTCAAACGTACCTGTCTCTATTACTTAGCATATTTTGAATAGTTTCTTCTAGAACTTCTTCTGTTATAGTCTCCATATCAACTTTAACTCCTATTTTATAGTAAAGTATTTTATCTATATTAAACCATTGGTCTCCGAACATGGGAACTCCTAGTATTGGTACTCCAGCGCTTACAGCTTCATCAGTTGACTGTAGACCTCCTTGCGTTATAAAGAATTTGATTTTTGGATGTTCTGTAATAATAATAGATAACATGTACGCAGTATAAAAAGAAAAATAAATCAATAAATCTTGAGTAATAAAAAACAGTATGACGGAAAATAATAAAGTATAAGAAAGTTAAAACTCTAAATAGTTATTACTTATTTATTTAAAATCATATTCTACTATCACAGAATATACGTAAAAATGTTGAATTGTTCATAGCACGAAGAAGAGGGGATTTCATCAGCAATTTGGTGTGTGAGGACGGTAGTGCAAGTAACGGTGGTCGTAATCGTCTGCACACGTATCGGGCCGGAGCAGACAAGTGTAAGGACTGTTCAACTCTCGACCTCGACTGTATATGTTTTTTTTTAGAGAGTATGTTATATAACAAAGCGCAAATAGCCAAGCAAAATCTTATACCAATAAGTTTTATTTCAACGGTGATCATTTTCTAGCCTTCAATATTATAGATATATGTTAACAAAATTATTAGTTAATTAACATAACACTTACTTAAAACGTCTGTCTGCGGCAGCCATTTTGATATTTTTATGTTGTCCGATTTATTAGGCAATACATCTGTTTCCCATTTCCATAAGACATCATATGGTAACTTCGAAAATACACGGACGAACACTTGAATCTTTTCCGGTGCCAGCAACGACGAAAACACATTCGACCCGAAACTTAAGTAGATCACTCCATTCTTTGACGAGTCCAGGTAGTTTTGCAGATCCTAAAATATTAGACGTGTTGATAATACAAAACAATTACCACCATCTAAGTTAACTCGTCTATTTATTCATGGTATTTTATTCTTTTTTTTCTTTATACTTACACTGGGTAAAGTTTTTTCAGGGTTCTTATGAATACCCCACATTGTAATCACGTTAGGCGGCAACGGTTGATTGTTCATCCACATCGGATGGCTATTCAAGAACAGCATATCGATATTATTACTCAATTCTTCATAGCTAGGTAAGTCTGCACCAAGTTGTTTCCTAAAAACTTCCAGTTCGTACGCTTCTAGAGCGTCTAGAACTCCGTAGAACCAAATACGTTTGCTTAATTCCTCAATTTTCTCCCAGAAAGTTAGATTGTAGATTTTTTGTTGCAACATCATTGGATATAGGAACGGATGTTTCGGTGCACCAACATTGTCTTCATCTTTACCGAACATAACTGCTAAAGAACTTATTAAGATCGCGGGTGCTTTAAACAGGTAGGTGTACACCAACGCTTGTCGTGGCCAAGCTTCCAGCAAGAGGAGATCATATTTTTCCTGGTTCTTGATAAGCTGTTGTACTTCCGGCTGTTCCAGTTGCACGCTTATAACCTCCGTGATCATCGTCAATAGGGTTTCCATTTGCGGATACATGTTCTCTTTCATTCCAAATCCGACATTGTAAACAAACTGACTCTGCCATATTGAATACGATATATTGTGGACGTCGATCTCTCGGTAATTCTCAGTACTTTTGGAATTGAATATTGGGTCTGGTGTAATTATAGTGAGTTCATGACCTCGCTTTGCCAATTCTAAAGTCAGAGGTCGGAATACGACCTGGTGGCTCACGGATGGAGAAGGAAACACTGCCAGTATTCGTGCTGTGTATGACTCAGTTATTACGCAGAATAAAATAAATAATGCACTTGACATTGCGAAAATCAATTTATAACTGATTAAATCTCCACTATTACAGCTTATTTATTGACTTAGCTGGATCGTATATGGTGAGATTTTATTTGTATTTAAGCCATGTTTAACTGCAAGTAATTTATATCCACCAGAAATATATCACTGTGTCTAGGAGTTCACGACATTGATAAGAATATGTAAAACGAATCAAAGTGTATTTATGCTAATAAAATAAAATTTTAGTGCATGATGGTGCATGTGCATGGGTTTGAGTACAGCACGACCTGAATTGGAACCTCGTTCTGTTACTATCGATACTCATTTAAATACTTAGTTTTATGAAAACTACTTAGTTATTATAAATAATCTAAACTAATATATTATATAGGAATCACTGGTTTGAATTGAAAAATACTTTTCGTGTTAGTTGAAACATCTATCGAGAAAAAGCGGAAAATGTAAAAAAAACCGGATATAATATTCATCTTTGTGGGTCTCCGATGCGTACGCTGCGTAAATGGTTCAAGTTACCCAAAAACTATGTATGGAAGAATGAGTCCTCTTAAAATGATGTAAAAATGTCCCGATAGTATATTTTATCTTTTAAGGTTATCTTGCAAGAACAAGGTGACGTGGACGACGTCGTGGCTAACACTTGAGTTAAAGTTGAAAGAAGTTACATTTAAAGTTGGTTTGCAAAAACAAATTTGGATGGCTAAAATAACAGTTCTTCACAGACGAAGTCACTTAGCTAGAATATAATAGTTTACTATTGTATTTATAGCCCCGTTTCTATGTTTGTGTTATTCTGATTTTCAAATATGTTATTATCATCAGAAAATGTATTTATATCAAGTTTAATATAATAAATTTCCATCTAATATATGAAATTCTCGTGTCACGGTGTTCGAAGTTGAACTCCTCCGAAACGGCTCGACCGATTTTCACCAAATTTCATATATGTATTCAATAGGCCTGAGAATAGGATAACATCTATTTTTCATCCCCCCTAAGTGATAAGGGTGGTTCACACTTAAATTTTTATTTTTTAGATAAAACTTTTAATTTCTATTTTTTTATGATACAACATACAAAAATACATACAATCCTCAATTTTCACACTTCTACAATTAACCCTTATTTTTTATTAGACATTTTAGTAAAATTATTTAAATGGCAAAACAACGTTAGCCGGCTCAGCTATTTGCTCGGCAGTCTATTTATAAAAAGTGTGAACTAATCCATTGTTAATCGCGATAAACGGTTGATTGTTATTGTATGTAGTTACTATTATCTTGAGAAAATCTCTTTGAATATAATAGATTATGTATATGCAATTAATCCACGTTGTGTATAACACGATAGACAATAGAAAATACACGTTATATCAATCTATAAAGCCTTAAAGATTCAAGAGTTTAATAAGCTATAGATCGGGAAATTGGTTTTGAATAAGGTTAAGTAAAAAATCTATCTCTATCTATACTAATATCACAAAACTAAGAGTTAAATACCGTGTAGTTTACGCGAGTAGTGTTTAAATAAAACATTTTAACGGTTTAAAACGCGAAATATTTAAGTTAAACTTGTTTGAAAATTATTTTTAACTACGGCCCGACGTAATATATATAGACAGTTTAAACAGATTGTATTTTATAAAAAAATTTGAACGACGAAGACAGACAAATATTGAGTATTTAAATAAAATACTTTAACGGTTTATAACACGATATATTAGTTAAACTTATTTGAAAATGATTTTTAACTTCGGCCTTCACTTAAGTTTAACTAATATATCGCGTTTTAAATCGTTAAAGTGTTTTATTTAAATGTGTACTACTCGCGTAAACTATAGACAGTATTTAACATTGAGTACTTTACGGGTGAAAAACCTGCAATATAAAATTTCTACAAAATGCGCTACCAACCTAAATATTTGAAAAAACACAAATTAAACTGTAACATAATTCAACTAACCAACTTTTTAACTTGTGAACGGTGAGTCGTGATTCGGATGGAATCTCGATATTCTTACCACCCATTAAAATGGGAATTCCATACGAAGTTCAACAAGTTTTTGAATAATTATAAATCAAATGGAAACATGTCGGTATTGATGCGAATCGAACTCATGGCCCGTTGATTGTTACATGCATTGCTTCCATAAGATAAACGAGCCCTTCGACGTAAAGATATATTTAATAAATGCATCTAGAAGCATTCAATATAAACCTAGCACTTAACAATAGTTTTAATGTCCATTGTAAAAAAAACCGTATATGACAAAGATTTATTACGTGATAAATGTTCACCGTATTTGTAATTATAATAAAATTTCTATTGTAAAGTCGGGATGTTGCTGTCGTTGGCAGATTAATTAATTAATCTATGAACGGAAATCGTAACTTCGTATAAAAATATAGCAATTATTTGTTATCTTGTAATATTTTGGGATCACTTTTAATAGCTCGAGGACCCCATGAGGAAGAGAAGTATAATTATCTATACTATTGAAAAAAGTTAAATTCAGGGAGTACTGTTTTGAAATGAAAATCTATGTTTGTGTTTGTTTTGAATCTGATTATCTATCCAATCGTTTTCAGTTTTTTTGGTTTAAATGCGCCAATCTCAAAAACTATTGGTTGTAATTGGAAAATTGTGTTATATTGGTTAGACCATTAATTGAAGAAGGCTATAGACTATAACTCAGCCTGCGACTAAGAAGCGAAGCAACATTGGAAACTGTAAAAAACGAATAAAAATCGATCTTTAATTCATTTTGTATTTCTTATTGTTACCGTTTCATATAATATATATAATTACTTACTAGTTTATATAACACTTTCAAGAAGTCATTTATTTAAATAAAACACTTTTAAAGGTTTCAAACGCGAAATATTTTAGTAAGCTAAAATGGGGCTGGGAAAAATATTAAAGTTTTCAAATCAAAGAATTCTCACCAAGTCTAAAAGTCTAACATAATTCGAAACTTATAATTATTCGGAAACATTTTAGACCTCATTTCGGAAATATGGAAATATGTGGTAAGAATATCAAAGTTCCTTTCGCGTCTCGAACCGTACCGTCATCCTACGAAAAGTACGTTTACAAAAAAATATATATATTATTTATGTGCGGATTATCAATATATACAAGTATATCCTTTCTGTAACTGTACCATCGTATCTACAATTAACAGCAATTTCACCAAACACAAATTGAACAGCGCCTGGGGTTACATTAATATCGTACAAAATTATTGAGACTGAACTACATACAATTAGTACATAATACAGTTGTTATATATATTATTGGATATCTTAGCGAACTTTGTACTAAGCGAATAGTCCAAGGATTAGGCCCTATATTAAAATAAAACAAATTATATTTCGAATGAAGCTATGTTAATATGGTTTGACTACTCGTGTAGCTCAATGGTAAGGGATATTTATTAAGAATAATGATGAGAAGTCTGGCATTCGAATCCTGGGACAAACAATGTGTTTTTTTGTCGGCCTAGAAATGAAATACTTGATTTTAAAATTGAATAGCGATAAGGACACAAAAAAATTGTGAGACCATGTCTCACTCTTGCGATAAGGACCTATACATTTAAAAGTTATTCTAATTTCGCTTAATAATAAACCAGAAAAATCCTTCAAGTATGAGTTTAAGCTCGTAATGTTTCAAACACTACAATAAATCATTCCAACAACTTTTCTACTACCTATAATAAAAAAATGTACTTAAAAATATATCACAATTTCGTTAATATATTTGTAACAATACCTCACGTATATATTACGGCCTACTGAATAAGCTATTGCTTTGTACTAACCTGTTTTCAGGTAATAAGCTTACATCCATGTGGTGTATACCTACTTATTTTTCACTCAGCCCGTTTGTGTGTGTACAAAACAAACTCTTAGCTTCAAGGGCCCTGTGCTAGGGCCTCAATTGTAGCATAATACATCTCTGGAATAATACAGATCACTTTGATTACATGAATATTATATTTCCTTGGAGATCAAAGTTCAAAATTCAGAAACGGATCTCGAACAAGTTATCTTTTGATAAGGCAAGATTGTTTAATGGAATGGGTTTCCAATTATGACTGTAATTAATTTAGACGCAGTGTCTGCGCGTCATTAGTGGCCCTTTAGTAAAATCCCACAGCTGGGACTTTGTTTGAGTCGTTAATGTACTGCTGTGGTCGGTCACAAGACTTGTGTCTAGTGACTCGTCTTCACATTCGTTCTTAAAACTTAATACATTTAGATAGTCTTAGATGGAAATCCGGAAATTGTCGACTGATTGTATCTTTAACCAAAATATTTATTATATCATTGGATATAACTGAGTGAGTAGTTTTTATTTTTACATATCCTGATTGATTGTTTACTCTGATGCATTCTTTACTGTGACATTTTGTATTTTTGCTATAATTACCGTCTACCTTGATCTACTAATACCAACCAGATGGACTGTAGTTTCACAAATCAAGGTGAATTATAATTGAATTACTATTAAGCTATTAAAAACAATGATAGTAAAAAGTAAGAAATGTGTTCAAGACGTTTTCCTCAAAGACATCGAGTTCAGCTCACCATTATTTTGATCACATCCGTTGAGCTATTAACCGAGCTACCGGTCAGTGATAATAAAAAGCAACAATAGCCAAGTTTTTGATGTAAGCATACTAGTCAGTTAGTATGAGTCGAAATGTCTAGATTACTTTTGAATTGTTTACTGTTCTTAGTAACAGAAATCGATCAATCACGCAGTGCAAGAATTTTAGCAGTATTTCCAACGGCCTCATTGAGTCACCAAGTTGTCTTCAGACCCTTGACTCAGGAACTAGCAAGAAGAGGCCACGAAGTCACTGTAATCACACCGAACCCCGTGTTTAATGTGAAGAATAGACCAGCTAACTTAACGGAAATAGATGTACATGACATCACGTATGAAGTTGCGAAAAATAATGAAATTCACTTCATTGCCAGCTTCGGGTATAGAGAAGGTATCTTTAGTATAATGAATGCATTATCAAGAGTTTTTGCTGCGTTCACTGAAGCGATGATAAAATCAGAGAACGTTCAAATGCTGATTAAGACTAGAAGCAAAGATTACTTCGATTTAATTCTTATAGAGTCGTGTGGAAAACCTTACATAATGTTTTCTCATTTATTCAAAGCGCCTGTCATTCTGATAAGCTCATTTGGCATGATGCTGGGGAACGACGAAGTCATTGGCGCCCCATCGCATCCGTTTTTGTATCCATCGCCAATGAGAACTAGAGTATATAATCTGACAGTGTGGGAAAAATTCTACGAACTTTATACGCATTATAGACTACCATATAATTGGCATTCTACTGAGCACGAAGAACGTGAAAAATTAAAAAAATATTTCGGCGCAGACCTACCAACTTACAGAGAATTGTATGATAATGTCGACATGATGTTTTTGAATATGCACCCAATGTTGAGCAACAATCAACCTTTGCCAGCAAATATTGTTTCGATTTGGGGTGTTTATACGGAACCAGAAAAAGATCTACCTCAGGTATGTAGGTATGTTTTACAACGTATCTCTGTCGCGAGTGTAGACAACCTTGACTGGAGTGGAGACGTCAGATCAGATTGATAAAGAGAGTCTGATAATAGACAGTATTATTTCTAATTACTGTATTCGACTTTATTGTATAGTTCTATCATCAAAAATTCTATGAAAAAATATTTTAAATAAATTGATAAAATGAAAAAAAATCTACTAGAATAATAGAATGCAGAAAATGAACCTGTAGTGGAAAATTATTCTAATCTCGAGCTTTTCTATATATCGTAGTCATATATTTAATGAAGAAACCCATTTTTCATGCAGTCTTAGGTCATATAAGTAGTCATTGTTATTGTATGAACCATTTGTTTTTATTTCCGTAGCGTTCTTTGAACGTTTATATAACGCATAAATATATTGACAAGAAAAAGTTGTCTGAAATTAGTATATTTGCTTTTACAGGATCTCCAAACATATTTAGACTCGTCGAAAAACGGAGTGATATATTTAAGTTTCGGATCAAATGTTCTATCTTCCACGCTGCCATCAGAAAAAATAAAAGTGTTAGTAAATACATTCTCGAAATTGCGTTATGATGTTCTGTGGAAATGGGAAACCGATGAGCTACCAGGAAAATCACAAAATATAAGAACATCCAAATGGTTACCGCAAGCTGATTTGTTAAGTAATCACTGTTGTCTATTTTCTTGTTTTTGTGTAATGTAATACTTTGCATAGATGCTCGATTATAATGCTGAAATTTCATTTTGAAAAGCTAAAACCAACTAAGGAAGTTGTCCTATAGTATAATAATGAACGTCAGTTGTTTTCGTTAAACCTATAACTGTCCCACCGCTGGGAATAGGTCTTTTCTATGACATAAGGGGTTCTATTAAAAAAAACTGTTTTCATAAGGTTAAAATTAAGCTTTGCTTTAAGTTATTTACCTTTTTTATGTTGTTTACTAATGCAGGGCATCCAAATGTAAAGTTATTTATCACACAAGGAGGTCTCCAGTCCACTGATCAAGCGATTCAAGCTGGAGTACCCCTCATCGGCATTCCAATGTTTGGAGACCAGTGGTATAACGCAGAAATGTATGAACATCACAGAATTGGTATGAAAATTGAATTTGGAACACTCTCAGAAGATACTCTAAGAGAATCTATAGAAACGGTTATAAACGATAACAGGTAAAATTTATAATTACTAGGAGTGAAAAATGTAAATAAAATATTTGTAACGGTTAAAACGGCAATTCGGTACTTATTTAAATAACTTGTTTTAAACTCCGACTGGTATCTGGCGCTTTCAGCAGCCGTGGTGACGGATTAGTCGAATTTACAGTTATCGCTTATATATCACTGTTTAAGCCGTTAAAAGTATTTTATTTACTAACAACGGTCGCGTAACTTACACATAATATTAATTGGTAAACCAACTCTTCTAATGTTGATGTAAATTGTAATAATTGTTTGTTTATACAAAACCAACTTTGCAGCTATCTAAAAAATGGTCATATCAAGTTAAATTTTGCCATTTTAGTAATAAAGATGTACATATCGTTAATCTTTAACATTTTATCTTGGTACCAGCTTCAAGAAAAACATTATGTGGCTTCGTTCAGTCATGAACGATCAATCTGAAAGCGCATTGGAGCGAGCTATTTGGTGGACTGAGTATGTATTACGGCACAAGGGGGCAAAGCACCTTCGAGCACCTACAGCCAATATCCCATGGACTGAGTATTATGAGATAGAATTTATTTCCACGCTACTCTTTGTAATATTTTTAACTTTAGGCGCCATCTTTGTTGCAATCTATTTAATAAAAACGCACATACGTTTACGATTTAGAAAGATCAAAGTTTTATGAACTTAAAATATATGGATCTTGGAATTATATTACTTTACTAAACTTCATTCCTTTCCTTCTGCCCGGGGCAGTCTGAAAACCAGCGCTGCCGAGTGTGACAAGAGTTCAGCAGCATAGCTGACACTGGTACCGATTGCTATCTCTTATACATATTTATTACTTATATTTTTATGCACACGATTTAGAAATAAGTTTGAAAATATCTTATTATGCCTATAAAAGTTTTGAATTTGAATTTGAAAATGTACTCAATGTATAGAGAACCTTATTAAACACTTCTAAACATTTTCAATTATTTCCTTCCATTTTATCGTCTAACACAATTGCAAACTTTTTTTCGCCAGGATTACACCGACGCAATACTCAAATGAATGCATTTTAACCTACAAAGCACAGCTAATGAACTAAATAGCTGTATACTTTTTTATGTTTAATCATATTTTTATTCAATTGGATTGTTTTAGGAAGTTAAAGATTTCCAATGTTTTAGGAACTACGATTTCAAATTGAAAAATTATTAAATTATATTATTTTTTGCGTTGGTTAGAACAGAAAATTATAGGCTATAAAACATCGCGCTGTGACTGATAGTAGCAAAGATACAGCGGAAAATGTGGACAAAACAGGGAATTTTTTTAATCTCTGTGGGATTCAGATGCGTACGCTGCGAAAACGGTCCAAGACACCCATACAAAGTATATGAAAGAATGATTCTTCTTTAAATGGTCTACAAAAATGTTTACGACATCATATGTCTATCTCTTAAGATGAACTCGCAAGAACGACGGGAACCGAACCGTGGGTCGCCCATGACGTAGGTAACAGTAACAATTTTGCATGCCCAAAATAACTATTCTACGCGGACGAAGCCGCTGACTCAGCTAGTAATGAAATAGTCTTGAGCGTCTTATTTGTCGATAAATCACTTTTCAAAGTGATTTATCTACAAATAAGACGCTACGAAGCGTGTTATTTAGAATTAAATAATATTTGCAAACACTCTCCTAATGAGTTAGTAACAAACTTTGGACCCTAACGACTTCACACAATAACGGTAAATATGTTGCTTTAAGTTAACATTATTTAAGTGAAGTGTAGAAGCACAAACAACATAATTAAATCGTTAAAACGAAGTGTTGTATTATACAAGAAATAAACAAATGCGGACCTGAATCACAGATATGCTAATTTACGACGGTTGCTTAAAATTAATGACATCGTTCATCATGAGCGGAGCGATAAGCGTTTCGACGAAGAAATAAGGACAAAGGTAACTAACAAAAAGAATAAGACTTCGTATCTTTGTATCGTGTGCCAAATTATGTCTTTCATCTGTGGTTTTGTTGAAATTTGGCTCGTAGTATTAAAATGTTTTAAACTTTTAAATAAAACACTTAAACGGTTAAAATGCGATATATATATATTAGGTAAACTTATTGGTTCTGTAGCAGTTGTAGTCTACTAAGCATCCGAAATGTCGGGCCGTAGTTAAAATAACTTTCATATCAGTTTAACAAATATATACCGCGATTTGAACGTTTGTGTTTAATTTAAATGTGTACTCGCGTAAACTACAGACAGTATTTATTTCAAACGTGTTATTTTTATCTATAAATGGAAACCATAATTTAGTCAAATATGAACCCTTTCGACTTTTCCTTGATATTAAGTATTTAGAAAATAAGCTATATTTCAGGTAGGCCTTACTATCTTGTACAAAGTATGTACGTTGTTAAAAAAGATTTAGCTGAACCCCAAAATCATAGTATTAAGAAAACAAAGAATTGGAAAATGCCTGAATATTTTTTTCAGTTCATCGCGCCCGCTCTATTTCGAGTCTAGTCCCGACAAAGCGTACATTTCGAATAAATTGTCGCCTCCGCGTAAAATAATCGTATTTTCGCTTCATTTGTTTGCTTGTTCCAAGTAATTTTCCTATCTTCGTTTCTATATTCGCCTAGGTGTTTCATGAGAATTTCGGCACAGCTTTTTTTAGTTCTTACATTTATTAAAAACTTAAGTTCACTAATTTTTTTTAAACCCCCAAAACCAAAAAAACTTGGTTAATTTATTCTAAATTTAAAATCGTAGAAGTCAGAAATTTATTTAAGTATATTTACGTTTAAATAAACTCTTTTAACCTTAAAATTTTTTTTAAATCTTACTATTCTAACTACGACAATCTTTATAACATATTTCTTTAAATATATATACATTCTCATCATAAAATTTTTCTTTATATTAATAAACTTTCTAAGATATTTCTAATTAATTAATAATTTTTAATTTATTATAATATATAACTTATACACTTTTTTTTTTTTTTTTTGAAAAAAAAAAAAAAAAAAACACCGGGTTGGGAAAAAAATTTTGGGGGTACAAACTTTCCGGGGGGGGGGGTTTGGGAAAAAAAACATCGTCCTGTGACTACTACAAGCCAAGATACAGCAAGACACGTGAAATAAATTGTGATTCAAATTTATATCATTATGGGTTTGACGACGCTGAAAAACCTCTCAAACAGGGGGAAAAAAAAAAAAAAAAAAAAAAAAAAAAAAAACCAAAATCCCCTTTTTTTAAAAAAAAAAATGAAAAAAAAGGGGGGGGGGGGGGGGGGGGGGGGGGGGGGAAAAATTAAAAAAGAGGGGGGGGCTGGAAAAAAAAATTTGGGTGCCCAAAAAAAAGGTTGTCAGGGAAAAAGTCGCGGACATAGCTAGTCTATTATAAAATTTATTTATAAGATCGGAAATATTTTGTCGCAACTCTTCTTCTGTGTTGTTATTGTTGTTCGGTATTGTTAGTTGATATTAATTTTGAGTTTGTTACTATACTTTAGTTTTTACTTTAAATATTGCTTCGATTTTCAAATTAAAAGCTTATCTGCAACACAATATTTTCGACGTCTCTCGTGTATATTTTGTATGACGTCTGCCATAAAATTCCTTAAGTGCTTTCCACTTTTTACGTCCCAAATTATGGATGGACGAAAAGTTCCACTTGATCACACTACAAAGCTTGTACAATGAACCGCAAAGATAAGAATATTGGCAACGTTCTAAGTATTAAAAATGCCTTTGTGGATATATTAAAATTTGTACGGTAATAATTAGGTTAATTTATTCAGACTTACTAAGTAGCCGACGGTTGGGGCTGTAGATAAACTAGTTGTGTCAGCGGCTGTGTCCGCGAAAATAGATATTTTAAGCATTCAAATTTGTTTTTGCGAACCTCCTCTTCATCTTTATGAACTTAAGCTGTAACTCGTACCTACGACGTCGGTCGTGTCCTGTCATTTTTTAGATCATTTAAAGAGACATCATTCTTTTCGTTTTTGGAGCGTACGCATCGAAAATTTACAATGATAAATAATTTACCCCATTATTTTTACATTACACACTATTTCTTCGTTTCTATTCACGTCATAGCACGTTTTATAGCCTATCCTTCCTCGATAAATGTTCTAGTAACCACAAAAAGAAGTGTTTAATTCGAACCTGTAATTCTTGAGGTTAACGCATACAAACCAACAAACTCTTCAGCTTTATATATTAGTATAGATATTATATCAAATAAAATTTTAATTAACTTCGTGTTTTTCATTCAGACCTTGTATAATACTATTCGTTTACTATACTTGGAATAAGCTGTCCTGGCTAAATATCGAGGTGAACACGACTCAAAGAGGCCTTATTCTCGTTTAGAAAGATCACTTTTATGGTTCTAAACGTTATACTTATTTGAAAATTGGTTTAACTACGGCCCTACGATTTAGATGCCTTGCAGCAGCCGTGGTCACGGGGAGACTCCACATTTCTATCCGAAACGTCGGGCCGTAGTTAAAATAATTTCTAATAAGTTTAACTAATATATATCGCGTTTTAAACCGTTAACACGTTAGTTTACGCGAGTAGTACAAATTTAACTAAAACATAGTTAAATGTGTCCTGCTCGCGTAAACAACTAAAAAACTACAGACAGTGTTATAATCTCGTTGGTTCGTTTAGATAATATCTGAATTTCCCATAGCAATCAAATACCAGTGAATACATCCTTCATAGAATTCGACAGGTCTATTTACGTAAGGTTTGACTACACCCAAAGACACGATTATCCCAAAAGCTCTATCAGCAAATTCACTCGATTTCCATTATGGGATTTGTGAATTTGCCTACGTCGAAAGTGACGATATTTTGTAGGCTAAAGTGAGTTATACTTTGGTTGAATGCGATTTATGTTAGAATTTTTCTGAGTGAGATGAGGTAGATTTTTCAAAAACGGAACGTATTGTGGTGTATGTGTAAATAAAAATATTTAAACCATATAAAATCTACAGAAAGTTTGAGTAAATTAAAAAGATTTTTTCTTGTAAAAAGTAGTACATGAACTTAATAAACATAAAATAATGAATTAAATAAACGGACACAGAAATGTGTTCGCTCCATGCCTACGAGGAGGAAACGGAATTTCACACACACTTTTAAATAAAGCACTTTAACGGTTAAAAACGCGATATATTTTAGTTAAACTTATTTGAAAATTATTTTAACAAGGGCCCTTGGGTCGTCGTAGTTAAAATATTTTACAAACAAGTTTAACTAACATATTGCCCGTTTTAAACCAATAAAGTATTTATTTCTATGTTTACTACCAAAATTGCGTTAGAGTTTTGCTTGTTTAGCTTAAATTATTATACGAAACCTAAATAAATAAAAATAAAATAAAATTATAATATACTTTATACTCTCAAAAATTATTTAATTTCGTTCATTTTTTTTGTTTGTCTGTCTGTTTGTCGTGATTCTACAGAGTGTTCAAAAAAGCAACGTAACTGAGAAGAACACCCATGAAACTCAGTCCGTTTTTTTTAACATTACTAAAAGATATAAATAATTAATGTGTTTCGAGAAAGAGATTATTCATAACCAATGATGATAGCATATCAAAATAAAAACCTTTGAATCAGAGATAAGGAATTATTACGATGTGAATACGAATTCAATCGTTCGATAACATATCGTGAGCATCAGAATCGACCATCGAATATTATACGAATCGTAAAACCATCATAGTTAAAAGATCGCAGCGTGCGTTGATTGATAGCATACAGAGGGGTAAATAATATTGATTGATGGAACTTAAAAGTCAAAGGTTACTGGTCTGGTGGGTTACACAAATATTTTTTTTGGTAAAGGTTACACCGATTTTGTTTAAGTCCACCTAAAAGATATTTTTGATAAGATAATTTTTATAATACGAAATAAAAGGCATAGTGCAAAAGGGCCAATAAAAAGCGAATCAGGAAATCAGCACTTGAACTGGCATCTTCAGCGATCCGTGCCGTTGCTCTGACGTATGCCGGTTCAAGTCCTGAGAGTCGAAATTTTTTTCAATTTATTTTCGATTTTAAATTATATAGTGCCTTCATGTGCAACATGTGAAAAGTGTTAAAGTTTTCAAATATTTTGCACATGTTAACAATATTAAAACCCATCGATTAGATCAGCAGCATGGAAGATGTATGTTTTCAAGTTACGCTCGTATCGACATTTTTATTTAATTATTGATTTAATTATTTTTACTGTATTTACTTTGAATTATTTTCTGCAAATATAATTTATTTAAATATCAGTCATATTTTCCGGTAAAACAAACCTCACAATTTTAATCGTATAAAAATTGAATTTCTATCTTTCTTGCTATGTTGTTTTATTACTTGTTGATACAATCAAGTAGTTTACCTTTCTTGTGTCCAACTTTTTTACATAACTTCGTTTTTATATAATTAAACTAGCAGACAAGTTGCTGATATTTCTCCTTAACTAATATTATGTTTCCACATAATTCCATCCTACACAGGATCACACCAAATCTTCTACATTAAAGAAAATGTCGGGTAACAACAAAATTTAACCCTTCGGCTATCAAGGAAGTTAATATGACCTAATTAGGAATATGCAAACTATTCGTACATTATCTGTTTAGATGCCTTGTCCTAGATATGGGCTGCGTAATGAAGAAAGTTTTCAACCATATATAACTGTGAAAGCCTAAAACCTTTGTCTTTTTCTCGGTTAGAAAAATGCTAACGAAAATAATAAGAATACTTCGAACAATACCAAAACGCGAAATACATTACTTAAGAATTATTCACTACAGTTCCGTAGCTTCCGATAACTTTCAGCAGCTGGTTTCACGATTTTAAATGAATATGTTATGCACATCTTGCAAGTCTTTTTTTTTTTGCTCGAGAGAGATCGCATCGAAAGTCTGTCTCTCGTATTTTATATTTTTCTCCTTTGTCTATCTGGTTGCTATCTATATTTTCTTTCAGAACTGATTTTGGCCCTTTTTTCAGATAAATGTTCATTATAATACATAGTAAGGCCTTTAATCTTTAACTACATAGTCTGCTACAAACAGAATATCGGATTGTATTGTTTGATTTGATTGATGTGAACGACAGTTCGTAATATATTCAACAGATTTGTTTCAAAGATTCGGCTTTGTTCATATTAAATTCCAGCTTATGTCAACTACAGTTCCATGGAATTTTCATTACTCCTTTATTGAATTCAACATTGGATCCCAATTGATACAAATTGCTCGATTTTCGTATGAAATTGGATCTGCATAAAAGGCCTATTCCTAATCTATATACATGAACAAATCTGGAGGGTCGGTATATTATAAATAAAAAAAATTAAGGTCATACAGTACGACACTTGTGTGGCTATGTTAAACATAAGTAGCTTTATAATTATTAACCAGCTTATTATTTAGCTAGTTCTTCTAAAATTACATTGTAACAACATCTTCATGTTTCAATGTATTTGGCGCAAGAAAACCTATTTATCACCACCATATACACCGACATTATGTCAAAATATAATAACAAGTTGTCAATAAATATTTGTCATCCCTTAATGACAGTTTGTCAATCGTCAATGCCGATACTATGATAATGAAACTGATCAGTATAATAATTACAGAATTAATGCGACTGTCGTTCAAACAAATCCACGAGTGGCGCCGCTGAGCGTAGCTAGTTTATATAAAAATCAAAGTGATAAACAATTGAAGCCCTTTGAAATTGACATTTTATTACTACAAAGAGATGTATCGACCTTTCTCCTGTTACCAAGCAGTTCAAGTACATATTTTAAGTGTAGACTATAATAGACATCAAGGACGTAAATCGACCTTAATTTTTTTTACAACAGTATTTTGTTATGTACCTTCTTATTTTTACTGAACTATATTACAAATGATTACAAAAACAATAAAACGAAAATTTAAATAAATTAACTAAGTACAAGTAAAGTATTAGTATCTTTTAGATGTTATTAATAGATGACTGATTTTATATTAAAATAACACATCTAATTGCACTTCTGAAATAAAAATAACGTTTTCTGGCGGAAAACCCAGTTACATGTAATAAAATGTGTGTATTTTTGTTGACACATAAAAAAATACTTTTAATTAACTCGGTAGCTCAATTGGTAGAGTAACAGCACTGGACGCTGATGACGCCGGTTCAAGTCCTGACCGGGTCGAAATTTTTATCAGTATATTTTCGTTTAAATAAAACACTTTAACGGTTTAAAACGGTACTACAGGTTTTTCGTACTACTCGCGTAACTAGCAGTATTTAATTTATTTTCGATTAAAAAAAATATATCAAGTGCCTTCATGTTTTAACATTTTACGAAAATTCCCCGGGTTTAATGTACGTACCCTTTTGTATAAAATAAATGTATAATAAATAGATTATTGTACTCTAGTGAGAAATAAACGTTGTAAACTGTCTTTAGTATTTTATAGCATCGGGTTCTTAAAAAAAAAAGTGAACTTCGACTCGTAGAGGATTTGAACCTCCGCCCTCCGATGATCAAGTTTAAACTATATCGGCGCTCTAACCTACTGAGCTAACGAGTCTTGCAACTTATAAGTGAAAAACACCACCACTATTGAGGAACTATGTACTCATCAAACCAAAATACACTCTATTCTTATGCCCGAGAGTTGATATTTCCTTGTGAATTTGCTATGAGTCAACTGGCATGCTACCAAAGAATGACGTAATGATGACGTATACAATTGCTGGCTATCTATTGAAAGGAATTCAACAAATCTTGACTTGCATGTCGTCTTCTATCATCTTTACAATTATTTTATTTAAAAATATGCAATTATTAGATTCCTTTGTATAATTAAATTTAGAAAAGTATCATTGTTATTACAAGTATGTAATGTAATTTATACTAATATATAAATTTAAAAAGTGTTTGTCTGAAGGCGCTCTCAGCTCTTCGATTGAAAAAAATATTTTGTTGTTAGATCATTTATCGAGGAAGGTTATAGGCTTAAAACATCCCTGTGACGAATACAGCGTAACATCGAAGAAGTAAAAAATGGGGAAATTTTCAACATTTTGGGTTCACACTACAAAAAGGGTTCCAGATACTTAAAAAATATGTATGAAATAATGATTCCTCTTTAAATAATCTAAATAGTCGTAGGTAAAGCTTAAGTTTATAAAGTTAATAGGATTTGCAAAACGAATTTGGATCTATACGTTTTCGCGGACAAGTTGGTGAATATAGTGTTGGACCATGTAGAAGTTTAGGGTAAAGAGCGACAACGTGGTTTACTATTATTTCTCGCAAAACTAAAATTTGAATGACCTCATTTTACGAATTACGTTTGATAATATATATATAACATCGACGATCTTAGCAAGATACATTCAGTATAAATTAAGTCTTTAAAGTGAATGATACCGTATGTAAGGTGGTAGATTTAAATCGCGTTTTAAACCGTTAAAGTGTTTTATTTAAAGTTGCATTAAAGCAGTCTGTAAAAACAATAATCTGTTTTCTTAGACGACATAATATTATAGCTATCTATGAACGCGGTGACAACTTCAAGTTCTGTTTAATATTTTGCGGATATGTAAAAATTATTTGAACACATGAGAACTATTTTTCTATTGATTATTGCTTTTAATATTTATAATAATGCGCGTGAGTTTTTTCTATTGCTTGAACAATAATTATTTGAGCAGTGCAGTAATAATACAATTTTTTAGTTTCAGACTTTTATGAAGAAAAGAAGACCACAGTTGATGAATTCGAACCAGTAACGACGTCTATAAAGGAAACACTATCAAAGAATATAAATTGTGATGATTTCCAAGAATATGCAGTTAACTGCACTGTGGAAGCAGCCCTCATTTATAATTCTAGCAGAATGACTCCGCCGATACCATCGAAAATTAATTATTGGTGTAGGTAAGCGGGCTCGAAAATACGTAGATAGGAATTACTTTATTATGCAAAGATATTGTAGAATCTTTGCTATGTATAACTCAGGGGTGATACATCATATCCATATCATATTTACCATTAAGCGTCAAGTATCCTGGGTTCGATTGCCAGAAAAACAAAATATACAAGCCTAATAATGAGTGAAGCTAGTCTACGCGGTAGTCCATATTTTAATATAACACTTTTATGGGTAAAACGCAATATATATTAGTTACTAATCTAATTTAGCTTTTCATGTTTTCAAACCAGTAAAAGTGTTTTAATTAAGTTTAATATGTGAATAGGATTGTGTAGTTCTATGACTAATCGTGAAATAGTAAAGGCGTTAACGTCTTAAATATTTAGTAGTCCTACTAAACCGATTTAAATGCGTTTTTTTTAAACAAAGCAACACTTTAAAGTATTATATTAGAAAAAATAGATATTTTAGTGACCCGCTGCAGTAAAATTACATCATCAATCAAACTAACACAGTATGATATGAAAAATAAACCCAGATAATATTTGTGAAGAGTAAATGAGAAAATAAAAAATGTTTTTCAAGTAGATACTAGAAGCTGAGCGCTTTTGAAATTAATTATAAAATATTAATAAAGTTTTTATTTATTTAAAGTGTTAACACAGACAGTTTTATATTACTAAAGAATAATTTCAAGGAAGCCTTTTAATTTATATTTGAGATAAAAACAGGAAAATACTATTTGAAACAGTTTAAACTAAAGACCTAGAGAAGACAGAACAATGGTTTGATAGTTTAAGTGCCTAACGGAACTAAGGGTTCGAACAAAAAAATATTGTTGTATTCGTTAGACTATTAATTGAGGAAGGTTTTACGCTATAAAACATTCTGCGACCTAGAGCGAAGAAACAGGGAGAAATGTGGAAAAAACGGGGAAATAATCCATCTTTCGTTGCGTACGATGTGAAAACGATTTTAGATACCAAAAAATATGTATAAAATCATGATTCTTCTTGAAATGATCTTAAAAAGGTATTTCTTAGCAGCCGTGATTTATAAAGCTAAGGAGGTTGGTTGCATAAATAAATAATATGATGTCAATAATAACTCCACGCGGATGAATTCGCGGGCACAGCTAGATAAATAAAACGGGGTATATTATTTACATTGTATTGGGCATATAATTTTATATACTTTTTTAACACAACTTTCAAGTCTCAATTAAGCAAGGTCCCAAAGGAGAAATCCTTTCAAAAACTACTAAGACTTGAGTAGTTGACGAGTTAAGTGGATTTTATGACTCCATTACAGTAATTTAAACTTTAAAAGCTTCGAAGTAGGGTTCAAATTAGTTTTAACGAGAGCCATATGGCGTTAAATACGAACTCGCGAGTCATATATTGCGAGTAAAAAGAGCTAACACTAGAGTTTTCACACGGACGAGAGGAGAACAAAACATCTCGACTTATATGTGAATTTACGTTCGAGACGCCTTTTAGTTCTATAATAATTGAAGAAGGCTTTAGCTTTGCAAATTTAAAAATAGAAAACCGTACTGTCTGTCGTTAACGCGAGTAGTACACATTTAAATAAAATACTTTAACCTGTTAAGACGCGATATATATTAGTTAAACGGTCTCCCCGTGACCATGACTGCTGCAAGGCATCCGACACGTTGGGCCGTATTTAAAATAATTTAACTAATATTTATCGCGTTTTAAACCGTTAGTACTTAATTTAAATAGAAAACCATACCTAAACACAAGGTATGAACCTTGTCACGGGTCGTTGGAGTAATGGTAATAAACAGTGGATTGTGCGTTCGATCCCCACCGTGTCCACTATTTTTCTAATCAATTTATATTTTTTTGAAATCTGATGGGTGGTTTAGATGTAATATGGCTGGGGTATATCAAATTTCAAATTGAACCATCAAATTGAACACCATGCTGTCCTTCGTCTTCTATTATAAAAACAATAATAATATGATTACATGATGTTATAGGACTAGTTTACGCAAAACCCCTTATAAGAAAAATAGAGAAACCATTAACAAATAAAATATTGAAAATCGCTTTGTATGACGTCATTTTTTCACACACAGTAGTAATAATGTAATGGACATTATCGACTGATTCTTTGCTCGATTGGTCACAGCGTGATGTTAAAGCCTAAAGCCTTCCTCGATAAATGCTCTTATCAATACAAAAAATCTATTCGAACCAGTAGTTTCTGAGGTTAGCGCGTTCAAATAAACAAACCTTTCAGCTTTATATATTAGTATAGATAGTGCTTACGTTAACTATATAAAACCTCTACGTATTGCAGTAAGACAAAACTCAAATTTCTTTTTTATTTATTTATTAAATTAACTTCTTAATATTTTCAGAACAATAAAGCACCTTATTAACTGCGCGATTGAGTGGAAAGTCGAGTGCAAAGATGTTTCCGAGAGTCATTTTAATGAGGACAGCATCAGGGGACACATTCACGTGGCGAACAATATTTGTGATGATGAACTCTTTCAGATACGTTAGTACTTGCCATACGTTACAAGTTCTCATTTATTTAAACTATGAAAGTAAAAACACATAGCATATACTAACAAGCGATGTTTATATTTAGTTAGTTTTTAGAGACTTGTCAACTAAATCTATAGTAATATATAAATCTGAAGAGTTTGTTTGTTTGTTTGCATTTTTGAACGCGCTCATGCAAGTCTCGTGGACTACTGGTTCGAATTGAGAAATTATTTTAGTGTTAGTTAGAACATTTATTAAAGAAGGCTATATTGCGCTGTAACAAATAGGAGCGAAGAAACACGGGGAAATGGGGAAAAAGAGGGGGAATTTATTCATCTCAGTGGGTTTATTATGCGTACGCGGCGACAACGGTTTGAGACACCCAAAAATATGTATGGAAGAATGTATCCTTTTTAAATGTTTAAAAGCAATGTCTTATATGTAACAGCTTATAATTATATAATAATTCGCTAACACAGCTAGTAACTAATAATCAATCAAAACCAAAATGAATTCTTAATGACTTAAGTTTCCACGTAAAGGTTCGTTTATCTGGAAATTAAACTCGCAATTTCGTCCATCCCAATAGTGCCAGGGTAATCCCTTATTTCCCACAGGATACGTTGAGCTATCAGCCTGTATAGCAAGTTCGCAGGACCCGTGGGAGGAGTGTTATAAGGATTTTAAACGATCCGTTGAGGAGCAGAAGAATACGACGCAAGAATGGACACACTACGAAGTGCATTTTAGTTTGTGTTGGTGAGATATTCTTTATAACCTTGAAACTAACTTAGGCAAAGAATTTATGCCACCTAGACTTTATAGTATTGGACGCAATCAAATAAGTAATATTATATATGTATTAAAGTACCGGAATGGTAGACCGATAGCCTTTTTTCTATATTCTGAACTAGCGACGCCCCGGCTTCGTTCGGCTGCAATTCTATATATTGTAGATGTATACCTTCCTCTTAAATCACTCTATCTATTAAAACAACCGCATTAAAATTCGTTGCGTAGTTTTAAAAATTTAATCATTATCAGAAAAAGAATGTATACTGCCCTTATAAGAAGTATTATAAAATGTTGATACTAGCAATAATTGCTCTTATATAACTACTAGGATTATCTAATTGTTACTAAAATATTAGTGGGAAACTTATGATAAACAGATTAGATAATTATATACAATGCGCGAAAGGTGTATGTATCTATAGGTTGAAAAAATTCGACGATGACGTGTAGGACTCAGAAGCTAATTGGTTAGAGCAACAGCACGGGACGCTGTGGATGCGCGTTCATGTCCTATATGGCGTAATTTCTTTTCAATCTAAAATTGATTTTTAATTATACACTACCTAATTCCAGTGCAAGGGCTCGCTTTCGAAGATGTACCTTAGAGTCGCTGTTTGAAAAACCAACAAGTTGCACCCATAACGAAGCGGTTACACTTCAAAAGTTTTCCGTTATCGTATCGGAAGGAGCAGTTTATCAGGTAAGATAAAGGATTTTGCCTAAACTAGCATAATCAATGTAACTAATTCTAAAATTAGTTTTTGTCATTGTCATTTTCAGTCTTCCTAAAATAGTTAAATAAAGTTTCATGTTAAATGTATTCTATGTAAGATCTTAAGTCTGATGAATGATTGATTTGTTTTTATTCTATAATATAATTATTTATTTTTCAATTTTATCTTCTTTTTTATTGTGATGTTATTTATTATTTTCAGTGTTCATTTTTTAAATTAACAATTGTTTATTTGTACTTCATTTATGTGTTATGAAAGTTGAATATTTTTGACAACAAATTTCACAAAGTTTCTTCTTTAGGTAATTGTATTTTTGCATGTATGTTTATTACAATATTTCTGTCTCTAAAAGACCTCTCACACTAGCTTAGTTCTAGCGTCCAGGTAGAATCAGCGTCTGCATTTGTTCAGTTGCTAAAGTTTGATTAGACATTCGGTTATAAAAAATATATGGTAACAATACGATACGTAGTTGATGCTCTTAAACACAAATACTCACAGATCGTCTTTTGAATATTTATAGATACGTGACCATTTTTAAATAATTTTCGAATTAGAAATGATAATAGCAGTATTTTTTTGTTGGAATCACACTGATTGTTCCTTGACGTGAAGTCGACGCTTTGTGGATGCTGGCTCGACTCTTATCTCTTCTGCGTCTAGCTATACAGCAACATAATATTTTATTTACAGGACTGCGACCATAACATGATGTATACTAATTGTCCCGGGGGAGATCCCAGGCCAACTCACAAGCTATTGAGACACCTCGTTAACAGTGATGGAACGTGTTTGGAAAAGATTGACCTGTTGCTAGCCTTTGCTGTATTTGCTTTTATTATATGTAGTTAATATTTAAATGGTTTTATTAAATTCTTTTAACTGTTAGTGGTAGTTAGTTTCGGACTAGCTTGATTAACACATTGTTTAAGCGAAAAAAAAAATAAATAATAAAATAAATACAAATTTAAAATAATCGACTCGGGCAGGACTTGAACCCGCATCGTTAGCGTTGCGCGGGATTGCTCTATCAATTGAGATAAAAAATCCATGTGATAAAAATTGTTTAAGCCGTACTTAACGTTTACTGGAGTGCACTTGATGGAAGGTAAAATACTCCAGCTATATAATATCTTAATATGAGACGCTGTCGACTTAACTTGGATTTAAATATTTAGCAAACAACAGTCTAAAACCGTAGCGCAATTAAACTTGACCCAGACGGTGTTTCGGAATAAATTGATTGGAAACCAATTTGGTTTGGTTTCAATCAAATATTGGGTGGGGATCGTACCCATGACCCGTGGATTATTAACCATACATTGCTACTATTAGACCAACGAGAAAACCGTTTACATTTTTATACTTTGTTTTGTGCAGCAACGAACTGTGACTTTCTTAAGAGACTCAAGTCATTAGTCAGCTTAGTTCAAAGTTACCCACAAACTCCTGATGTGGTATTGAGAATAGTTATAACGACCACTTAGCCACATACGTAGCGAACAAAAGGCACAAGCGCTCCCAATACCTCGTTCATGCCCCATTGAACCCAAGTACCTAATACCACGTTATCAAGCAAACATTCGACGAAAACTGCTGACTAAGTCAATAGATAGCACAAAAGGGCACTGCTGGAGCTGGCTCATCCATTGATAAAATCGAATGAAAGCGCTCTCCTTGATAGGTTTTTGATGATAACTGTCTATTCAGGTTAGGATAGTTGTAATGCAGTGCTTGGTAAGGCGTTGTATGGAGTTAGACTGTGTATCTTCCTTAATATCCCCTCCCTTCCATACTAGCTGTGCCCGAGATTCGTCCGCGTAGAATATTTTTGGCATTATATCATTTAGTTTTGCAAACGGTCTCCCCAGCTTTTTAAATTATTGCTGCTACCTGAGACGTCTCGTCTCGTCGTTCTTGCAAGTTAATCTTAAAAGATGGAAATATACTATCGCGTGCATAAATCTAAAGAAGAATCATTCTTTAATACTTCATCTTTTGGTTACTTCAATGGTTTTCACAGTGCACGCAACAGAACCACTCAAAGATGAAGATTTTTATATTTAACCTGAAGAGTCTCTAAAAGTTCCACTAAACACAAAATTAATGTCTCAATTCAACTTCGCATTTCAAGAAAATTGTAAACCGGTTCCCGTGAGAGCCCGTTGATTCTTAGCAATACATTGTACAAACATTAATCAAAATCAAATCATTTTTCAATTTCCCCGTGATTCAAACCTCTCATTCACAGATAGAAAACACTTGTTTTTAATTCAAAGTAAAGTCTCCAAATGTTATTAAATTACTTATTGTGCTCAAAATGTAATATACTCCACTGCTTATAAAATGTTAATTATGATTGCTGTTATTAAGAGCCAAGCCACGATTGACACAATGTATTTAAATGCCGTTCAATGTAATACCTTAAAATTTAAGCAATAAAGTTTTATGAATGGATTACACTTATCCCTCTTAAATTATCGAAATTGTAAATATCACACGAGTAACGTGTCGCATTGTGTTAACAAGGATATTTGTGAAATGAAAATTAAATTAATACAATGTTGATACAGTCATTAATTTTAAGATTAAAAAAAAACAATCGGATAATCCTACAACACGAACAGCTAAGCAAAAACACTTTTAACGGCTTAAAACGGCGAAATATTCAGCGTTCACCTATTTAAATTTTATCTAAACTACGGCCATTCGGCTGCTTTGCCGTAGTGGTCACGGGGTACAGTCCCCCCCAATGTATTTTACGCGAGTAATAAACTATACTACTCGCCTAAAGTACAGACAAAAGAAGCGTTTTTAGGACTAACAGTATATTTTTGTTTATATCAGGACTAAATTCTAGTTAATGGTCTTATTGCAACCTCTAGAGAGGATCGACACTTATAAATCTGAACTAATACCTAATAATATACTGTCTATAGTTTACGCGCGAGTAGTACACATTTAAATAAAACACTTAAACGGTTTAAAACGGCGATATATTAGTTAAACATATTTGGAAATGATTTTTAACTTCGGCCCGACGTTTCGTTTTGCTTTGCAGCAGCCGTGGTCACGGGGGACTGTCCATTTCCAAATAAGTTTAACTAATATATCGCGTTTTAAACCGTTAAAGTGTTTTATTTAAATAATACCTAATAATGTTTCATCTATACTAGTATTATGAAGCTTAAAAATTGTTTGTTTGCTTGTTTGAACGCGCTAATGCCAGGAACTACTACTTAATTCGAATTGAAAAAGTTTTTTTTTTGGTTAGAAAATTTAAAGAGGAATGTTAGGGTATAAAACACCACGCTGCGACCGATAGGAGCAAAGAAATAGTGGGAAATTGGAGAAAACGGGAAATATTTTTCATCTATGAGGACTTCCGTTGCGTGCACTGTGAAAATGGTACAAGATACAAAAAGTGATTTTTGTTGTCTTGTTTGGTTTTGTCTATCGTTTAAGATTAACTGGTAAGAGGGCATCGACTATAATTTAAAAATCTGTGGAGATTGTTTGCAAATATAAGTAATATTATAATGCCCAAAATAACTATACTACGCAGACAAAGTCGCGGGCGCCGCTAGTGCGTAATATAATTGTTATTATCACTGAAACAAGGCAACAGTTTATAATTGTCTTTCGGGCTGCTCGGCCGACGTGAGCGCAAGGATCTCGATGTTCCATCCGCCATCACGAGCGGACGGCATCATCAGGAGATGTTAGCTCCTCGATTGCTCCAAGAATTAACTCTTCGGACTAATTTTGAGCAATCGAGTAAAAACAATGATATTCTGTACGATGGCCGAAAGCACTTACATAATTTATTAAGAGAACAGTCTTCTTTAAAAATTCCTGGAACACTTTCATTTTAATTATCCTTCAAAATGTGATTACTCAAGTTTCTAAATTTTTACAATCCATTTGGTCCGAGATCGACGTAAAAAACTTGTCACAAGTTCATTAAAAACGACAGATCATGCCTTTGGGAACGTAGGCGACACCGGTATGAGAAGCAAAAACAATCCAAAATGCACTTTAACGGTTTAAATCGCGTATATATGTTAGTTTTAACTTTTTTTTACTACGGCCTGTTTTTTCGGATGCTTTTTTTAAGGATGTCTGACGTCAAAGTAAAAAACTGCTACGCTGCTGCTGCAAAGCATCCGAAATGTAGGGCCGTAGTAATATTTTCCAAATAAGTGTAACTCATATTTATCGCGTTTTAAACCGTTAAAATGTTTTATTTAAATGTGTACTACTCGCGTAAAGCAAAAGCAAAATCAAATATTCTAGCGTAAACTATATACTAGATAAAACAACCTACTAAACTCGTGCAATTCCGATTTAAACATTTCACAAGAGACAATAATTTCTTTTTTTGATTAGTCTATTTCACGTACCTACCGTCTCATACGCTATTGTGTATCTCACAAGTATTGCAAATTTGTACTGTCTGTAATTTGGGCGAATAGAACACATTAAAATAAAACACTTTTAACGGTTTAAAACGCGAAATGTACTTGTAAAATTGTATTAAATATGTTTATATAATAATTTTAACTGCGGATATGCTTTGCAGCAGCCCTGGTGACGGGTCTCCGTGTGCGTCAAAATCGAGTTTTGAACCCTTAAAAGTGTTTTCTTCAAAATTAATACTCTGTACCATTTTAAAGTCGTAATATGTTTCTAAGCTTAGATTACAACGGTACTCCCAGTTTGGAGATAGTACACAGTAAAATATAGAGAATATTTCAGTCTCCAAAAATATCTTATTAATATGTTCCCCACCAAAAACTCCCGTAATATGTATTGATCCTGTTCGCCACATTTTGGTCACGAACACAAGACAAGATAACGCCAAGTAAATCATGTTGACGTTTCAAATTGAATATTGGGCGAAGGGATTGGTCAGTTATTTTCGCTCTAACAGGGAATGGGGCACACGTATTTTTTCTAAATATGATGGAATTGGGTTTTATATATGCGACTAATCGTTTACTAAAAAAAAAAAATAGTTTTTTTTTACTTTTTCGCACTGGTATGACAAGAATGCTACTACGAACTATCGCAGCGCAAAACGGTCACGTCCTTCGCCATGATCGCTGCTGTCTGCTTCCTCCAGCTTATTATGATTTGGTAAATCTAGGGTAGAAGACGTGTTGGAATAAGGAAGAAGTCACGGCTGCGAAACATCAGGGAATGGACGGGAATAGAAACGATTGAGGCATTGCTTCATCTCGCAAAACACACCAGTCGCTTTCGAAAGTTAACGGCCAACTTCAGTAATGGAGAGGCATGAGAAGAAGAAGAGAATTGTTTTTTAATATAGAGAAGGACAGACAAGCATGAGGTTTACTTCATGGGAGGTAAAATAATCCCAGCCATATAACATCTAAGCAAGATGCGATGATATTTGAAAACTACGTACAACTAAAGTTGAAGATAACGTAACAATATCCTTAGCATTCAAATCTTACAATGATTTAATTAATAACATGCAATAAACAATAGCGAATAATAATAAAATTTATTTAAATAAATAAAGAAAACAGGGATTCAAACCTACGGACCGGTTCTACTGTTTTACCGCACTGCTATTTTAGAAAAATATTGTTACGTTTTAAAACTTTAATATTCGTACATGATGGCACTATATACATAAAAATTGATTATAAGTTGAAAAAAATTACGCCTCTGGCAGGACTTGAGCTGGCATAATCAGCGTTCCGTGCTGTTGCTCTTACCAATTGGGCTACCGAATCCTAGGACTTTTAATAATCGATTTTTAAAATATTGATATTTAAACTATGTCGTTATCACAAATTTACTAAAAAAAATTTCTGTTAATA